CCGCGTCGTCCGCGCGGAGGGCGAGCGGAGGGCCTCCGTCGCGGCGCGCGCGTGGGGCCCGAGGCCGCGTCGAGGAGGAGGAGGAGGAGGAGGAGGATGGACGACGACGACGACGCCGAAGTCCTTAAGGAACGGCGTTCACCACGCGAACGCGGTCGTATGGGAACCAGTCACGACGACGACGCGCCGCCGCGCGACGCCGGAGGACGACGCGCGCGCGGGCGCGAGCGCCGCCGCGGCGTCGTCGTCGTCGTCGAGCCCGCCGGACGACGACGACGACGACGACGAGGCGCTCGACGAGGCGCTCGACCTCCCTGTGCCCGTCATCGTGGAGTGCGCGATGCTCAGCGCGCTGACGTCGCTGCTCTTCCACTTCGCGAACCTGCTGCGCGTGGACGCGTGGTTCGGGGCGCTGTACCCGATGCCGGTCATCATCGCCGCGGCGCGGCACGGCGACCGCGCGGGACGGAGAGTCATGTGGGTCTCGACGCTGCTCCTCTTCGTCATCTCCGGGGTGCTTCGATCGACCAACTACTTCTTCCTTCACGGCGCGATGGCGTACGCGTTAGGGTTCCTGTGGAACCGCGGGAAGAGCTGGTGGTGGACGATACCCATCGCGTCCATCGCGAGGTGCGCGGGGATATTCGGGTCGTTGACGTTCTCGAGCTTGTTGCTGCGCGAGAACGTCATGCAGTTGTTAGTCGTGCAGATGTACGGACTGTTGGATCAGGCGCGTTCTATGTCACACTGGTTCCCATACGACCGCGTCGGCGTGGTGAACGCCGATCCTTAAGGACTTTTGCCGTCGTTTCTCTCCGCCCAGGGTCCCTCGCTTTCAATCCCCGCCCCTATGACGCCTTTCAACTCCAACTGACGCCTTTCAACTCCACCCCGACGTTCGCTCGTATGGAACGGCCCTCAGATCGCCGCCAACGTGGGCGCGTCGTTCATGCCGTCGATACAGTGGATCTGGGCCATCGCGGTCGTGTTCGTGTTCTTCAACTCGTTCGTGTACGTCGCGATTCTGCACTCGGTGTACACGATCGTGTTGAGGATCGTGATCCCGGACAAGCCGGATTACGTTCGCGCGCCGGAACGGATGAAAAAGATTCTTCTCGCGCAGGCGCGTTCTATACACTGGTTCCCATACGACCCCGTTCGCGTGGTGAACGCCGTTCCTTAAGGACTTTTCCCGGCGTTTCTCTCCGCTCATCCCTCGCTTTCAATCCCCGCCCGCGACGCCTTTCAACTCCAACTGACGCCTATGAACTCCACCTCGACGTCGCTTCGTATGGAACGACCCTCAGCAGCCAGAGGCGGACGCGCGCTGGGCCGCGGGCGCTGGGGGCGGCGGCGCGAGGTGACGAGACGAGCGGCGGTGTGGACGCGCAGCGGAGCGGCGTGTGGTGTGCTCACTAGCGAGCGATGTGTGGAAGTGGTGTGCGTTGATTAAACCCTAAACCCCGTCACAGCTCGGTCTTGGGCGCGTCCGCCGCGTCGCCGGCGGCGTCGGCGTCGGCGTTCTCGTCGCCGGCGCACGGCGATTTCTTCCCGGTCCACTCGCACATCTCCCTCACGACGACCTCTTCCACGTTGTCCTCCGTGAGCTTCTTCCCCATTATGAGCTCCTGAAGCTGCTCGTCCCTCTCCTCTAACACGCGCACGCAGTACGCGTGTATCTGCTTATCGTCGTACTCGCGCACGGATCGCAGCCCGCCGATCTCCTTGTTAAAGTCCAGATCCCCGAGGTCCGGCTTCTCGCCTCCGAACTCAAACTCCACCGGCATCTTGTCCACGGACTCCTTCCGGATCCACTTCGCGTCGCTCGCCTCGTCCAGCTTGTATCCGCGCACCTTCCCGCACGCCGTCTCGAGCGCGTTGTACATCTCGTACTCGGTGAAGACGAGCGGATCGGTTTTAGTTCGCGGGGTGTACTTCTTCCACGGCGCGTCCTCCGCGATCTTCGCCGCGATCTCGCCGCCGACGGCTCGACACGCGCTGCACTCGTGCTCGATCGCGAGAGCGGGCGCGGCGAGCGCGACGAGGGAGAGGAGGAGGGAGAGGACGACGCGGATCATGACGCGTGCCGTCGCGCGGGCGCGCGACGCGAACTGCGACCGACTTCGGATCGCGCGCATCGCATCTCGCGACCCCGGCTGATGACGCGTCGCGACGAATAAGATGCGCGCGTCGCGTCGTCACTTCGCGTCGCGCGTCGCGCGCGAGTCATGTTCACGTCTTCGCGCCTCCGCCCGCGGCGGATCGCCGCGGCGCTTCTCCTCGCGGCGTGCCTGTGCTCCGCCCACGTCGCGACGGCGCGCGCGGCCGAGGACGCCGCCGCGGACGACGACGACGCGACGTTCGACCCGCCCGCGGGGCTCGGCGCGGGGAACGCCCGCCACCCCGGATCCGCGCGCGACGTCGACGTCGACGTCGACGCGATGAACGCCCGCGCGCGGTCCCTCCCCGGCGGCGGCCTCCACAGCGACGTCAGCATCGCGTGCAGCGCGTGCGCGGCGTCCATGCACGCCATCAAGAGGCTCAAGTTCCGCCCGCGACGGACGGGATCGATGATGAGCGCGCACGTGGACGAGGTCGATCCCGCGACGGGGGAGACGCGAAACGTGCCGTATCACGCGTCGACCGCCCACTTCAACGCGACGCTCGAAGACGCGTGCGACGAAGAGTCCCTCCGCGTCTACGATCGCAAGTCGACGTGGCTCGGGGACGTCGCGTTCGTCAGGGACGACGTCCCCTGGGGCGACGACGCGCTCCGCGGTAAACGCGTCGACGCCGATCTCGCGCTCGTCTGCGCGCGGCTGACGACGCACTATCGCGACGAGATCGCGGCGCACGCGACGCGGCGCGACCCGTCCGTCGCGTGCGTCGAGGTGGGTCGGTGCGGGGAGAGGAGGGATGTGTGGACGGAGGTTTTGGAGGCGGCGGTCAAGTTGTCGACGCGGCCGACGGCGTTGATTCGAATGGCGCCCGTGTGGCTGTCGTCCTTCGCGCTTCCGCTGTTGTTCAGGTCGATGTTCTTCCCGCCGAGGGAGTACGCGAACATCGCGGACGCGGTGCGCGAGGCGGCGAGCGGCGGGGGGTTGGGGGAGAAGCGTGGGGGTGGGAAGAAGCGGCGATAGCGCGACGACGGGGCCGACGACGCGACCGTAGCCGACTCCCGTAGACACTGAACATCAATCCTTTCAGCCCTGCCTGGCCCGCAGAATTTCTGCGTGCGGAGTCTCGCGCGAGATTATGAATTGCCCCAAACGAACGGACCGCTCAAAGCGACGATCGCGACCGCGCGCGCGTTCGGACGTCCTCTGCTCTCGCGCGAGTTCGTCCCAGCGCGACCGTATCGTGCGAACGCGTGAACGCGACCGCCGCGGAAGCGACCGAGCGTCGGGTGACCGCGCCCCGGACGCGCGCTTCGACGTCAGTAATCAATTCGAATCTTCGAATCTTCAGCGGTCGTTACCGAACCGAATTCCGCGACGATGGCGAGCGACGGCGAGCTCGAGTTCGGCGTGACGTCGTCCATAGGCACGTCCATCGTCGTCTACGTCCCCGCGACGTGCGACGTCGCGACGCTCACGAAAGCGGTCGCGGCGGAGCATCAGTCGTGCTACCCGAAGCTGGGCAAGGTGGTCGTCAAATCGATCCACGGCAAGCACGTCACCGCGAGCGACGAGACCTGGGTCCCGGTCAGCGACGCGACGCTGCGACGCCGCGCGTTCTCGAGGCTCCTCGCGGAGGTCACCGCGGGGAAGAAAGCGGACGGGTTAGGGTTCACCGCGAACGCGATCGACGCGTCGCCCGTCGCGCTCGCGTCTCTGAATGCGGCGAGCGTGATGCTAGGAAGCGGCGCCCGCGGCGCGTCGGCGTCCCCGTTCGCGGCGCACACTCCCGCGACCGGCGGAGTCGGCGGGGTTGGGGGCGTCGCGCAGAGACTATCGCTCAGCGCCGCCGCCGCGAGCGCGGGAGGGGGGGACGGGAGGGACGGGAGGGACGGGAACGACGCGGGCGCCGGCGTGAACCAGTCGCGGTTGGGGAAGCGGTCCGCGGCGCGGCAGGCTGAGGACGACGCCGCCGCGATGCCGCCGCCGCCGGCGAAGAAGGCGACGAAGGCGAAAGCCGCCGCCGCTGCCGCACCGACCGCCGCGAAGGAGAAGGACGCCGCGTCCGCCGCGGCGACGTTCAGCGCGAAGCTCGCGGAGGGCGTGAAGGATCTGTTCCTTCACGGCGGCGAAGCCCTCGGGAGCCCGCCGATTCGCAACGTCACGTTCGCGAAGAACTTGAAGATCACCAACTCGTTCATAAGCGCCGTGGAGAAGCTCGACACGCAGTCGCTGAGCACGCTCATGCGGAGCGTCAAACCGGTCGTGGACGGCGTGAAGGAAGCGCAGAAGAAGACGGAGGAGAGCGTCGGGAAGATCGATCTCTTCGGGGAGATCCTGAAGAAGATTAACAAGCTCAACGCGCTCGCGCCCGCGGACGACGCGGAGTCCAGAGCCCCGAAGCCGGTGATCGACCTCCTCGCGATCGGCGTGTTGTTCGCGCGCGTGTACAAGGGCGAGTACAAGCAGCGGAGGGGGCTGCCCACGAGGGTGACGCACGCGTTGCTCGCCGCGACGCGAGAGTCCCCGAAGAAGTTCGGGGTCGTCGGGAGAGAGGTCGTGAACGCGTGCTTGCGGCAGCTCGGGTACGACGGCGGCGGCGCGGGCGGCGCGGCGGCGGGGGCGGGGGCGACGGAGACGGACAGCGAGAGCGATTCCGGCTCGGACTCGGACGGCGACGGCGACGGCGCGGGGAAGGAGAACTCCGGGAAATCTCGCGGGTCCTCGTCCTCGTCGTCGTCCTCTTCTTCGTCCTCGTCGTCGTCGTCGTCGTCATCATCGGGCTCGGGCTCGAGCTCGGGCGGTTCGTCCTCGGGCGGTTCGTCCTCGAGCTCGTCCGAAGAGACGACGGACGCGCAGAGGAAGAAAGCCGCGGCGGAGGCGGCGAGAGCGGCGGCGAAGAAGAAGAAGGAGGACGACGCCGCGGCGATGTCCCCGCACGCGCACCTCGCGACGAAAGCGGGCGGGTTGAAGGCGATCTCGAAGATGATCAACAAGAACCCGCCGCCGTCGAAGAAGACGACGAAAGCTGTGGAGGAGCCGAAGGTGTCGTCGGAAGCGACGGACGCGGCTGCTCCCGCGGCGGCGGCGGCGGCGAAGCCGAAAGAAAAAGGCAAGAAGAAACCGCCGAAAGACCCGAACCATCCGAAGCGCCCGGCGAACGCGTACATGCTCTTCGCGAACGACATGCGCGCCGCGGTCGCGGAGGAACACCCGGAGATGTCGATGGTGGAACGAGGGAAAGTCCTCGGCGCGAAGTGGAGGGCGATCGGCGAGAAGGACAAGGCGAGGTACGAGACGAAAGCCGCCGCGGAGAAAGAGCGGTACGCGGAGGAGATGAAACACTACGTTCCCCCCGTCGTGGAGAGCGACGACGACGACGACGACGACACGACGACGACGACGGCGGAGAAGGACGCGGACGCGGACGCCCCGGCGGCGAAGGGTGGGAAGAAGAAGAAGAAGAAGGACCCGAACGCCCCGAAGCGGCCGCCGAACGCGTACATCCTGTTCAGCAACGATGCGCGCGCGAAACTACAGAAACAGCACCCGGAGATGAGTCCCAAGGAGATCATGTCCACGCTCGCGGCGCAGTGGCAGAACGCGAGCGAGAAGGAGAAGGCAAAGTACGAAGCGAAGACGAAAGAAGCGAAGGAGGCGTACGACGTCGCCTCGGCGGAGTACGAAAAGAACAAGCCCGCGGCGGCGTCCGACGACGACGACGACGACGACGACGACGACGACGCGGCCGCGGGGAAGAAGGGTGGCAAGAAAAGGAAGCAGAAGAAGGACCCGAACGCGCCGAAACGCCCCCTGAGCGCGTACATCCTGTTCAGCGGCGACGCGAGGGCGAAGGTTGTGAAGGAAAACCCGGAGATGAAAGCGACGGAAATCATCGCTGCCATCGGCGCGAAGTGGAAGGCGATCGGCGCCAAGGACAAGGCGAAGTACGAGGCGAAAGCGACCGCCGCGAAGGAAAAGTACGATGAAGAGAAGAAGTCGTACGAGGCGTCCAAGGCTGCGGGGACGGAGTCGGAGTCGGAGGAGCCGGCGGAGAAGCCGGCGAAGAAGGGTAAGAAGGCGCCGGAGACCGAGAGCGAGTCCACCGCGAAGCCGTCGAAGACGAAAACGAAAAAGGCGAAGAAGTGAAGCGACGCGCGCAGAGCACACGCGCTGTGAATGATTAACCGTAAATGAACTAAAAACAACGCCGCGTTTATCTACGATAATAAATACATAGTTCGCTCCGCGTCGTTTTCGCCGTTCTCTGTCGAAAAAATGTGATACCGCTCACCTTAATACCTTTGCTTCACGATGTCTAGCCGCCGTCGTCACTGCACGACGCAACTGCATCCGCCCGGCTGCTTACCCTCTCCCCCCGAGCTCGGTTTCCACTTCCCGACGTCGACGACGATCACGGAGATGTCGTCCATAGAGAACCCGCCGTACTCGCGCTTCTCCCTCGCGGCGACGCACATCTTCTTCGCGGCGGTGTCGACTTTCGAGACGCCCTTGATCGTCGCCATCGCCTTCTGCGAGGAGTAGCAGTCCCACACGCCGTCGGACGCGATGACGATCCTTCCCCCTCCGCTCGCGCTCAAGATCGTGTTCTTAAAGTCCGGCGTCGCGACGCACGCGCGCGCGGCGCCGCGGTCGCCGATGCTCCTGGACACCCCGTGCGACTCCCCCGAGGACGAGAAGACGCGCTCTTTCGACAACGCTTGGCCGGTTTTCGTGTCCTTGTAAAATCCGACGTAGGATATCCGCGACCCGGAGTTCGCGTCCTGGCCATTCCCCTTCACGCTCTTGCTTCTGCTCGGGCCTTTCATCTCCCCGAACGTGTCCTCGCCCTCCCCCGCGTCCTCGTCGAAGTGATGATCCTTGTGCCCGATCGTGACTTCCACGTCGAGGTTCCCGCGTCGCTGCGTGCCCCCGGGAGACGCCCCCTTCGGCGACCCGTCGTTCCCGTCCCCGCGCCGGCCCACCGCCTCGCGCGACTTGAACGAGTTATCCCCGTGGATGTCCTTATAATGCCGCTCGATCCGCGCCTGCTCGGACGGCACCTCGGGCTTGTGATCGGACGACAAGTCGACGAGCCCGCCCGCGCCGTACTCGAAATTTTTCGCCATCACCGCGCGCGAATCCCCGCACCACGCGCACTTCACCGCGACGTCGCCGTTCGGGCCGTGCTTCTTCAACAGGACGACGACCGCGGTCGTGCCGGACTGATCGATGCGCTTGACCTCGACGTCGATCTTCTCGAACGCGGCCGTGATCGCGATGTCTAACTTCGGGTGGAAGCCGGTGTCGTTGGTCGCGTTGTACAGCGCCTCTCGGTCGTTGGAAAACTTTGCGTTGCCCGGGGAGGAGAAGAACGCCTCCTCGATCGCGGGGACCATGTTCCCGACTGCGGTGGGCGGGCGGGTGAGTGAGTCATGAAACGGTTTGGTTTGGGACGTTAGGATGGATGGAGGAAAGACGCGAGAGAAGAAGAAGAAGAAGAGTGGAGAGCGAACCGCCATCGGGGTGACGTGACGCCCTGGAGAGCGCGCGCGCGCCGCGCGATTCGTCGTCGGACGCACCGCAGTACTGCCCCGCGAGTTTGCCGCCGTGCGAGTCGTACAGCTGTACGACCGCGTCGCACAGGCCGGGAATCGGCCCGGAGACGTGGACGCGGTCCTCGTTCTTCTTGCAGTGCCACTGCGCCGCGGCGAACCTGGACGATCGGGCGGGATGGGGAAGGTCAGGGCGGCGAACGCGGCGGCGGAGATCTGCGATCGAGCGAAAGGGGTGTCGCGACTTTTTGCGATGTCGAAAGGACACGCGGGTCTTTTCGCGCGCGGGGACGGGACGGATCGCGGACGCACCGCGCGACGCCCTCGCCGAGCGCCTCGAGGTCGCCTTGTTCTATGATGCTGGCCCCGGAAGCGGACATCGTCTCCGTGATCCTGGCGTCTGCGGAGTGCGACGTCCGCGGCGTGGCCACGGCGTTCGTTCGGAAAATAAAACCGCCTCCCGCCGACGCCGGTCATTGGTCGTCGTCGCTTTGAAAGCGAAAGGTCGCCGCGATCGTGACTCGGTCGGATCCAGGTTCGGACGCGACAGCTGGTATCGGCGCCGTTCCGGAAAAAATCTTCCTTCGCGACGAGAAAGTGCCGTTGTTCCCTCGCGCGACGGCCAGATCCATCCGCGCGCGCGTCGAGGCGCCATGGCGGGGGTTCACCGCAGGATGGTGGACCTCGAGGCCGCGGAGCTGCAAGCGTCGAGGGCGAGGGCGGAGGACCTCGCGCGACGCGCCGCGAGGGCGGAGCCGCCCCCGGGGTTGCGCTTCGCGTGGCGGCCTTCCGCGCGAAGAGGATGGGACCGAGACGGTTACGACGACGACGACGACGACGACGACGACGACGACGACGACGACCGCGCGGACGACGACCCCGCCGCCGCCGCCGCGCGCGTGCCCCCGGGGATGGGCGGCGAGGCGTGGTCGTCCGTGAGCGCGCGCGGTGGATCCCCGCCGCGGCGCGCGGGGGCGCCGTCCGTCGTGCGCGTCACGGCGGAATCGTACGAGAACGACGCGACGCCCGCGCCGGGGACGGAGCGATCGCTGATGGGGAAGGTCACGATGCGCGAGTACGTCATGGACGACACCGTCAGCGTGGGCGTGAAGATCGCCAGGGGGTTGGGGACCGCGGTGGGCGTCGTCGGAGCGATGGTCGCCGCGCCGTTCGCCGCCGTGATCGTCCTCGCGAAGACGGCGAAGAACGCGGAGGAGGAGGAGGACGACGACGACGACTTCGAAGGATCGCTCGACGCGAAGGGCGCGGCGACCGCGGGGGTTGGGGAGGACGACGACGATCCGTGGGGCGGGCTCGATAGGATCAGCGACTACGCGCGGGAGGAGGAGGAAGACGCGAAGCGGCGCGGGTTCGCGTGGTTCGCGCGGCGTCGCAGAGAGAAGAAGCGCGGCGAGGACGCCGACGACGACGACGCCGGCGAGGACGCCGACGACGCGCCCTCCGCGCCCGCGCCCGCGCCCGCGCCCGCGCCGGCCGCCTCCTCGAAATCGAAGCGACCCTCCACGACGCGGAAATCGCTCTTCGGGGTGGTTCAGGGCGCCGTGTCCGGCGCGATGAGGGCGGCGAGCGCGACGGCGGCGGCGGTCGTCGACGCGCTCGCCGGCCTCAGCCCCGACGACGACGACGACGACGACGACGACGACGACGACGACGACGAGCCCGCTTCGTCACCTCCTCCGCCGCCGCTGTGGGAGCAGGAGTCGAAAGGTAAACGTAAGCTCTTCTTCGCGAAGCTCAAGAAGAACCTCTCCGCGATCATCCGACCGACCGGGGGTAAGGCGAAGATTTTCGTTCGCCGCGCGGCCACGTACGCGAGGAGCGTCCCGAGACGCGTCCAGGCGATCAAACGCGCGAGGGCGGCGTGGCGGCTCGCCAAGGGGAACCTCGCGCACGTCGAGCGCGCGGCGAAGAGCGTGCGTTGGAACGTCTCCGAGCCCGCGATGCTGAGCGTCCGCGTCGGGGCGTCCTCGGGCCGAGGCAACGGGTGGGGCCGCGTCGTCGGAGGGAAAAAACCGCGTCGCGGCGGCGGCGGCGGCGGCGACGACGACGATGACGCGGGCCACGCGTGGAAGTACGTCTCCCCCGCCGCGGCCGCGAGCTTCGTCGCGCCGTCGAGTGGCGGCGGCGGCGGCGGCGGCGGCGTCCTCGTGTCCGCTTTCGGCGCGCCGCTAACGAGGCTCCCCGTCCCGAGTCGTTTGTTTTCGTTCGGCGGCGGCGGCGGGGGTCAGGTGCGTTCTATACACTGGTCCCCATACGACCCCGTCGGCGTGGTGAACGCCGATCCTTAAGGACTTTTCCCGGCGTCTCTCTCCGCCCACACCACGCTTTCAATCCCCGCCCTCGGCGCCTTTCAAGTTCAACTGACGCCTTTGAACTCCACCCCGACTTTCGCTTGTATAGAACGGCCCTCAGTCCGCGGGAGGGACTCCCGGCTCGAAGACGGACTCCCCGCATCGGAAGCTGCGACGCGGGGACGACATCGAGCGTCGTCTAATGAACTCGAACGAGGACGACGCCATCGGGGACGGGGTCGAGGAAGACTTGAAGCAGATCGCCGCGGAGGCCCGAAGCGACGACGGCGCCGACGCCGACGACGACGCGAGCGGCGGCGAGGACGACGTCGACGTCGACGCGCCGTCGCCGTCGCCGCCGCCGCCGACGTCGCCTCCCCCGCGTCCATCGGCGCGACGGAAGCAGCTCGCGTTCTCGCTCTCGCCGTCCGCGTCGCCGTCGCCGTCGCCGTCGCCGCAGTCGCCATCGCCGTCGCAGTCGCGCTCGTCGCGCCGCCAGCTGTCGCCGTCGGCGGACGCCTCCGCGGGTGACGCGTCGCTGACGAACCGCGTGAGGATCATCCAAGCCGCGTTCCCGGACGCGGCGAACGACATCGCGAACGCGGTGTTCGCGTCCACGTCGCGCGAAGACCAGTCCGCGACCGTGGAGGCGCTCGAGGCGGCGATGGTGGACTCCCTGAGCCGAGGCGTCGTCCCGACGTCGGCGTCGTTGCGGGCGTGGATGGCGGAGGAGAGGCGCGCGGGGGGGTCCCCGGAGCCGGAGCCGGAGCCGCCGTCGCCGCCGCCGCCGCCGCGGTCGCTGCCGCGCTGGATGGACCGCTGGGCGGCGTCGGACGATTCTATGTCCGACGATCGCGCGAGCGTGTCGCCGTCGCCGTCGAAAGTGCCGAAGCCGACGACGATCGTCGCCGCCGCCGCCGCCGCCGCCGCGCCGCCGCCGGCGACGGCGTTGGCGACGAAGAAAAAGAAATCCCTCCTGTCCCTCTCCGCGTCGTCCACCCCGGGCGCGTCCCCATACGACGGACGACCGGCGACCGTCGCAGCGCCGCCCGCGACGTCCGCGACGTCCACGCCCGGGTCCTTGACGATGGAGTCGGACACGGAGTACAGCACGTCCTCGGCGTCGAGGCTCGCGAGGGACGCCGTCGGCGGGTCGGGGGGGTCGTCGCGCGGGCCGCTCAGCCCGCTCTCCGCGGACCCGCGGTTACGCCGCGCGTTCGGCAACGCGAGAAGCTCCGCGGACTTTGGCGACCTGAGCGGGTCGTCGTACTCCGCGGTGAGCAGCGTGGGGCGACCCGGGAGGACCGGGACGCCGATGTCTGGGGCGGACGCGGACACGCCGCGATCCGACGCGACGGATTTTCACAGCGCCGACGGCGGCGGCGACACCGTCGATCGGTTCTTGAGCGTGTTAGACGCGTTCAAAGACACGAACGACACGAACAACACGACGATGAAGACGGTGTACTTCAACGACGACAGCGTCATGTCCGGCGGCGGCGGCGGCGGCGAGTACTTTCGGAACAGAGCGGGCGCGACGCCGGCGCCCGGGAAGAATAAGATTCCGATCCGCGTGCTGTCGCCGATCGACACGCAGGGGCCGACAGGTGGCGGCGGCGGCGGCGGATCGCACGTCATGGGAGGGAACTTGAGTGCCGCGAGGGCGGCGTTCGAGCGCGAAAAAGGACGGAGGAAAGAGCCAACGATAAAGGCGTATTCGCTGTCCGACTCTGAAGAGTAACGCATCAATTTTTTTTTAAACGAGAAGCACGATCGAAAGAGAGAAACTCCCGCGCGTTCTCGACGTGCTCCTAAGAGCTAACTAAGTTGTTAGGCCCTACACATCGTGCGGACTGCTATCGATCGTTCACTCATCACTCTCATCACGCTCACTCTTTTCCCTCCGCCAGCGCGGTGCCTTGCGTCGGGTCCGCTTTTTTCGACTCCTTGTCGAATAACACGTCCGTTCGTATGATGTACTTTAACCCCGCGTTCACGGGCGACCCCTCGTGCACGGGCGAGTCCTCCGCGTCGCCGTGAGGAAAACACAGGCACCCTCCTTCCGTCGGCGACACCCCCGCGGCGGCGATCGTCCCCGGCGCGCACCCGTCCGCGTTGTAAAACGTCGTCTCCCCGCCGCCAAATCCGTCCGAGAGGTAAATCAAAAGCGTCAGCCGCGAGCGCACGCGTCCCTCGCTCGCGTCCGTGACGTACTCCCCCTCCGGCGTCAGCGCGGCTTGCGGCCACGATCCGTCCACGTGTCTCCTATATATCGTATCCACGCCGTAGCGGAAGAACCGGAACCGCGCGTTGACCCCCACCGCGCCGGGCGGCGCGTGTATCTTGATCCGGTCCCAGATCCGCGCAGCCGTCTCCGGCCAGATCACGAGCTCGCAGTGGTCCAACCGACCGTTCAACCCCCCGTCGCCGCTCTCGCTCGGGTCGGGGGCGTCGCGCCGCCACCCGATCGCGTGCGCGGCCGCGCGCAGCGCCGCGCACTCCCTCTCGCTGAACACGTTCGTGACGCAAAACGCGCCGGGGACCCTCGGGACGTCGCTACGAAAACTCTCCGACTCCAACCCCGGCGGGTCCAGCGGGATCGTCCCGGGCGTCGCGGGCGCGTACAGCTCGAGCGCGTCCCTGTCCGCGGGGCGCCGCCGCCCGTCGTCGTCGCACACGAACCAGAACGATCCGTCCTCGCCGTCCTCGCCGGGTGGATACAGCGTCGCCGCGAGCGCGTCGGCCTCCGCGGAGACGTCCCGCGCCGCCGCGGCGCCGCCAGCTGTCATTCTCATTCTTTTCCTCGCCTCGTCCTCCTCCTCCTCGTCCTCCTCCTCGCGCTCGCGCGCCTCCGTCCGCGGCGGCGCCCACGGCGGGTGCCTGTACACGCGCACGGCGTCGATCGCCGTCACCGGCGCGACCTCCCACCCACCCCCCGCGCACCCTCGAAGCGTCCCCTCGAGCAGACGCATGCCCGCGTCGCCGTCGGGCCCGCCCGGGACGATGCCGCAACCGCGGACGAGGACGTCCTTCCCGAGAACGCGCGCGCCGGTCTCGTCGTCGCGGCGCGACATGAGCGCGAGGGCCTCCGCGATCATGCCCGCGCCGCAGCACGCGAAGAATACCTGGCGCAGCTGCACCGGGCCGATCGGGAGGCCGACGGCTTCCATGCGGCCGAGGAGGCGCATCGCGGAGTTGCCTTTCTTCTCCCTCTGGCACATGGCCAAGACCTTGGAGCACAGCGACAGTGGCGCGGCGTCCTCGCGCTCGCCGTGCTCGCACTCCGCGAGGAGCGCGTCGAGGGCGATGCACGCTTCGCGGCACAAGTTGGCGTCCGCGGCGCGCGCGATCTTACCGACGGAGGTGGCAGATTTCTTCCCCGCCGCCATCATCGGCGTCGGCGCGTTCACCGCGAGCCGCGCTTCAACGCGCGCGGCTTTCTTGTTCTGGCGCTTCTTCGTCTTACCCATGACGGACGGACGGATGGACGGACGCGCGGGGTGCGCGGTGCGGTCCTCGTTGGAACGAACGCGCGGAGAGAGCCGCGCGCCGCCGCGAGTGGCGGCGGTCGTTTCGTCGACTTTCTCTTGAGAAAGGTTGATCGTATTTACAGTGACTGACTGTACACTAAGTCAGTTTATCTAGAGCTCTCGCTGTACAACGCGAACACCCCTTAACGTGGTTGAGTGAAGACGAGTGCTCCTGCTCCGGGGGTGTTCGCTTCGCCTCGCATCCTCTCGCTGACGTGCGTGTAGCCCAACGCACGTCTCACGACCCATATACGGTGTAGAATTTGGATGCGCGCGATGTTGTACCTTTTTATTTTCGCGACGTACGCGGCAGCGTCCTTCTCGCTCAAACCCCCGACGTAGTCTAGTAGCTGTCATAACGCCGGGTTTGCTTCATCGCTACTTTCTCTCGGAATAAAAAAAATTCCGTCACTCGTCGCTCGTCCTAGTCGTCACTCCCGAAACGCCTCGGCGCGCGCCGCCGCCAACTCCCCCTCGAGCATCTCCGCTAACCTCGGCGTGACCCCCCACTGCGCGCACAGGTCGTCGTACTCCTCCCACGTCGCCCTGTCCGCGCCGACGCCGGTTCTGACCGCCTTAATCATGACGTTACGCGCCGTGTGCTCCCCGCCGATCCATTCCTCCACGCTGACTCTGTGCCCCAACAGACGCAACACGTGCGCTCGAAACGCGTCCGTGATGATGTCCCCTAACCGCTCCCGTAAGATCCCGTGCCGCGATAACGGCGGGAACGGCTGTATTTTTGCATCCCGCAACCGCACCTGCAGGTCGTGGTGGCAGCACGGGGACACCAACGTCAGCGGCGCGTTCCAACGCACCGCGCGCGCGATCGCCTCATCCGTCGCGACGTCGCACGCGTGGAGCGCCAACACGATATCCACCTCAGGTTTCGCCACGTCATCTTCCACATCACCAGTACCATCGGCACCCTCCACGGCACCCCCGCTGCTTCTCCTCTCCCCCGCGTCGAACGCCACCACCGCGTCCCGGATCGTCCCCTCGACGAACCTGCACGCGTCGTCCCACCCGAGCTCGGACGCGACCCTCGCGTTGGTCTCCCTCGCCTGCCGCTTCACGTCCACGCCCACCACCCGCATCGCCTCCTTCTTGTTCACCGCCATGTGCGCGTACGCGCCGAACGTGAGGTACGCGTTCCCGCACCCCAGGTCCACGAGCCGCAGCGGGTCACCGACGGTCGAGACGCGGAGATGCTGGCCCGTCCTCGCGTCCGCCGTGGCCACGTCTAGAAGACGTAAAAATTCCTCGACTTGTTTGTACTTGTCGCGCTTAGGGTCGTTCCATACAAAGCGAAGTCGGGGTGGAGTTGAAAGGCGTCAGATGGAGTTGAAAGGCGCCGAGGTCGGGGATTGAAAGCGAGAGGTGGGCGGAGAGAAACGCCGGGAAAAGTCCTTAAGGATCGGCGTTCACCACGCGAACGCGGTCGTATGGGAACCACGCAGTGTATAGAACGCGCCTTAGCGTGCTTGACGTCGCTGCCGTCCTCTTTGCTCACGCCGACGCGAATCAAGAACGGATCCGAGGGGGCTAACAGGCGCGGCTTGACTTTATCGTGCGCCGCCGGCCCGCCGCCGGCCGCTCCACCCGGCGCGGTGTTTTTACTACCCTTCGATGCGTTCGAGAGCAGCTGCCGCGTGCGCTTCACCGTGGCGCCGCCGGATTTGCTCACCTGAAGATTGAGCACCTCGTCCGCGGTCTCCACGCGCCACGTCTTGAACGGGATCGCGAGCGCCTCCTCCGCGGCCGCGGACGCGGTGAGGACTTCCTTCCCGCGCTCCTTTGTGACTCTCCCGTTCGCGTACGCGTGGTTGGACGTGAACGCTTGGCGCTCGTCGTACTTGACGACTTGGAGCTTGATCCCTCCGCGCTTCAGCGCGACCGGGCGCATCTCGAGCTTGCGCCATCGCGGGTCCGCGCCCTTGGACTTCCCGCCCGCGACCGCGCGGACGAGCTTGTTCGGGTCGAGGAGGACGTCGCGGAGCTCGCTCAGGGCGTCGCGCAAGTCGCGGTTGCCTTTCGGCGCCGGAGACGGCGACGTCGTCGCGGCGGCGCCGGTCGACGACGAATCGGCGTCGCCCGCGCCCGAGGCGCTCGCGGTCGCGGTGGACGCGACGCGACGGGGGCGACACGCCGCGCGAATTCTAGAAGCGCCGCGCGCGGAGTGGAGGAACGTCCGCGAGCAGCAGCGCGATAACCCCACGGCGAACGCGCTCGACGCCTGCATCGTCCGTGCGGGCGCGTGAGCGTGCGCCGCGCGCGGGGAGAATGGAAGGGAGAATTGCGACGCGCGCTGTCCGAGCTGCGTAACAACAGAACACTCGTGACAGGTCTCGCGGCTACCTACGTCTTCAACCCGGCCATCGCCGCGGTCATCCAACATCCTCCCTCTACCCCCCCCTCCACGCCAGGATCTCCCCCCTCGCCGCCGCCGCCGCCGCCGCCATCCCCGCGCGCGGGTCCCACCGCCATCGCCTCCCGCGCCCTCCTCGCCGCCGCCGCCGCCTCGTAGACGTCTTCTTCGACGCTAAACGTCCCGTACGCCCCGGGGACGCTCTTCTGCACGAGCACCGCGTCTACTTTCGTCTTCACCGCGCGCAGTAGACCGTCGCACGTTTCCCTGTCGTGTCCCAAGACGCGCATGAGCGCGATCACGGCCTCGAACGTGCTGCAGCGCCCGTCCGGGGCGTTTTTATACTTTCGCACGGGCGCGAGGAGCGACGTCGTTTTCGTCGAGCCGGTTTTCGTCGTCGCCGCGTCCGACGGCGGCGGCGGCGGCGGCGACGCGACGTGTTTCGACGCGTCGTAGTCCGCGTCGAACGCTTCGGGGGGTATCCTCGCGCGCGTGATGTGTTTCGGTATCCGCCGCATCATCTTCCGCGCGCTGTTCCACGTCGCGTCCACGGCGACGAACGTGACGCCGCCGCCGCCGCCGACGCCGACGCCGACGCTTCCTTCTCCGGCGTTTCCTTCCCCCGCCCCGAGCGCTTCCGCGCTTCTACGGCTGGCTTCTCGCACCACGTCGCGGACGTCCACGGACCCTTCCCCGGGCCATAATATCGCGACGTTTTTCCCTCCATCGTTCCCTTCGAACATCTCCCTCAGCGCGCGCTCGTGCGTCCGCTCCCCCGTCACGAAGAGCTCTCCGCCGAGGCACGCGCGAATCAGATTCCCCGTGCTGCTCCCTCGACCCCACTCGAAGTGATGCAGATACGCGACGACGCCGTGCGGCTCGAGTCGCGCGCTCGGCACCTTACACAGCAAGTCGCACACGCATAACCCGCGCATGAGCCAACAGTCGCGGCAGTTGTGAATGTGCCTTCCCGCGGTCACGTGATACGTCGCCGCGGCGTGATGTTTTTCCTCCGCGGGGACGGTCGGATCCCTAACGATCGCGTCCAGCGCCGCCTTCGCGCGGATCCTCCGCTCCTCCATCGCGAAGTACTCCTCCACGGAGTTTAACCCCATGCGTCTGAGGTTCGGCGGGCTCGCGCGCTCGAGCTCGGCTTGGGTGCGATGCACGCCGGACACGACCCGCCCGCGCGCGGGGCCGCCGTTCTTCCCGAGCGGCGCGTCGCGATCGCGCGAACGTGACGGCGGCGCCGGGTGGCGCGCGCGCCATTCTGCGCGAGAGACGTGACGCGTGTGACGGTCCGGGTCGCGCGCAGAGCGCGAGTGCGGGGGGAGCGGAGGAGCGTCCCCGCCCTCGCTGGCGCCGCCCATCGCCGGCGCCGCGGGGAGTGGCGCTCGCGACCCCGGGGCGCTGAGAGCTCCGAAAGCTTTCGGAGTCGGCACGGCCGAGAAGACAGCGCGCGACGAGACGAACGGTGACGTCGACGCCGCGCGCGCACAACGATCCGCGCGCCTCGCGCGCGCCTCGGGGTCTTCGTCTCCTTCGCGACCGCCGTCCGACGATGCGCGCAGCGACGACGCCGTCGCCGTCGACGCCGTCGACGCGCTCGCGCCGCGGCGGACGCGCGCGGCCGTCGCCCGCCGCGGCGGACGCCGCGCGTCGACGTCCGCGGGGGGCGCGATCGCGGACGATCTCGCGCGCTACGAGCAAGAGCAGGGACGACGTCCTGCGCGACCTGATCGCCGCGGTGACGACGATGGCGACCGCGAAAGCGCAGAAAGACTTCACCGAGCTCGTGGTCGAGCCGTTCTCGGACCCGGACCCGAAGCCGCTCGTCGGGCTGCTCCCCGCGCGAGCGCTCGCGGACGCGGACTCTAAGTTCGTCACGGTGACCGTCCGCGGGGAGGCTGTCGTGGTGCATTACAAAGAGTCGTCGCCGCCGCCGGAATCGCAATCGCAATCGCGATCGCCGTCGCCGCGCGACATCGACGCGGTGGTGTGCCTCCACGGCGCGAACGGCTCGGAGTTTTCGTTCCGTAACCTCCTCCCGAGGCTCGCGAGCGACGCGGGCGTCCGCGCGATCGCGTTCGATCGCCCCCCGTACGGGCTCTCGAGTCGGCCGAAGCTGAAAAAAAACGGCGACGCCGCGACCGACGCCGCGACCGACGCCGCCGGCGCGACCGCGACCGCGACCGCGACCGCGGCGGCGCACTTCGTATACACGCCCGAAGGCCAGGCCGAGCTCACGCTCGCGCTCATGGACGCGCTGGGCGTGACGCGCGCGTGCGTCCTCGGGCACTCCGCGGGCGCGCCCGTGGCGCTCGACGCCGCGCTGAGAGCCCCGGAGAGAATCCCGACGCTCGCGCTCGTCGCGCCGGCGATCTTCGTCGGCGGCGACCCGCTCGCGGGCGTGCCGTTGGACCGCGCGCTTCGGTTCGCGTGGTTCCGGTTCCTCATCTCTCAGGACGGGCCGGGGTTAAACCTCGTCCGCGGGAGCGTCAGGAGGCAGCTCGCCGCGATCGAGGAGGGGCGAACGTACGCGAACCTGAGCGAGGACGTTCGACGCGCGTACGCGCGGCCGACGAAAGCGGAGGGGTGGGACGAGGGGTTGCTGCAGTCGTTTCGCGCCGGGTCGTTCGCGGACGCGTCGGAGCGGTTGCGCCGCGAGGTCCCAAACGCGCTCGCGCCGGCCAAGACGAAAGTCGTCGTCGTGGTCGGGAAGAATGATCGGACGACGCCGCCGGCGTTGTCCGAAGCGCTGCGGGACGTGTTGATCGAGTGCGGCGTGGAGGACGTTCGGTACGAGCTCATGCCGACCGCGTCGCACTTGCCGATGGAGGAGGAGGCGGGGGGCGTCCGGGAGACGTTCGAGGCGCTCGTCGTGGACGTCGTTCTGGGGGGGGGAGGGGACGGGGGGGTGACCACGACCACGGAAAAGGAGGAGGAGGAGGAGGAGGTGACCCCGGCTCGATAGCGTCTACTGCGTAGGCATTAACTAGACTATCATAGTAGTCCCGGGCTGGAGACTGGAGACTCACCATCAACGAATCCTCGGCGCTTCTGTTCGCGCGCGACCGACGACGTCCGGTTGTCATCGCGTCCTCAACACAAACTCCTCCACCCTCCTCTCAAACCGCTCGTACTCCCTCGGGTGCTTCCACATGACGTAATGCCTCGCCGCGACGACGCTCGCGACGACGCACCCTATGCGGACGCCGCCGTTGTGCATGACGAGCGACTTGGCGCGTAATCGCACCGCCGTCGACTGCAGGTCCGAGCACGCGCGGCACTGCGGGAAAAACCGTTGCCTCGGCACCATGCGAAGGAAGTTCCACGCGCGCGCGCCGAGGCTCAGGGTTCCGTTCCTGGACGCCTCCGCGGCAGCGCTGGACCCGAACGCCATCTTGTTCGGCGGCATGTGGTCGCCGATGACCGCGCCCGACCGCGTCCCGCAGTGATGGCACCCGTCGCGACGCATCCATCGCGCGAGCGTGCGTTTCTGCGACTCTGAGGGCCATTCCATACAAAAACGGTTCACCGGTCAGTTGAAAGGGGACGCGATCAAATGTTGAAACCGGACAATGGGTGAACAACTTTTGTAAGAACGCACCTGACGCGTAGTGCGCTCCGTTCGCGGGCATCGAATTTCGTCGCATCGCGCCAGGGTGCGAGACGTCGCTCGGGAGCGCGCTGTGCACGCCACGTCCGATGAACGCGTACAGAACCGTGCCGAGCATCGCGTCGAGGGTCATCTCGCCCTCGTCCCACGCCGCGTCGCGACCCCCGAGACCCCCGAGCGCGCCGCGAAAGAATCCCGACCGCGCGGACGACGACGACGACGCGAACGACGACCACCCAACGCGCGCGGCGTTCGCGACGTCCGCGACGCCGACGGACCCGGACCAGCCGCCGCCGCCGCTTCTGCTCGCCTCGAGCGCCGCCCTCGCAGCCTGCCCGGCGACGACGGACGCCCCCGCTGTCGCACACAGCCCCCACGCCACCCCCAGGATCGGCGTCGCGCACGACACGCCCGTCGCGTACGCCGCTCGTCGCGCCGCGTTCGCGGTGAGCACGAACGCGGCCGCGGACGTCGCCGCCGCGGCGACGCCGGGGGCGGACGTGGCGAGATCGTCGAGCACGCCGACGGCACTGGGGAAACGGCGGGAGGAGGGAGGGAGGGAGGGGACGGGTCGGCGACTCGCGCGGCGGGGCGGCGAGGCGTCGCGGGAGCCATCATGCGTTCGTTCCGTCGTTTCCGCGAGACGCGCGATGGGGTGCGTGGGGGAGGGCGACGCGCGACGGGACGACGCGCGCGCGCACCTTATCGCTTCCGCGACGCTCGAGGCCGGGTACTCATCGCGGTCGCGACCGAATCCCATGACGCGCGAACCGTGGACGCCGTGCGGCGAACGCGGCGCGGCGCGAGAGACGAATGAGCACGTTCCCCTCTGCCTGACGACTTTTGTCTGGTCGGTTTACAAATCGCCCGTCGGCCGTTTCTTCGGCGCCGTCCTCGCCAGAACCTAGACTAGTCGTCCTCCGTCGCCTCCTTCGCCCTCTTCTTCTTCTTCTTCTTCTTGACCACCCCGACGTCGTCGTCGTCGCTACACAACCTCTTCTTCTTCTTCTTCTTTTTCTTCACCGCGACGTCCGAGCCTCCTCCGTCCCCGGCCGCGACTTCCGCCCCCGCGTCGTCCCCTTCCCTCGCCGCTTTTTTCTTCGCCTTTTTCCGCTCCGCCGCCGCCGCCGCCGCCGCCGCAACCGCCGGCCCTCGAACGTCCCACGCGACCGAACACAGCGCCTGCTTCGTGTACCCCGCGCCGACGCACTTACACGTGTCCACGTCGTACACGCGGATCCAGCGGTCCAGCGACGCGGTCGCGACGAGCGGCAGCGTCGGATGCAACGCGAGCTCGCGGACGCTCCCGGAGTTTCCGCGGAGCTTCCCGCGGCTTCTCTGCGTCCGCAAATCCATGGCGACGACGGCGCCGCGCGCGTCCGCCGCGAACGCGGTGTTCCCGTCCCTCGTCCCGCACACGGCCATCACCGTCGTCGCGTTCTCGCGCTCGCCGCACTGCACGTCCATCACCGCGCGCTTGGAGTCTTGACGCAGGTCGTACAAGCGCAACGCGTGGTCCCCCGTGCCGACGAGAATAGTTTCTCCGTCGCCGCCGCCGCGTCCGGGGAGGAATCGCACCGCGGAGACCCACGGCGGCGCGACGTACCCGAGCCAGTTCGGCGGCTGCGCTTTCGCTTTGAACAATACCTTCTGCGTCTCGATGTCGTGCGTCTTGAGGTTGTTTCCTTGGCCTTTGCCCCCCGTCGCGAGCGTCGCGCCGTCCTCGGAGACGCACGCGCGAATCGCGGACTGGCACGGTTTCCAATTCGACACCACCTCCTCCCACTCGCCCACGATGCGCGCGTCCGCGGGCGCGTGCACGTCGCACGCCGCGGCGTGCACGCGCGCGTCGCCGTTCTCCGTGACCGTGATCAACCGCGCGCTCGCGCTCGCGCTGGACGGCCCGAACACCGTGGCGCAGACGGGGAGCGCGCCGACGGCGACCGAGCCGCCGCCGAGGACGCCGCCGGTGACGCCGTCGCACACGTCCACGGTGTCGTCCGCTCTTCCCATGGCGAACCACCCCGCGGCGTTCGCGTCTACCGCGGCGCCGCCGGTGGCGTCGACCCCGGCGGTGAGCGTCACGACCCGCCGCGCGCGTTTCGACTCGCCCCACGTCGAGACGACGGCGAGGTCCTCGAGATGCCGCGCCGACGGCGCCTCCAAGACGCGATGGACGCCGATCTCGTCCACGGCGAGCAGACGCATCTTGCGCTCCATGGCGCCGACCGGGGTGTCATCGCGCTTCTTCGCCAGCCGCGCGCGCTCCGCGAGGCTGAACGACATCGCGCGAGGACGACGCACCGCGAGGCGCGCGTTTGTCCGGAAGCGCGGGCGGCGGCGGGCGCTTTTCTTCTCCGGGCTTCTGTTTTCCTCGCGGCGCGGCGCAGCGCGCGCTGCCAGCTGTGTCACACGCACACGACCCCGCGCGCGCCGCCGCCGCCCGCGTCCCCGCGAGATGGATCCCGCGCTGCACGTCTCGCGCGCGCACGGACAGCTGTGCGTGTACAACGCTCCGAACGTCGGCACCGTCTGCGTGCGATGCGTCGCGGACGCGCTCTCTCGCGCGCGCGGCGACGACGCCCCCCACCTCGGCGGCGCGCCCGCGGCCTGCTGGGGCGCGTCGCGGCGGCTCTCCACGACGACGACGGCGACGCTGGCGACGACGCGCGCGCGGTTCGCGCGCGCGCTCGCCGCGCTCCTGCGCGATCACGCCGTCGGGCTGGACGTCATCTCGAGCTGTGGGCACGCGCTCGTGCCCGCGGCCGTGGACGCGCTCTCGCGAGGGGACGACGACGACGACCTCTCGAGCGTCCTTCGCGAGGTGTGCGTCCTCCTGTCTTCCGCGACGACGCACGGCGTGGACGACGGCGCCGCGCTCGACGCGGTCGTCGAGCGCGCGCTCATGCACCTCGCGGACAAAGAGCGCGCGATATCGAAGAACGGCGGCGTTTTCGGCGGCGTCGGCGGCGCGCGGACCCCCGCGACGATGCCGCCGTCGAGGCTCGCGTCGTGCGGCGGTCTCGGGTTCGGCGACCGCGCGCCGCCCCCGGGCGGGCTCTTCCTCGGCGGCGGCGGGATGAGCCAGGACTGGAGCGGCGGCGCCGGGAGCGCAAGCGGGAGCGGGGTCGGATCCGGGCGGAGCTCGGAGAGCCAGCCGACGACGCAGACGTGCGTCGGTCTCCGCCCGTCGCCGGGGCACGCGCTCGCGGCTCGGCAACCCCCCGCGACGTTTTCGTTTTCAAACGCAGCCTCCGCCGCCGCCGCCGCGGGCGCGGGCGCGGGCGACGGCGAACGCGGTGGCGGCGGCGGCGACGAGGACGTCGCCCGCGGCCGCCTGCTGCACCTCCTCGCGGATCTTCTCGCGATGAGCGCAAGGCGCGGGGTTCTCCCGGCGACGTTCCAGCCGCGACAGATCGCGGCGGCGGCGCCCGTTCCCGCCGCGTCGTCTCTGTCGTCCCAGACGCTCTCGCTCTCGCAGCCGGGCCCGGGGGGGTTCTCGCAAGGGTTCCCGCAGCTGTCGCCGCCGACGTCGTCACAGGCGGACGAGTACGCGTCGCTCGGGATCGTCCCCGCGCACGTTCGCCGCGTTTCCGGCGCGAACGAGTGCGCGCCTCACCCTCTCGTCTCCCTGAGCCAGCGCGCGGCGCGCTCGACCGCGGCGGCGACGGTGAAGAATCATCCCCGCGCGTCCTCGCCGGGCGTCGCCGTCGTCCTCGACGCGCTCGGCGTCGGCGCCGGCCGGGGCTTCTCGTCGACGCCGTCGCACGCCGCCCACCCCGGCCAGGCGACGGCGACGGCGTCCTCCGCCGAGACGCGGTATCGCGCGCTGACCGTCCTCGCGGAGCTGCTGAATAACGGACGCGGCCCGGGGGTTATCGACGAGACGGGGACGGCGCACGGATTCGCCGTCGGCGCCGTCGCGTGCGCGCTCTCTTCTCGCGGCCGCGGCGTCGGCGGCGGCGGCACGCCGCTCCGTTCGCCCGCGCCCGAACGCCGCGATGATCCAGCGGCGCGCGTGAAGGACGCGACGTCCATCGCGCTGCGCGTCCTCGACGCGCTCGCGACCCGCGTCGGTCTCGACCTCGCGGCGTTGCTCTCCAATCGCGGCGGCACCCGCGGCGGCGGCGGCGGCGGGTTCTCCGCGGCGGCGCTCGGGGGCGGCGACGACGGCGGCGGGCTCGCCGCCGCCCCGCCGCCGATCGTCCGCTTCCTTCGCGACGCCCTCTTATCGCAGACGCCGACAACGCGCGCTGCGGCGTGCGACTGCGTGAAGGTCCTCGCCGTCGGGCAAGCCGCGGCGGCGACGGAACGCCTCGTGTCGTTCGCGATTCCGGAGCACGTCTTCGAGGGGGTCCGCGGCGGCGTCGTCGCGCGGCGGCGGCGGCCCGACGTCGTCGGGAGCGAGCGCGAGCGCGACGACGCGACGTGCGCCGCGCTCGAGTGCCTGACGGCGCTCGCGCTCGCGTCCCCGCGCGCGTTCAACGCGCGGTTCGTGTTCGGCGTCGACGCCGTCGCCGCCGCGTTCGCCGGCGCCGTCGCGACGCGGGATCTCGACGTGGAGGCGTCGTGCGCGCGCCTCGCCGCGGCGGTCGCCGCGGCCGGGGACCCGGGGAACGTCCCGCCCGCGTCTCTCGCGACGCTGATGGGCGCACTCGTGGACGCGTACGAACAGAACGCGATCACGACGGGAGGGGGGTTCGTGGATCGGGGACTCGGCGGCGGGGTATCCGCGGGTTGGGTTGGGGATGCGCGATACGCCGGGATGGGCGATTCCTCGCGAGTGCGCGCGAGCGCGTGCGCGGCGCTGACGCGATTGCTCGGTTGGCCGAGCGCGCGCGGTGACGCGTCGAAGGAAATCGCCGCGCGGAGCTTCGCGGTGCTCGCGTCCGACGCCGCGGCGACGTTACGGGCTTTCACGAGCGACGACGGCGGCGGCGGCGGCGGCGGCGGCGCGAGCGTCGTTCGAGGCGCAACGGATGCGATGGGCGACATCTTCGCGCTCCACTTTCGCACCGCCGGGGATATCAAAGACGCGATCGGGGTGTTGGAACGTCATGAGCTACCGAATCTCCTCATCTCGTCGCTGCGCAGGCTCGCGATCTTGAAGCACTCCCGCGGCGGCGACGACGACGGGGCGGCGGGAACGGAATCCGTCGTCGCGGGGGCGGTGAAACTTTTCACGACTGCTCTTCGCGGCGGCGACGACGACGACGACGCCGCCGCCGCCGACGCGTCCTTCGAGGTCGCGGACGTTCGAAGAACACTCGCGGTATCACTCGCGAGGGATGCGGTGATGCACACGGTGTTGATCGCCGTCGACGTCGGCGTCTTTCGCGGCGGCGGCGGCGGCGGCGGCGGGCGGCGACTCCAGAACGACGGCGACGGAACCTTCTACTACGGCGACGACGACGACGACGACGACGACGACCAATGCGACGGTTCCCACCATCCCGCGCTGCTCTGCAACTTCGTAGGCGCGATCCTTCACGCGCTGGGCGAGGACGACGCCTCGTTTGACGTCGTCGCCGCGGCGTGTCATCCCGAACCCCTCCTCGGGTCTCTCCAGGACCCCGGCGGCGGCGGCGGCGGCGGAATATTCGACGTCATGACCGGATTCGGCGCCGCCGCCGCGCGCGCGCTGCTCATAACGTGCGCCTTCGTGCACGTCAAGTACGCCTCGACGCGCGCGCGCGTGAGCGACCTCCTCGACCACTTCATCGCCCCGCTGACGCGGTACCTCCTCGGCGGCGGCGGCGCGTCGGACGCGGACTCGTCGACGCGCGCGTTGATCATCTTCCGCGACGCCGCCGCGGTCGCCGCGTCGCGCGGGTCGCTGCTTCCCGTGTTCGCGACCGAGCGCGAGCAGGTCGACGTCGAGGACGCGCTCGTCGACGCGTTCACGGCGGCGATGATCCGAGGGCACGACGACGACCGCGCGCGCGCGGGGGAAATTATCTTAGGTACACTGGTCCCCGTACGACCGCGTTCGCGTGGTGGACGCCGATCCTTAAGGACTTTGCCCGGCGATTCTCTTCACCCACCCCACGCTTTCAATCTCCGCCTTCGATGCCTTTCAACTCCAACTGACGCCTTTCAACTCCACCCCGACATTCGCTCGTATAAAACGACCCTTAGCCTACGTCGTGAGCGACGCCGTCGGCGGCGCGCACTTCTTCCCGTGGCTCCTCGACCGGTGCATGGACGACCACGACCGATTCGCCGCGGTGGCGACGTTAGCGTTGATCGCTCTCGCGCGCGACGACGTCCGCGCGGTGATTCACGGAGGAAGCGGTGAAGGCGCGACGGAGGACGGCGACGGGCGGCCCGGGGGCGCGGCGTCGGCGTCGGCGCGGAGGTTCGTCGACGCCTCGTTCGTCGGCGACCCCAACGCGTTGTGCGTGCTCACCGAGCTGCTCTGCACGCACGGTGACGAGGACGGGGAAACACACGAACTCTCCGAGGAAGCGAGCGACGTCCGCGCCGCGTGCGCGCTCGCCCTGGAGCGGCGACCCGTGACGCCGGCGGCGGAGGCGACGCACGTCGAGATTTGGGCGCGGTGCGCTCGGTCCGTCGTCGTCGCCGCCGGCGGTTGCGACGACGCGCGTCCGCGAGTCGGGTGCGTTCTCCTCACGCTGGTTCCCGTACGACCGCGTCGCCGCGGTGCACGCCGTTCCTTGAGGACTTTCGCCGGCATTTTTCTCCCCCCAGGGTCCCTCGGTTTCAACATTCGACCTCGACGCCTTTGGACTCCGACTGACGCGCCTCTGAACTCCGCCCCGACATATTCGTCGCTTCGCGCGGAACGCCCCTCAGCGCGCTTCGCGTCGCGACCGCCACCGCTCTCGTGGCCGCGGATCTCCACGTTCGTCCCCGACGAACCTCCGAGCCGCGGCATCGCGCGGACTATTCTCCTCCGCCTCCTCCCCCGTTCACCGGCGGGGGCGGCGTGTCCGCGTTCATCGCGACGTGTTCCAACGTCGCGTCTTCCGAGGACGCGTCGGCGTCGTTGCGAGCGTCCGCCGCGAGCGCGGTGAACGGGGTGCTATTCGGCGCGTTTCTGTCCCTGTGCGCGCGACGCGAGCCGCCCGGGGTCGGCGCCGGCGGCGCGGATCAACCTCGCGGCGGAGTCATCCCCGCGAACGCGCTGGAGGAGATACGCAAGGCTGTTCCGGGGGCGCGCCGCGCGGCGGTCGCCCGCCTCTACGGCGCCGCCGGCGCCGCCGGGACGGGAGACGGCGACCTCACGACGGCCGCGCTCGGGACCTGCGCGATCCTCGCCGCGTGCGGGGTGCTCGACGCGGAGTGGAGCGGCGCGCTCGACGTCTCCGACGTCGACGCGGTAAACGCGCTGTGCGCGGTCGGGTTAGGCTCGACGCGCTCCGCGGACCGCGCGCTCGCTTTGGAGAGTCTCGCGTTTTTGTGTTTCGACACCGGATCCGGATACGGCGGAAGCGGCGACGGCGGCAGCGGCGACGGCGGGGACGGCGGGGTCGTGCGGAAGCTCGCGCGCGCCGCCGCGCGCGCGGGGATGTGTGCGGGCGAGTCCGACCTCGAGCGCGAGGCCGCGTGCGCGTGCGCGTGCGCGCTGATGGCGTCGTCGTCGTCCTCCTCCTCCTCCTCGCGGGGGACGGACGCGGCGGCAGCGGCGGCGGCGGCGGAAAATCACGATTCACTCGACGACGGGTGGGCGGAAACCCTCTTGCAGGAGTGGCTCCTCGGCGGCGGCGGCGGCGGCGGCGGCGGCGGCGGCGGCGTCCACGGCGCGATCGTAATGTCTTCGACGCCGCACGACGACGACGCCGGGCTTTTCTTCGCGGCGACGCTGGCGCGTACCTCTCCGCGGGCGTTCGGAAGGGTCTTTCGCCCCGGCGGCGACGCGACGGCGAAAACGGTGGCGAAAGCCGTCGCTGCGGCGGCGGCGACGCGCGGGCGATCGGGGGGCGCGCTCGCGTTCCTCCGCGCGCTCGTGCCGTCGTCCCGGTCGGGAGAGACGGGAGAGACGGGCGTCGGCGCGACGGCGGAGACCAGCGGCGGCGGCGAGGGCCCCGAGAACGGGGCGGCGACGCGTCACCTCTCCCGCGGCGATTTCGTCGGCGTTCGCGACGCGCTGCTCCGCGCCGTCGAAACCGCCGCGGGAGACGCCGACGACGACGACGCGCGCCCTCGCGGGATCGCGTCCGCGGTGGGTCACGCGCGCGTCGGTCACGCGACGCACGCGACGAGGCTTCACGCGATCTTGCCGTGGCTCGCGGCGCGGCGCGGCTCGGTGGACGGCCTCGGCGAGCTCAGGGCGTTGGCCGACGACGCGGCGGCGGCGGCGGCGGCGGCGGTGAGACTGCTTCCCATACGACCCCGTTCGCGTGGTGCACGCCGTTCCTTAAGGACTTTTCCCGTCGTCACTCTTTACCCGCGCTTCCCTTTCAACGTTTGACCGGTAAGACGTTCGACTGACCGATCGATTCACCCACGCAGGCGGCGGCGGCGGGCGCGTCCAAACGACCACGCGATCGGAGGGAATGAGGGAACACCCGCGCCGCTCGCGACGCGGGGAAAGAATGAGTAAGAATAGAATGAACCTAACCTAACGTGACGAAACGAAACGAAACGAGAGCACCGGTCGTCAATCGTCGTCGTCGTCGTCGTCGTCCCGGTCCCCGGCCCGCCTCCTCCTCTCCGCCTCCGACCTCGAGTGCTTCTCCGCCGCCGCCTGCGCGTCGAACCGCTCTAAATCCAACCTGTCGTACAACGCCTTCGGGACGTTCGCCATCTCGACGTAGTGCAGCTTCCCGTTCGCCTGCCACGTCACCAACGGCCGCATCGTGTCCGCCTCTCTCATGTCGCTCGCCCTGAACGTCTCCGTGAACGTGAACCCGAGGAGGGTGAGTTTGTCAACCGCGATGACGTCGTCTCCCCGGTCGTCTCCCCGGTCGCCGCCGCCGCCGCCGCCGCCGTCCGTCACTCGCATGCGCAGCACGTACGGCGACACGAACCACTGCAGCAGCGCGGTCGTGAACACCCCGAACCCGTCCACGACCGCGCATATCGTCAACTTCGCGCCGCTCGCGAGGTCGGGCGAGGCGAGCTCGAGGAGCAGCGGCGTCCCGCACAGCGTCGCGGCGAGCGACGCCATGGACAGCATCTTCACGTTGCGGACCGTCTCCGCGAGGTGCGCTTCGTACGTCGAGGAGGAGGAGGAGGACGCGGTCGACGGCCGCTCGTCGTCGTCGTCTTTCTCCTCCGTCGCCGCCACCGCGGTCGACTCCGCCGCCGCGGAGGCCGACGCGGACGCGCGCGCGAACCGACGACGCCATCGCGAGATCGCCGCCGCGCTCACGCGCGCGCGCGACGGCGACGGCGACGCGCGCGTCGGGTCTTCTTCTTCGCCTCGGTCGCCGCTCGATGGGCTGAGGAACGAGCGCCTTGACGGGGCGCAGAGCGACGACGACGCGACGCGCGGGAGCGACCCGGCGCGCGAGACGAAGAAGCTCGCCGACGACGGTTGACGGTGGAGAAGGCACGCCGCGAGGAGAGATGCGGCGGGGAAAGTCCTTAAGGAACGGCGTTCACCTCGCGAACGCGGTCGTATGGGAACCAGTGTATGATGTTGATGATGATGATGATCCGACGCGCGGCTCCGCGCGGACGCCGCCGCGGACGCCGCCGCGCGTCGCATCGCCGCCCTCATTCGGTCCGCCCGCGCGAGGCTCGTCCTGTCCCCACCCCGGTCGCCGCGGACGTCGACGGCGACGTGTCGCGCGCGGGAGACTGCGCGCGCCGTCGTGGTCCGCGGCGACGACGGGAGCGACGAACTCGGCGCCGCCGGATCCTGTGTGATGAGAGTGACCTCCGCTCCGCCCGAGCGCGCGATTCCACCGTTCATTCCTTCCCGCGCGCGCACGAGCCGGCACGCGCACGCCACGTCAACGCCCGCGGGTTTCGACGCGCGCGGTCGCTCGCGCAGCCGAACGACCCGCGGAGGTCTTCGCGGAGGAGAGACAGCAGACGCGGCGCGACGCGGCGAGGGCGGGGTCAGATCTCGCGCGCGGCGCGATGATCGTGGACAAGGCGGCGTTCCTCGAGGACGACGACGTCGTCCTCGGACCCGACGTCGCCCCGCCGAAGCGCCCTCCCCCGGGCGCGCGCGATGGCGACGGCGACGCGGACGCGAAAGAGAACGCCGCCGCGCCGGGAACGTCGCGCGGCGCGAAGGAGAAGGAGTGGTGGGAGGTTGACGACGACGAGGCGGAGTACGTGCCGCTGAAGAAGCGGCGCGACGCGAAGGTTCACGAATCCGCGGCGCGATTGGGGCACAAACCGCGCGGCGTGGGCGGCGGCGGCGGCGGCGGCGGCGACGACGACGGCGCGGGCGGCGGCGGCGGCGACGGCGGCGGCGCCAGCAACGTCCGAGAGTTCGCCCCCGCGGCGCAGAAGGAGACGACGTCGCTGCTGTCGCGGGCCGCGGGATTGAAAGAGATGGCGAACAAGCAGACCCCGGCGCAGAAGCTCGTGGAGGAGGAGGCGGCCATCATGAAGAACATCACGGAGAAGAAGGCGCTGATGTCCGCGCAGGAGATTTCTAAGGACGTGACGTACACGCAGTCGATCGAGACGGGGTGGAAGCCGCCGACGCACATTTTGAACATGACGGAGGAGGAATGCGAGGACGTGCGGGATAAGTGGCACATCATCGTCGAGGGCGTGGACATCCCGCCGCCTATCAAGTCGTTCAAGGAGATGAAGTTCCCTGGGCCCATCTTGAACGAGCTCGCGAGGAAAGGCATCGCGCGCCCCACGCCGATTCAGATCCAAGGCTTGCCGGTGATCCTCACGGGGAGGGACATCATCGGGATCGCGTTCACCGGGAGCGGGAAGTCGCTGACGTTTATCCTCCCCATGATCATGTCCGCGATGATGGAAGAGCGGCGGATGCCGCTGCAAGGGATGGAGGGCCCGTGTGGGTTGATTTTGTGTCCGTCTCGCGAGCTCGCGAGGCAGACGCACGAGGTGATCGAGGGGTTCACGGTGGAGCTCTCGAAGCAAGGGATGTCCGAGATGCGAATCATGCTGTGCATCGGAGGGATCGACTCGAGGGAGCAGAGCGACATCGTGCGCGATCGCGGGGTGCACATGGTCACCGCGACGCCCGGACGGTTGAAAGACTTGCTTCATCGCAAGCGGATGAACCTGGACATTTGCAAGTACCTGTGCCTGGACGAGGCGGATCGAATGGTCGACTTGGGGTTCGAGGACGACATCCGCGACATCTACTCGTTCTTCAAGTCGCAACGCCAAACGCTCTTGTTCTCCGCGACGATGCCGGTGAAGATCCGCAAGTTCGCGGAGAGCGCGCTCGTGAATCCGATCGTCGTGAACGTCGGACGCGCCGGCGCGGCGAACCTCGACGTCATCCAAGAGGTTGAATACGTGAAACAAGAGGCGAAGATTGTCTACCTCCTCGAGTGCTTACAGAAAACCGCGCCGCCGGTGTTGATATTCTGCGAGAACAAAGCGGACGTGGACGACATCCACGAGTACCTGTTACTGAAAGGCGTCGAAGCCGTCGCGATTCACGGCGGGAAGGGCCAGGACGAGCGCGACTGGGGCATCTCGGAGTTCAAATCGGAGCGGAAGGACGTCCTCGTCGCGACGGACGTCGCCGGGAAAGGGCTGGATTTTCCCAACATCCAGCACGTCATCAACTACGACATGCCGGAGGAGATTGAGAATTACGTGCACAGGATCGGCCGCACCGGGCGATGCGGGAAGACCGGGATCGCGACGACGTTCATAAACAAGAACCAGTCCGAGACGACGCTGTTGGATTTGAAGCACCTGTTGAGGGAGGCGAAGCAGAGGATACCGCCGGTGCTCGCGATGTTAGACGATCCGATGGACCAGGCGGAGGAGCTCGCGAAGTTGACCGGGACGAAAGGGTGCGCGTACTGCGGCGGTCTCGGACACAGGATCGGGGACTGCCCGAAGCTCGGGAACCACAGGGATAAGGAGATCAGCGGCATGGGGAGAGTGGACGTGTTCGGCGCCGGCGGGTTCGGAGGGGAGATGTGACCTCGTCGTCGTCGAAAAAGACGCGGTGGCTTCGATCGTCGTCGTCGTAACCGCTCTCTTTCCACTAGCAGCCATAGAAGTACTACAGTAATAATAACACCCGCGCAGGTGTCATCATCAACGAACGACGACTACTCTATCTCGTCTACACGTACTAGCTAGACTACCTTCGCGCTCGAACCGGAAATCGTCTTCAACTCAACCCGTACGCGACGCGTAGCAGCTGCCCGACGAATAACCCTAACGGCGTGCCTATCGCGTACCCGATCGTCCCCACGATCACCGCGGGCTGCGTCGCGCTGGACCACCCGCGCGCCGCCGCCGTCGCCGCCGCCGTCGCGGGCCCGCCCACGTTCGCGTTCGACGCGGTCAGTATCGCCCACGTCGGGAGCTGGAGGATTTTCCATCCGACGACGAAGCACGTCGCCAGATGCACACACAGCTGTATCGCGATGAACGCGAGCGTCGGGCCGCCGGCGGCGACGGCGACGCGCGGGTCCGCGGCCGCGCCGAGGGCGGCGAAGAACACGAGCATGAGGGCGCCGCCGATGACGTCGCCGCCGCGGAAGAGGCCGCCGCCGCCGCCGCCTATTTTCGTCGCGTTCGACGTCGCCGCCGCCGCCGCTGCGGCGAACGCGGGCGCGAGGACGCCGGTGACCCCGAGCGCCGCGCCCGGGTACCCGATCATCGCCGCGATCGCTTTCCCTCCTTCGATCAAGAGGAGCGCGCACGTCAACGCCGCCGCGATCGTCGCCGGCGTGGCTTTCGAGCGCGTCGCGTCGTCCAGCGCGTCGCCGCCGGCGCCGCCGCCGTCGTCCTCCCCCGCCGCCGCCGCCGCCGCCGGGACCGCGCCGATGACGGCCAAGAACCCCGCCATCGCGAGGTTATCCGCAGCCATCCCCGCGGCGAGCGCGGCCTGCCCCGCGGCGCTCCCGCTCAGCCCTAACGCCTGCGCGGTCGCCGCGTAATTCAGCGAACCCCCGACGTACGACGCGCACAGGCACGACGCCAACCGCCACGCGTGTTCCCCCATCCCGGCCCCGACGACCGCGAACGCGACGACCGCGCCGAGGACGGAGCCGACCGCGCCGACGACGAACGCGCGCAGCACCGGCCCGGCTTTCGACGCGGCGTCGCGGACGTTCACGCCGAGGAGCGTCAGCGCGACGGCGAGGGGCATGAGGAGCGTCCAGACGAGGTCGTACTGGGAGGAGACGGGGGGTAAGACGCCGCACGTCGCGAGCGACATCCCGAGCCCCATGGCGAGGAGCGGGGAGGAGACGGAGGCGCCCCAGGTCGTTCTGCGCTCCGCGACGCTCGCGGCGAGCGCGCACGAGGCGAGGATCGCGAGCGTGGGGTCAGCGTTCGCGAGGGCGAGCGCGCGGGTCCGCGCGTCGCGCGGACGGCGGCGATCCAGCATCGGTGCCGACGACGACGGGGAGGGTGCCGACGCGAGATCGCGACCGCGACGCGTCGCCGGTCGCGCGGACGACGCGCGCGAGGGGCGAGGACGGCTCGCGCGCGCGTGAGCACGAGCGCGCGCGGCGGCGGACGGCGCCGCGGCGCACGCCATGCCCGGGGGGATGCGGCGCTCGCGCGTGTGCGCGTCGTCCGAGGGTCCGAACGAAACTTCAGTTGGAGAAGCCGACTCTGCGGCGGCGCGAGGCGGGGACGCGCCGCGTGAGGTACAACGTACTGCGAAGTGTGAAGTGGATGACGTGCGTTCGTTACATCTGTTCCTACGTGCTTGTTATTTCGTTCACGCCGACGCGAGCTCGCTCGACAGTCTTCGCATGGTCTCGAGCAACCTGTCTTGAGCCTGTAGGTCGACGCGCTCCGCCGCGACGCTGTACCACTTCAGCGACTCCTTTTTGTTCACCGCCACGCCGCACTGGCCGTATTCGTAGATGAACCCGAGATCGCGCGGGGAACGTATTGAACCCAGTTCCACCGCCCTGAAGAGCAGTTCGAGCGCCTTTGCTTCATTTTTATCCACGCCCTTGCCGTACCAGAAGCAGTGTGCGAGCAAGTTGGTGGCGTGAGCGTGCCCACACCCGGACGCTCTTTCCCACAACTCGAACGCCTTCGTCTCGTCTCGCAGCAGGTCGAAGTCATTGTAGTACGCCTTCGTCTCGTCTCGCAGCAGGCCATCGAAGTCATTGTAGTAGCAGCATCCGAGGTCATACATGACGTCGGCATCTCTAGTCGCCGCCGCCTTACTCCACCAGTAGGTCGCCTTTCTCCACGAGTACCTCTTTGTTATCCTCTTCCAACCGAGCTCGCACAACGCCCTCGGAGTGCCCGGCAACGACGTGTCAGACTTCTCCGCGCTCCTCCACACCTTGCTCACCGCGGCGAGCCTGATGCGGTCTCGCGGGTCGTCCCCGAGGTGCGAGAACACGACGGCCGCGACGTTCTCGGGGATGTCGTCGAAAGTCATGGTCAGGTCTGGGCGTGCGGGAGCGGGGGCGGCGCGCGGGAAAGTGAGGGTCGTCCCCGCCTTTTTCTCGGACGGGTCGATTCGCAAAAGAAATTGACGTGACAGGACGTTTGTCGGCGACGGGTGAACAACAGTCACGCACTCCACGCGGTCACCTAAAACGCATCACAACCCGAACCCGCCTATGGCTAAACTCGTCAAGTTCTTCAGCAGATACATCGGATCGTCCCTCCCCCCCTCGCCACCCCCCCCGCTCGCGAGCGCGACCGCTCTCTGTTGCAAATCCCCCGCCGCGAGCGCGCACCGCAACGCGAGACCCCTGGTCCCCTCGTCCGGGTCCTTACTCCGCGCTTCGTCCGCCATCTCCTCCGCCCTCGCGAGAAGATACCCCAACGCGCTGGGCCTCGTCGCATCCGCGAGCGCGTGGTACGCCGCGGCCGGCGGCACCGCGGTGATCGCGCCGTACGCGGCGAAGAACGCCGCGGATCGAACGTGCGGATGCGAATGCGACGCCGCGACGGCGTCCACGGAAAGCTCCAACGTCGCGGCGGCGACCGCGGCGGCGTCCGGGGCGTTGCGCGCCGCGGCGCAGCACTCGCCGAGGGCACCGAGCGCGCGCGCGAGGACGAGCGCGTCGATGCCGCCGCCGGGGACGTGGACGTCGTCGTCGGACGCGTCCGGTCGCGCGCGGTAGGCGTCGGCTTTCGAAGCGTCGGCGGCGGCGGATTTCAGCAGGTCCGAGACTCGGATCAGGAGCGGGCCCGCGAGCGCGCCGCCGACGAGGTGCGCGCGCGTGCGGCGCGCGGTTGGCGCGGCGCCGGCGGCGCCTCGGCGCAGGCGTTCGAGGCTCTTCGGGGCGAACCGGCGCTCTCTGCCAACCTTGACGATCGGCCGCGGCGTTTCACCGCGCGTCGTCGAGGCGCCGCCCGACGCGAGCGTCCCACCCAAAACGCTCGCGTCGTAGCCGTTACGAACACCCACATCGTCGATCGCGACGGACGGCAACGCCGCGAGCTCCCTCGCCGCGTCCGCGATCGCGTCGAGCACCTCCAACCGCTGCCCCGCGTCGCACCGCCCGGACGCGAACGCCTCCGCCGACAACGCCGGACCGGCCACCCCCGGCGCCGTCGCCGCGACGGCGCACAGCGCCCTCCTCCGCGCGACCGCGAGCGGCTCGTCGTCCGGCGTCGCCGGATGCGCGTGCACGAGCGCGGCGACGAGGTCGTTCGCGTGCCCGATGAGCTCCTCCGGCGCGGCGCGGATGAGCGACTCCGCGGCGTGGACCGCGCCCTCCGCCGCGTCCGCGCGGTCCACGGAAGTCTTCGAGCTCGCGGTGTCGTCCCCGCCGCGAGCTTGTCGCAGCCACTCGACGCACTGGGATAAGGAGGTCGGTCGAGGGAGCGCCGCGATGCGCTTGCGCGTCGCGCGCGCGACGACGGCGAGGCGCGCGCGTTTGGCCGCGGCGGGGTCCGCGACCGCGCCGGCGGCGGGAGCGTCCCCGAATTTGGATTCGCCGGCGCCGCCGCCGCCGTCGTCGTCTTCGTCGTCCGTCATGTCGTACGGCTCGAGGCTGTCGCTGTCGCTGTCGCTGTCGCTATCGTCGTCGTCGTCGTTGTCGTCGTCGTCGTCGCGTCTCGAAACGCCGCCGCCGCCGAGACGCACGGCGCCGTCCGGATCATCGTAATCGTCGCCGTCGTCGTCGGCCTCGTCTTCGTCGTCGTCCTTCTCCTCCTCTTCCTCGCCGCCGCCGCCGCCGCCGCCGATGGCGCCCATCGCGAACGCCTCCGCGGCGTCGTCGCCATCTTCCCATCCACCCTCCGCGTCGCGCGCGGCGACGGACGCTTCCGATAACGCCCACGGGTCGCGCTCCCACTCCGCGCCGTCGACGGAGACGGCGTCCTCGTCCCCGTCGCCGGCGCCGAAATCCTCAGGGTCGTTCCATACGAGCGATTGTTGGGGTGGAGTTGAAAGGCGTCAGGTGGAGTTGAAAGGCGCCGAGGGCGGGTATTGAAAGCGAGGTGTGGGCGGAGAGATGCGCCGGCAAAAGTCCTTAAGGATCGGCGTCCACCACGCGAACGCGGTCGTATGGGGACCAGTGTATAGAACGCACCTCATCCTCCGCGAACGTCAGCGGCCGTCCCGGGTCCACCGCCCTCGCGAGCGCGATCGCAACCTTCTGCCCGTGCACTCTCACCCGCATCGCGGGCGAGTCGAGGCGCGCGCTGACGCCGCGCATGACCGCCGCGGAGTTGGCGCCGGTGACGAAGAAACGACGCGCCTCGAGCGGGTCGCACGCCGCGATCGCCGCGCGCATAACGGACGCGACCTGACCGTTAATCTTCCCGCCTCCCATGCGCACGGCGTCCTCGTCCGCCCACGCGTCGACGATCGCGGCCGCGGTCGTCTCCTTATGGCGTCTAATGAGGACGTCCTCGGCGTCCGCGGCCTCGCCCGCGCGCGTCGTCGTCGTCGTCGTCGTCGTCGTCGGCGGCGGCGGCGGCGGCGACACGAGCGCGAAGCGAAGCAAAGCCGCCGCCGCCGCTCGCGGGATCGCCCTCCGCAGCAGCAGCCCGTCGCACAGCGCGTGTCGAAATACGTCGCACGCCCAGAACCGCTCGCCGAACGCGTGCCGCAGGCACCGCTCGATCGCGCGCCATCGCATCGGACCGGTCGGTCGGTCGGGAGACGCGGCGACTGCGAGCGCCGACGCCGCCAGTTTGGCCGCCGCGTGCGCGTCCGTCATCGCCGCGACGAGACTGTTTGCCCATACGACGCGCGGACGACCGTCGCCGTCGCCGTCGTCGTCGACGACGACGATCGACGCGAGAAGCGCGTCCGCGGCCTCGTCCGCGTGGCCGCGGCGGCACAGGCGCGCGAGCGCGAACGCGGCGGCGGACTCCGCGCGACGGCCGCGCGTCGAAGTCGACGTCGACGTCGAAGACGACGCCCGCGCCGCGTCGATGACCTGCGCGGCGACGGCGCGCGCGAGCGTCGACGGGCGCAGCGCCGCCGCGGAGGGGTGGCTCCCAGGAGGCAGCTCGAGCCTGTCCGCGGCGGAGAGGAGCAGCGCGAGGCTCTCGTTCGCGTTCGCGTTCGCGTTCGCGTTCGCGTCGTCGCCGTCCCATACGCTGGTCCCCATACGGCGGACTTCGTCCTCCTCCCCCTCCCCCGACGCTAACCGCCGCGCGAGCCCGTCGTCGATCGCGCGCGACAGCGCCCTCGCCGCCTCCGTCGCGACCGCGCGCTTCTCGCCGTCGCTCAGCCCTCTTCCGTTGCCCAAACCGCCGCGGCTCGGGGAGAGCGCGGGGACGAGCACCCTCGTCGCGATCGGCGCGGGCATCGCGCGCACGATCGCGTCGAACGACGTCGATCGCTGCGACGCGGACATGCACGGCAGCCATCGCGCGGCGACGGAGAACAGCATCTCCTCGCCCGCGCGCTCGAACCCGTCCCATCGCGACGCGGAGGAGGAGGGCGTGGACGAAGACGAGGACGACGACGACGACGCGCGACGCGCCGCGGCGGCCGCGGCGGTCAGCGCGTCTTCCGCGTCGCCGTCGAGCGTCGCCGCGATCTCGGCACCCGCGCGGGGGGCACCGTCGTCGTCGGGGAGGAGCACGCGACGCGCGAGGGAGAGCGCGCGCATCACCTCTCCCGGGGCTTTCGCGTCGCACAGCGCGACCGCGAGGGCGCGGTGGAACGCCGCGACGGGCGCGTCGTGCCCCCGCGTCATGCCTCGGCGCCTCCGACGAGTGCGCGCGAAAATCGTCGTTGTTTGCCAAGTAGACAAAAATAAAACATTCACGGCGTCCGCTTCGTCATACCTCGCGCGCGCGAGCGCCGCCCCCGACCCCGCCGCGCGCGTCATCCCGCCGCGATGCCCCCCCCGGGGTCCCCTCTTTCCGACGCGTGGACGCCCGCCGCCGAGGACGGCTCCTTAACCCCAGAGCAAGCGAAGCGCTTCCAAGACGACGGCTTCCTCGTCCTCCCCGATTACGCCTCCGCGACCCAAGTCCGCGCGATGCTCGCGCGCGCGGACCAACTCCTCGACGCGTTCGACCCGGCCACGGTCCCTCGCAGCGTGTTCAGCACCGTGGACCAGAAGCGCACGTCGGACGCGTACTTTTTGGACAGCGGGAACCACGTCTCGTTCTTCTTCGAGGAGGACGCGTTCGACGAGACGACGAGCGAGCTCAGGCGCGTTCTACGAGTAGCCCCACACTGGTCCCCATACGACCCCGTCCGCGTGGTGAACGCCGATCCTTAAGGACTTTTCCCGTCCTTTCTCTCCGCCCAGGGTCCCTCGCTCACAATCCCCGCCCTCGACGCCTTTCAACTCCGTCTGACGCCTTTGAACTCCGCCCCGACATTCGTCGCTTCGCGCGGACCCTCGACCCTCAGGCAGCCCAAGGCGCTGTCCGTGAACAAGCTCGGGCACGCGCTGCACGACCTCGACCCGACGTTCCGCGCCTTCTCGCGGTCGAAAAAGATCGCGAGGACGCTGCGCACGTTGGGGATGCGCGACCCGACGCCGGTGCAGAGCATGTACATCTTCAAGCAGCCCGGCATCGGCGGCGAGGTCACGCCGCATCAGGCGCGTTCTATACACTGGTTCCCATACGACCGCGTCGGCGTGGTGAACGCCGATCCTTAAGGACTTTTCCCGGCGTGTCTCTCCGCCCACCACTCGCTTTCAATCCCGACACACCTCGGTGCCTTTCAACTCCGCTTCTGATACCTTTCAACTCCACCCCGACGTTCGCTCGTATGGAACGACCCTCAGGACTCGACGTTTCTTCACACGACGCCGAGGACGTGCGCGGGGGTCTGGGTCGCGCTCGAGGACTGCACGAAAGCCAACGGGTGTCTGTGGGCGCTGCGGGCGTCGCATAAAGAAGGCGTGCATCGACGGATGGTGCTCGCGCCGGAGGCGGAGCGCCCGGACGCGGGCACGCCGGGCTGGCGCGGGAACGTGACGTTCGAGGGCGAGTATCCGACGTTTGATCTGGCCGCGTTTGAGGTGCGTTCTATACACTGGTCCCCATACGACCCCGTTCGCGTGGTGAACGCCGTTCCTTAAGGACTTTGCCCGGCGCGTCTCTCCGCCCACCCCTCGCTTTCAATCCCCGCCCTCGACGCCTTTCAACTTCAACTGACGCCTATGAACTCCACCCCGACATCGCTTTGTATGGAACGACCCTGAGCCGCTGGAGACGAAAGCGGGGACGATGGTGCTGCTGCACGGCGAGAACGTGCACTACAGCGCGCCGAATAAGAGCGACGCGAGCCGGCACGCGTACAGCGTGCACTTCGTGGAAGCGGACGCGACGTGGGACGAGAGGAACTGGTTGCAGAGGCGCGAGGATTTTCCATTCGTGAGGCTCGGGGACGGCGAGGAGTGAGGGCCGTTCTATACAAGCGAACGTCGGGGCGGAGTTGAAAGGCGTCAGTTGGCGTTGAAAGGCGTCGAGGACGGGGATTGAAAGCGGGGGATGAGCGGAGAGATGCGCCGGCAAAAGTCCTTAAGGAACGGCGTTCACCTCGCCAACGCGGTCGTATGGGGACTAGTGTATAGAACGCACCTGAAGACGTCGCGTCGGGAGACGCGCGACGACTGGACGAGGACGGGTTAGCGTCGCGGTCGCGCGAGGCGTCGGGAGATCTCGCGCGCGTGTAATATCATGAGCGTGTACTATGCTATGGTCTGTGATGCCGTCCGCGGCCGCCGCGCTCGACGCGCGTACTCGTATCCGCGGCGAGAGTTCGCATCTCGTAAAAAATCCTGTCTCAGCAGCCGAGAGAAAAAATAATCTGGAACGTCGGCGGCGGCGTCGTCAGTCCTGTTCGCGCGACCGAACGCGGCCCTCGAAGTCCTTCCGAGATGGGCGAGAAGAAGGAGAAGAAGGAGAAGAAGGAGAAGAAGGAAAAGAAGGAGAAGAAAGAGAAGAAGCGCGACCGCGACGACGACGATGCCATCGCCGCCGCCGCCGCCGAGAAGCGCTCGAAATTCGACGACGACGCGAACGACGGCGACGACGACGACGACGCCGGGATCGTGTTCAAGTCCGCGAAGGACGGCGGGAAGTCCGCGTCGACGAAACCCCCCGGCGGCGGCGGCGAGCGGTACGGCGCCGCGCCGCCCGCGCCGGGCACGTTCCCCCTCGCGAGCACGAAGGTGTACATGGGAAATCTCGCGTGGACCATCGACGAGGACGCGCTGAAGGAGGCGTTCAAGGACTGCGGCGACGTCCTGAGCGTGAACTGGTTCGAGGAGAAAGAGACGAAAAAGTTCCTCGGCGCGGGCGTCGTCGAGTTCGACTCCGCGGACGCGGCGAAGAGAGCCGTCGCCGCCGCGGGAAGGCTCGTGCACGACCGTGAGACGAAGATTCGGCACTGGGAACAGAGAGGGAACACGGGCGAGGAGAAGAAGGCGGCCAAGGCGGCGGCGGGCCGCGACGTGAAGCCGATGGGGCCGAAACCGCCGGGGTGTTACACCCTGTTCATGGGCAACCTCAACTTCGCGATCGACGACGACGCGATGTTCAAGTTCTTCAAGGAGGGCGCCGGGGTCGAGATCGCGGCGCTGCGGTGGCTGACGAATAAGGAGACCGGGGAGTTTCGAGGCGTCGGGTTCGCGGATTTCAACTCCGACGAGGACATCGACAAAGCCGCGAAGCTGCACGGGACGCCGTGCATGGGGCGGCCGATCCGCATGGACTGGCAGGCGCCGAAGTCGCGGGAGTGAGTGGGGGGGGTGGAGACTAATAATCCAATTCTATCGCTCGCCCGCCGCCGCTATCGTCGTTCTTCCGACGTTTTGCTACTCCTTCGCGTCCCGCGCCCCCACCACCGCCGCGTCTCGACGACCGCGCCCGACGACCGACCCGGCTCGAAGTCCACCTTGTGCGGACACCGCGCGCCCCCTCCCGCGTCGTCCCCCTCCCCCGTCGCCCACGTCGGCGGCGGCAAAAATGGAAACGGCGCCTGGCTCGATCGATCCATCCCGGCGCCGAGCTCCGCGAGACCGTCCCACGCGGTCCACCCGTCCACGCTCCACTCGCTCCACGCCCACCACCTCTCCATCGGCGGCGCGCTCACCGCCAGAGGCGCGCGGCGCGCGTCCTCCGCCCTCGGTATCCTGTGAAGGCACGCTAACCCTTGAAACACCGGGAGGTATACGAGCGACCCGTGAAACATCCGACGCGCGTGCGTCGTGCTCGGCCGACGGTAAAACACCGCGGCGCTGAGCGCCATCGGCGCCGCGAGCAGCGCTGCCTCGTACGCGAACGGCGCGGTGGTCAGCCCGCACGTCACGGCGACGACGCCGAGGGGGAACATGTACACGGCGTTACGGAGCGCCACCGCGGCGAGTCGCCTGCCGGTTGCGTCGTAGGCGGGGTGCGAGAGCATTCGGTAGCCGCCTCTGAGGGTCGTTCCATACGAAGCATCGACGGGGTGGAGTTGAAAGGCGTCAGAAGCGGAGTTGAAAGGCGTCGAGGTGTGTCGGGATTGAAAGCGAGGGACCCTGGGCGAAGAGAAACGCCGGCAAAAGTCCTTAAGGATCGGCGTTCACCACGCCGACGCGGTCGTATGGGGACCAGTGTGAGATAGAACGCGCCTCACGTAGTCGTCTCTCGCCATGTACGCCAGCGCCATGAAGTGCGGCATCTGCCAGTAGTACAGCGCCGCGGCGAGGACGCCCGCGGCGGGCTCGATCGCGCCTCGCGCGGCGCACCAGCCCATGACGGGCGGTATCGCGCCGACGACGGCGCCCGCCCAGGTGTTCAACCAGTGCATCTGTTTCAGCGGGGTGTAGCACAGCGCGTAGAGCGCGATGTTGAACGCCCCGAGCGCGGCCGTTTCGTTGTTCGCTTTCACGGTCAACACCCCCACGCCCGCGAGACCGGCGAGGACGCCGAACGTCGCCGCGTGCGCGACGCTGCAGCGCTTCGCCGGGAGCGGCCGACGCATCGTTCGGGCCATCACTGAGTCGTTTTTCACCTCGAACACCTGGTTGAACGTGTTCGCGCTCGCGCTGCACAGCATCGTCCCCAACGACGTCCACCCTAACCCCTCCCAGTCCACGCGCTCGCCGCTGCCGAGGACGTACCCCGCCGCCGCGGTGGAGACGACGAACGCGCTGAGCTTGAACTTGCTCAGGTCGTGATAAACCCTAAGCGCGTTCGCGATCGATCTCGCGAGCGACGCCGACGCCTCGCCCCCCGCCGTCGCGGCCGCGCTGAGGCCCATCTCCGCGCGTCGCTTCGTCGTCGTCGTCGTCATCGGCGCGCTCCCCGCGGTCGTCGCGCCCGTGGATTTCGTCCTCGTCGCGCCCCTGGCGGCGAACCCCGCCGCGCGGCTCGCCGTCGCCGTCGCCGTCGCCGTCGCCGTCGCCGTCGCCGTCGACGCCATCGACGTCGACGGGGTGCCCGCGCGTCCTCGCGCCGCGTGGAGCGCGCGCGCGGTCGCGGCGTGCGCGTCGACGCGCGGCGCGCGCGACGCCGCCGCGCGCGTCCACGGCCCCGGCCCCGTCGCCGCGAGCCTCGCGCGCGACGCCGCGTCGCGTGCGAGGCGCCGCATGCCTCCCGCCCCGCGCGGTCGCTAGTGCCCCGCCCGCCCGATGAAACACCGCCAGACAGACAGGTGGCAGTGCTCGCAGATATTTCTTGAAGCCATCATCAGTTCGAGGTGGCTCATCAGTCGAAACCAGCGCGCGTCCTTTCGTTTCCCTGTCCGACGCTGGTTCTGCCATTTGAGAGCGAGCGGGCAGCGCCCCGCACGCACCTCCGCCCCAGGGGCTCACGCGCTCCTCGCGACCGTCGCACGCGCCGCGCGCCCACCCGCGAGACGCCGCGCGTTGGAGGGGTCGGCGGAGAGGCGCGCGGATCTGATCAGTCAGATCTGCGCCTCTTCGCGGGAAAACAAAAGAGACGGACTTTGGTGGCGGGGAAACGCGAGATGAGCGCGCCCCCTCAGCCGCCGTACCGCCTCGTCACCGCGGCGAGCGGCGTGCGACCGCGCGGGCGACGGGCGTACTGGACGCGAGAGCGTCAGGAGAAGTTCCGCGAGGCGGTTCGGAAGAAAATCCGCGCGAAGGAGCCGCGCAAGTCGGGGGGGGAGGACGTCGCGTCGCCGTCGATGCGAAGGGACGTTCGGAAATTCTTACACGCGGACGAGGACGCGCGAAAGAGCGCGGAGAGCTTTCTCGCGTCCATCGTTCGAGGCGACGACGACGGCGACGCGAGCGAGCGCGAGAACGCGGCGGCGTCGTCGCGACCGAGCGCGTTCGCGTGGCGGCCGGAGTCCCAAAACTTGGTCCTGAAGCCGCGCGAGGAGAACCTCGCGTTGTCGGTTCCGGGCTTCCAAGGCGAGCTCGCGTCCAAGGCGATGAACCTAGACCGCGCGCGGCGGTTTTTCGACGCCAACGACGCCGCGCGCGTCGCGTCGGGGCAGCGGGTGGGCTCTGTCGTAGACGTGTTGTAAAATACACCCACGCGCTGTATGTTAAAACGAACGAGTCGAGTCGCCGTCTACACCGCGTATTCCCCCGGCCCCGGGTTCGAGTTCGTCGCGTACGTCGCGCGAGCCGCGTTGCCGAACGTCCCCGTCGCGCCCGTCCTCTTTGTCGACAACACCTGTTTCCCCGTCCCTCCGAACGCCTTCGGGCCGATCGCCGCCGGCCCCGGGGAGGTCATCCCGAACTCGCTCTTGGAGTGCTCCGAGGAGATGTACACCTTATCGCGGTGCTCCCTCGTCGTGCTCCCGAACCCGTACCGCGGCATCGAGCGCTTCTGCGACTCCGCCTGCGCGCCGACCGCGTTCGGGACGCGGTACTGCCCCGCGCCCGGCTGCTTCTTCGCGCGCTCGAGGTCGGGGTCCCGACCTCGACCTGCCGTCGGAAACGAAACCGTCGGCTCGGTGACGTTACTAGATGACCGCTGCGGGCCCATGCTCTGCTGCGGCTCGTACGCCGTGGGGCCCGGGCCGTCGCTGTTCGCGGTGACCTTCGCCGCCGCCTTGGATAAGAAGACCTTTTGCGCGGCGTCTCTCGTGGCGCCGCCGAAGCTGAACGCCTCTCCGGTTTGGCGCTCGCTCGAGACCATCTTCCCGATGCTGGTCTGCGCCGGGTAGCTCCCGGGCCCCGGGACCTGCGGGTTCCTCTTCGCGCGCTCGCCGCTCGGTTTCAGAAACCTCGACGCGCTGCCAAACGAGCACGAGCTCGAGGATCTGTTCTTCGACAGGTCCTGCTTCCCGAAAGTCGACTTCGTCTCGTATATCGCCCCGGGGGTGATCTTCCCAAAGTCCGTCTTGCTGTGCTCCTTGCTGACGACACCTTCGCGACCGCGTTTCTGTCCGCGGAGCCGAACCCGAACTTGGGCTCGGTCTTCTTTCTGGCTTCGATCTGCGGGCCGATCGCGCCGGGCATCGCGCGCGCGACGACGACGACGACGACGACGACGAGATTCCTCCTTCCCCTTTTTTGGTCGCTCGCCGGGCTACTGCTCGAGGGAATCGGCCAATTTTAGACGAGGCGACGACGCCCTCGCGCGGGCTGAGACGACGACGACGACGACGACGGCTCCGTTCGCGCGCGTTCGCGTCCGACGGCGTTCGCGACGCGACGGGGACGAGTCGCGCGGAGGTGGGATCGGCCGCCCGCGGGGGGTGAGACCGGGACGTTCGCGCGTCCTCGAATGAAGACGACGAGGGATTCCTTCGCTCGCCGTTTTAGGCCCACCCGCCAGCGCTCGCCAGCACTGCCAGCCGAGGCGCTGACCGGAGTTTCAGCGAGGGTTTCAGATCGCGCGAATTTCACCCCCGCCGCCCCTCGCCGCGCTCCCATTCCCAGTCGCGCGCGCACGATCCGCCGCCGCCTCGGGTCTCGTTAACCTTCCCGAGGATCATGTCGTCCTCGGAGAAAGTCACGAAGCTGTTCCGCATTCACAAGACGGTGCACAAGATGCTCAACGCGCGCGGGTACCTCGTGCAGCAGAAGGAATTAGAGCGCGACAAAGATTCCTTCAGGGAGGCGTACGGGGACGACCCGAAGCGCGAATCTTTGACGCTGATGCTCCCGCGAAGGGACGATCCGTCCGAGAACATCTTTGTGTTCTTCCCGGAGGAGGAGAAAGTGGGCGTGAAGACGATCAAGGAGTACGCGAAGCGCATGAAGGACGAGAGCGTGTTTCGCGCGATCATCGTCGTGCAGGCGTCGCTCACGCCCTTCGCGAAGCAGTCCCTGCTCGAGTGCGCGTCGCAGAGCTTCTACATCGAGCAGTTCCAAGAGATGGAGCTCCTCGTGAACATCACCGAGCACGTGTTGGTGCCCGAGCACGTGTTGCTGTCGGACGCGGAGAAGCGGACCTTGTTGGCGCGGTACAAGGTGAAAGACACCCAGCTGCCTCGGATACAGTTGCACGATCCCGTGGCTCGGTATTACGGCATGCGCCGAGGGCAGGTCGTGAGGATCATCCGGCCGTCGGAGACCGCGGGGAGGTACGTGACGTACCGTCTGTGCGTGTGATCGTCGAGCTGACGGTGGGCGGCGGGACGTGACGTGGGGGGGTGGGCGACGGGCGATCGGATCGGAATCGACGGCGTATCGATCGACCGATCGCATAACTTGAATAGCAGCGAGGTGTGACGACGCGGCGTCGGCATAGAATGAACTAACTCATCGTACGCGCGAAGCGACGCGGCTCTCGCTCACGTCATAGCTCGTCGTCCTCCGCGCGCTCCTTCGGCATCGACCGCTTCCTCTTCCGCTTCTTCTTCTTCTCGGGCTCGCGCATGGACGTGAACAGCGTCCGCGGAGCCTCCTCCTCCTCCTCCTCCTCCTTGTCCCACGCTTCGTCGATGAACTTTTGCGTCGGATACCTCTCGCACGCTTGGCCTTTGCGATCGCACACCGCGGTTCTCGCGTCGCCGTTCGCGTCGCCGTTCACCACGTACGCCTCGTACCACTCCTCCTCGGGCAAGATCCCGACGAGCTCCTGACACGTCTGTCTCATTCGATACGTCATCACGCGCCCCCGCGTTGTCGCGTGATGTTTGTCGTCCACCTGCTCGGGGTCGTTCCGTACGAGCGAACGTCGGGGTGGAGTTGAAAGGCGTCAGTTGGAGTTGAAAGGCGTCGAGGTGTTTCGGGATTGAAAGAGATGGGTGAGCGGAGAGAGACGACGGCAAAAGTCCTCAAGGAACGGCGTTCACCACGCCGACGCGGTCGTATGGGGTCCAGTGCGTAGAACGCGCCTGCTCCTCCCGCGGCGGCGGCTCCACCCCGGGACCGAAGAAGAAGTTGATCCCGCTCGCGAGCCCGATGCTGCCGTACGCCGTCCAAATTTCATCCGCGGCGTCCGCGCACGTCTTCTCCACGACGTCGATCGCCTCGGCTTCGGTGAGTCGGCGCGGCGTCGTGAGGTTGATCGTCGGGTCCGTCGCGTCCGTCGTGGTCGCCGCGCGTAACCGCCGAGTGATCGTGTGCGCGACGCCCTGGCAGGAGTTGCATCGCCAGTGCCTCGGCGTGTGCAGGTCGGATTTCTCTTCCTCCTGCGGGATGCGCGGGCGTGTGGGTTGGGGGGAGGGTGGTGGTGAGCGCTGCGACGAAGGGAACGGAAGGACGGTTCGGGTCGGAATGGAATCGCGTCGAGGCGAGGACCGATCGATCGACCGACCGATCGATCGAGCGAGCGAGCGAGCGTCCCCGCGCGTCGCGTCGGCGCGTCGCACCGTCAGGGTCCCCACGTGAAGGTCCATGGATTTTTCGCCGCTGTACCAATCGTCCGGGATGTGCCCTCTCGTGCTCACGGGGATCTTGACGCGCTTCGGCTCGCCCCCGGAGCCGGATCCTCCCCCGCCGTCGCGGTAGCCTTCTTCCGCGTGCGCTGTCGAGAGCTCGTTCACGTAGTTGGCGTTGAACGCGTCCGCGGGCGTCGACGCGCGGAGGATCGCGAGCGCGAGGAGCGCGAACGCGATGTTCAGGACGCGCGCGCGCATCTCTCCAGAGACGGACGTCGTCAACCGGTGACGCGGTGTCGCTCGCCTCGTCGCGCTCGGCGAGGACGCGCCGCGATGTGAAGACGACGTCTCGTCGTCGACCGACGGGACTGGAAGAACAGAACGAAGAAAATATCGCAAGATGGGAGGTGCGGCGTCACTCTCGCCGGCGCCATGCGCGCGCTCGCGACCCTCCCCGCGTCCCTCGCGGGGATTCCTCCCGCGTCGTCGCGAGCGTCGCGACGCGCGCGGTCGCTCGCCGTCCGCGCGCGCGCGTCCCCGCGGCGTCCGTCCGTCGCCGCTTCGCCGCTCGGGACGCGGACGACGCGTCATCATCGTTCGCGCCAAATCATGATGGCAGCCCCACCCCGCGCGGCGAAGAGGAAGAACGCCGACGGCCGCGAGTGCTGAGTCGAGGAGGCGAACAAGTACAACGAGGCACAGGCGAAGAAGTACGAGACGAGCGCGTTCGGGGGCGTGGACGTGTGGTTCGTGCTCGGCCTCGCCGTGTTCGTCGTACCGTTCGGCGGGCTGCTCGTCGGCGTGATGACGGGGCACGTGCACACGGGGTAGGTACGAGTAAATAGACTAAAGAGCGCGACGACTCTCGACGAGCCGGTGACTCGCGCGCGCGCAAGCCCACGCCGGGCAGCGCGACGCGATGATTCTCGTCGACCGCACCCGTTGCGAACCGACTAAGGCCTTAGCTAGACTACTAGAGTCTGCTACGACTATCTGGTGTTGTAATTTCAATCGTGGGGGTCCCGTGTGGCCCGCTAAAAGTCGTCGAAGCCTCGCGTCCCGCACTCGATCGCGATCCGCAGCCTTCGCCCGAGCTCCTTCGCGCCGCCGACCACGCCGTCCGGATACTCGCTCTCTTTCAAACGCGGCAGCCGCAACACGTTAAAGCACGCGTGCGCCATGGGCAGCGCCCCCGGCTCGTCCCTCCGCTGCGGCGGCAGCTCCCCCAACGTGAAGGGCACTGAGGGTCGTTCCATACGAGCGAACGTCGGGGTGGAGTTCATAGGCGTCAGACGGAGTTGAAAGGCGTCGATGGCGGGGATTATGAGCGAGGGATGGGCGGAGAGAGACGCCGGGCAAAGTCCTTAAGGATCGGCGTTCACCACGCCGACGGGGTCGTATGGGGACCAGTGTATAGAACGCGCCTGCGTCGCCCATGTACCCGACGAGGTTTCGAAAGCCCCCAGCCGGCGGCGACGTCAACCCGGTCGCGAACTGCAGCACCATGACCCGCTCGCGCTCCGTAAGGTCGCGCAGCGCGGCCCAGAAACACGCGACGCTGAACCCGGCCGCGAGCGACGCCTCGGAGTACGCCGAATGTCGCTTCCAATCCTCCAAGCACACCGCGGGCGCGCCGGCGATGAGGACGCTCAGGTCCTCGCCGCGCAAGACGGCTTTCATTCGCGCCTGCAGCGGCGGCGGGACGACGCTGCCGAACCCGGCGGCGAACGCCTCGGTCTGGTCCCTCACGGACCCGATGACTCTTCGCGCGACGAGCGCGCGGAGGTACGCCTCCGCGTCGGCTTCGGTCACGGCCTCGTCTTTGTCTTTGTCAGCAGCGTCGTCTTTGTCCGACCTCAGCGGGACGCGTTCGCCGGGGTAGAAAATCCCCGTCGGATCCTTCGCGTCATCCCAAGCGAGGTCGAGGCCGCGCACGCCGTGCTCGCGGACGTACTCGACCATGTTCTTGTGAAGCGTCGGGTCCACGGAGCGCAAGTCGTCTATCGTCATCGCGTGCCCGAGCAGACGCGAGCAAAACGCGGGCGTGAGCCGCAGCGGCATCGTCTCGCCGTGGTACAACGCGACGGCGGCGAGTCTCCCGAGCGCGTAAAAATACGACAAGTGCTCGGGCGTCACCTCGCCGCTCATCGGGTTCGGGTGAAGCGTCACGCCTCCGTCGTTCGAGGTGAAGAGAAGGCAATTCCGGTCGCACGCGGCGGCGGACACGATGGACATCCACTCGCGTCGTACCGCGGCGCCCTGCCCGGCTTCGTCCTTGAACGCGATGTGGACGCCTCCGGCGGGTTTGGCGGTGAACCCTCCGGCGCCGCCCGTCGACCGCGGCGGCGTGCAGTGCATGCAGAGGTCTTCGAGCGGCGACGCTCGGTCGCAGACGAGGTTGATGCGGTCCGCGAACCCGGGGACGGGGACGCCGTGGGGCGTCACCGGGCCGAGCTCCCATCGCAGCATCTCGAGGACCCACTGCCGCTTCGCGTTGACGTCCAACTCTCGCAGGCACTCGGTGAGCGCCCAGTCGCCGTCGCGTAGCTCTCTCGAGCGCGTCGTCGTCGCCTCGCGGTCTTGCCGGAGCATCAGAATCTCGGTGATCATGTTCACGACGTTTCGCGACGTCTCCGGCATCGACGCCGTCGCCGCGTCGAGCGTGCTCGCTGTCATCCCCGCGCTCGGATCCGCGCCCTCGCCCGGGGAGTCCAAATCCAAATCCCCCGGTATCGCGCGGAAGTGCCGCTCGAGCCGCTCGTACAGAGCCCCCGTGGACGCGTCTCTGCACGACTCGAACGTGTCGTCGGCGGGTGGCCCGTCGCCGGCACCGCCGCTCGCGATGAAGCTTTCCTCGATCGCTTTAAGACGCGCGTCGTAATCCACCGCGTCGTCGCCGTTTTGAATCCACGCGCGGACCCCCGCGTGCACGAGCCGCGCGCAAAACGTTCCCCCCGAGCTCCCGTGCGCCTCGTGCAACGGACCGAGGCCGGCGCTGACGAGGACGAGCTCGTTCGCGCCCGATGACCCGGGCTCATCCTCGCCGTCCGCGTGCAGCGGGCGCGCGAGCTCGCCGAGCGAATACGCCGCGAGCATCGCGCGGTCGACGTCCTTGCCTAAGATCATGTCGCAGAGGTTCTTCACGAGAACGTCGCCGCCGCGTCTGAGCAGCGCGCGGCGGCCTTGGACGTCCCCAGCGAGGTTCGCGACGACGAGCGTCGCGTTGAGGCGGCAGTCGGGGGAGCCGTCCGGGGGTGGCGGCGTTTGCGGTTGCGTTTGCGTTTGCGTTTGCGTTTGCGTTTGCGTTTGCGTTTGCGTTTGCGTTTGCGTTTGCGTTTGCGTTTGCGTTTGCGTTTGCGGCGGCGGCGCGTTCGCCGCGTTCCTCGCGTTCGCCGCGTTCCTCGCGTTCACCACCGCGGCCTCGATCGCGGCGGCGACGCGTTCGTCGCGCGCGTCGAGTTCATCGAGCGTCGCGCGCGCCTCGTCGACGGCGTCGTCCGCGGGCAGCATCGCCGCCGTCGCCCTGAGCTGTTCCAAGAACGCCTCGGCGTTCGGACTCCCCGCCGCCGCCGCGTCGAAGGCTTCGATCGCCGCCAACAACGCGCTCCGCGACGCCGGCATCGTCCCCGGCGAAGCGTCGGCGGCGGCGGCGGCGACCGCGGCGTCGAAAGCGGCGTTGGCGGCGGCGGCGGCGGGCGGCGGCGGCGGTGCGACCCCGTCCTCATCGCGCCGCGGCGCCCCGACGACGACGCCGCGTTTCAGCTTGAACGGCGCGGACGCGAGAATCGTCGCGAGCGCCTCCTCGAGCGACCCGCCGGTGCGCGGCTGCTCGCTCGCGGCGGCGGCCGCCGCGATGAGCGCGCGGCGCGCGGTGTTGTCCTCCTCCCGCGTCGCGTTCCTCCCCCGCCCCCAGCTCTGCGGCGGCTCGCCCATCAAGCAGTTGACGCAGTACAGCGCGTTGAACGTCACCTCCGGGTGGTCCCCTCGCAGCATTCGAATCAACGCCGACACGAGCGACGCCGCGGACGCGGAGACTCTCGCGCGGTGGTGGTGGTGGTGGTTCGGGTTCGCGTCGTCGTCGTCGTCCAAACGCTGCGGCTTCGCGGACGTGACGTCGAGGAGCCGCCACCGCCACGGCTTATCTTGCGCCAGCGTCGCGATCGCGATCACGCACTCGGACATGAGCTGTCCGTCGAACTCTCTGCGTCGCCGTCGGCAGGAGCTCGAGGTGCACTTTCGCGCCTTGTCTTTCTCTTTCGCGCCGCCGACGCCGTCGTCGTCGTGGTCGTCGTCGCTCTCGTCGAGGTCGTCGTCGAAGTCGTCGTCGTCCTCGAAGTGGTCGCCGTCGCCGTCGCTCGCGTCCGACATCGCGTGCAGCATGTTCGCGAATGCCGAAGCGATGACCTTCGGCCTCTCGTACCTCAGCAATAACTTCGCGCCGCGCTTATCCCGCGCGAGACCGCTCAGCGCTCGAATCGCGAACGCCGCGGTCTGGCTCATGCTCGGTCGTATGCACGGGAGCAAGTAGCTGATGATCCCCGGGGCGTGCGCGATGATCGCCCGGCGGCCGCGTTGGGAGCTCGAAAGACGCGCGAGAAGCCCGGCGGCTTCCACGCCGCCGGCGCCGAGCTTCCCTTCCTCTCTGAGCTTCTTGAGCTTTTCTTCCTCGCGCTTCTTCTTCTCTCTTCTCGCGATCTCCGTCAAAGATAACGTCGAGACCGCGTCCGCGATGTCAGCCACCGAACGAGAGGGCGTCTCGGTATTCGCTTCTTTTTCTTCTTCCTTTTTCGGCAACGCGTCCGCCAGCAGGGCGGCCACCCTGGAGATCATCGTCCCGGTGCTATCCGTCTTATCCAGCGTCGCGAGCAGGTCGTCCATGCACGGATCGTAAGAAACGATCCCGAACATCGCCGCCGCGGCGATGTGCGCGCAGTCGGGGGAGAGGTCGGTCGCGTCGTCGTCGGCGGCGGCGACGGGGGACGCGATCACCGCGTCGTCGTCCGTCGGGTCTGGCGAAGGGAACGCAAACATCGCGGGCGCGGCGTCCACGGACGCGCTTTTGCCCTCGAGAAAAAATCCATCGCCTTCGCCTTCGCCTTCGCACTCGCCGTCGACGTCGACGAGGCCGGGGACATCCTCGACCCTGAACGACTGTCCCATGACGCGAATCAAAATCTGTATCAACGACTGGTGCGACTCGATCACGTTGGACGCCCACTTCAAACCGAGCTCGGGGTTCACGCGCGAGTTCGCGGGGTCCGCCATCTCCGCGAGGACGATGAGCGCGTTCCGGCCGATCTCGTTTATCATCTCTCCGGACGCCATCTCGCGGTTCTCGTCCACGTCGGCGATCAACTTGTCGCCGCCGCGGACGCCGCCGCCCCAGCTTTGCACGGGTCTTAACAGCGTGGTAAACGCCGGGAGGAGCTCCTCCGAGGCGCGCAACAGCTTCGGCCACCCGGAGCCCTCGTTCGCGTACTCCGCTTCTTTCGTGACCGAGTACAAAGTGTGCACCAGAAGCGCGTTGCGCGCGCACAGCGACGACATCGTCGACCGCTTTCGGCGGACTTTTCGCTTCGTCTTCTTCTTTCGCTTCGCCTCGGCGTCCTTCTCCTGGTCTGTCTTTTTCTTTCGCTTCGCCTCGGCGTCCTTCTCCTGGTCCGTCTTCTCCTCGAGCGGCGTCCCCTCCGCGAGCGCGCGTCGCCTCTTCTGTCGCTTCAAAATCGCCATCGCCCCCTGCTTCGCTTGCGTCGCGATGAACTTATGGAACCCCGCCGAGCCCCTTTTCTCGATCTCCGGGATCGGATTCGTATCGATGAACTTCACGTCCGGGTTATCCGTGAACATGAGCGCGACGACCTGACTATCGATTAGCCTCAGGTGAGCGCGTATGAACGGCTTTTTGGACTCCAAATCCATTCCAAACTCCTCCACGAGGTGGTCGTACACAACCTTGAAGTTGCTCATCCCGGGGCTCACCCCGAGCACCCCGTACATGCATCCGACGATATCTTCGTCGCGCACGACGTCCGGATCGTCGTCGTCGCCGCCGTTTTCTTTTTCTTTTTTCCCCGGCTTTCGCGGGACGACGCCTCCGTTCGCGCGCGCCTCCTCGATCTCCGTCGCCGTGAACGCGATGTGCCCTATCAACAGCGGAAGTATCGTGTCCGCCTCCGGGGTGAGCATCCACTTCGCGTCGACGTGCGTGATCATCGTCTCCGCCGCCTCCACCGCGACGCCGACTTCCTCGACGTTCCACCGCGCCAGGTGACTCACGAGGTCGTCGACCAGGGTCACTGTGGCGAGGACGCCCTCCGGGTCGACGCCGCCGGGGAGAGGGCCTTTCGGGGTCTCGCCTACCCGCGGCTGGTTCGGCGGCCACGCCGCGTGGGGAGCGACCGCGGGGTCTAACAGGAAGACGCCGTCGGTTTCGGTTTCGGTTTCGTCCATCTCGTAGTAGTCGTCCGCGGCGGCGGCCTTGGCGGCGGCGGCGTCGGCCGGCGTCTCATACCACACCGCCCGCCGCTTCTTCTTCTTCTTCTTCTTCTTCTTCTTCTCGTTCTTATCCTCCTTCTCCGCGGCGGCGTTCTCTTCCGCGTTCTCCTTCGCCCACGCCTCGCGCCGGCGACACGTCCACCATCTCCGAACGTCCACGTCCAGCCCAATCGCGGGCGCGCGCCGCGCCATGATCTCCGGGTGACGCGTCTCGATCGCGTGAATCATCCGCTCGCACTCCCGCGCCTCCGAGACCGTCGGATACCCCGCGGCGTCGCCGCCTCTCTCCAGGTACCACCCCTCGACGCGCTGAATGACCTCGCGCTCGAGCGCGTCCGGGGGTTCGTTCGTTAAGGTTATCCCCAACCACGCGCGATCTTTCGTCGGCGCGCGCCACGGACGCAACCCGCCCGGCGGCGCGGACTCCGTCTCGTCGTGGACGTCTATGGCGTCCAGTCTCGTGTGGTCGTACCCGGCGAACGCATCCTCGTCGAGGTCGTCCCACTCCCTTTGCATCTTCGCCATGGACGTCAACGCCGACGCCGCGGTGGCGCGGAGTAAGAGGCGGCTGGTCGGGTCGGACAGAGGGTCTTCTTCGATGTCCGCCTCGACGTCGTCTTCTTCGTCCGAGTCGGACTCGGACTCGGCGGCGGCGTTTGCGGCGGCGGCGGCGTCGGCGGCGGCGGCGGCGTTTGCCGCGTCCGCCTTTTCCTTCTTCTCCGCTCGTTTCTTCTTCGCTCTCTCCTTCTTCTCCTCCGCCTCGCGCTCTCTCTTGCGGTCTTTCCTGGTCTTCTCTTTCCAGATATCTTTCCGTCGGCGCTTCTTGCTCTTCCCCCGCGCTCGAAGAATCGGCGCTTCTTGCTCCCCGGCGGAGGGCAAAAACGACGGCGGCGGCGTCTCCTCGACGCGCATCACCGGCCAGTGATTACACACCGCGGCTCTCACGCCGCGTAACGTGTGCTTCGCCGCGGGCGCGGTCATCAGCTGCGTCGTCATCTTGCCCGCGAGGTTCACGAGGAAGGTGAACGTCGCCCACACGCAGGAACACCGCGAGGACATCGCGCGCGTCGTCGCGGAGGCGATGTCGTCGAACCGCGGATGCATTCCGACGACGGAGCTCGCGGTGCTCTTGTGCTGCACGAGCGTGTTCAGGACGCCGAAGGCGGCGCCGATGGCGCCGTCACACGCGCCTTCGAGGGCGACGGCCGTCTCGTACTCCGCCCACTCGCCTCCGTACGGCGTCGGCGTCGCGTTCTTTTTCTTCTTCTTTTCTTTCGATCTCTCCTCGTCCCTCTCCTCCGCGTCGTCGTCGTCGTCGTCGTCCTTCTTCTTCTCTTTCCACTGCGGCGGCGAGACGCCCAGGGTGTCCACGACGACCGCCAACTGCATGACGAGCTCGCGTAGCTGCCGCGGGCGGAGCTGCCGCCATTGCCCGGCGGGGTGGCGCGCGGCGGCGTCGTCCGCGCGACTCGCGCCGTAGCCAAAGTTTTCCCGCGCGTCCAGCAGCGTCAAATCTTCAAACAGCGATCTGAACACGTGGAGGGCTTGCGTGCACGCGAGCGTGCCGCCGCCCGCGCCCTTGCCGTCGCTCGCGCGCCCCGGTTTCGGCAGGTGCGTTCGAAGCGCCGCGATAAGGCCGTTGATGGACACCTCTTCCGCGTCGCGCTCCGTCTCCGCGGCGCACCCGGCGGCGTGCGACCGATACCACGGCGGCGGCGTTCTCCGCGCTTTCGAGGTGTCGTCCAGACCGGCTCTCCGCGCCGCCTCGCACTTCTCGAGCGCACTCTCCGCGTGCTCCGCGACCTGGTCGTCGTCGTCGTCGTCGTCGTCGTCGTCGTCGTCTTCGCTCCACTCGTCGTCGTCGTCGTCGTCGGCGGCGGCGTCGACGTCGCCGCCGGGGAAGGACGCGGGCGATTCGTCGACGCTCGCGGCGTCGGCGTCGTCGGCGTCGGCGCCCGCGCCCGCGCCCGCGCCCGCGCCCGCGCCTCCGTCGTCTCCGCCGCGCGTCCGCGTCGTCCACCCCTCCGCGTCCGCGTCCGCGATCGCGACCAACCCCGCGGTCAGCATCGTCGCGTCGTGACGCAGCCACAGCAGTCGGTGCATCACCCCCACCGCGTCGAGCGCCGCGTCTCCGTGCCTCGCGTGCATCACTTTGGTCATCTCCCGGAACATGCCCCGGTGGAACCGCCCGCCGTCCATCGCCAATATCTTCCCTCGCGCCGCGTCCGGCTCGATGATCGAGAGCAGCGCGCCCGTCGCGGTCCCGAGGCGTCCGCGGCACAGGAGGCCGTGCTCCTCGTCTTCCTCGGCGACAGCGCGCTCGCCGTCGGCCTCGATCGTTTTTCGCGTCGTCGCCTCCCTCGTCTTCGCGAGCGCGTGCGCGGTCTCCTTGTCCGCGATCGCGTCCTTCACGCGCTCGAACGTCGCGCGCGCGATGTCTTCCCAGCGCGGGTGGTTCACCACGGACGTCATCGGCGCCTTCACGGGCCCGTCCTCGTCGTCGTCGAGGCCGTCGTCCGGCGTCGCTGTTTCGTCGTCGTCGTCGTCGTCGTCGTCGTCCTTCCCCGCGTCGTCGTCCTTCGGCTCGCGCGTCGCCGCGGTGATCGACAGGTTGGTGATCGTCAGCATCGCGACCGCGGCGTCGTCGCCGTCGTCGCTCGCGATCGCGTCCGCGATGGCGTCGATCAGCGCGGGCGCGACGGCGTGCTGGAGGATGACGCGGCAGTGCCGCGCGCGTCGATGCGTCAGGTGCGCGAGCTCCGCGAGGCTCTCTCGCGTCGCCGCCTTGGAGCCCTCGCGCGTCGGCATCGCGTCGAGCAGCTCGCGGAGCCTCGCCCGCGCGGTCTTCTCCTCCTCGGGCGTCTCCTCATCGGTCGTCGCGTCCTCGGTCGCGTCCTTGGTCGGCCCGGGGACCGCGGCCGAGCGCTCGCCGGCGCCGACTTCCTCCTCTTCTTCGCGAGCGCCGACGACGACCGCCTCGCCGACCGCGCCGTCGTCGCTCGCCGCCGCGGCGTCCGTCGACGGCGGCGACGAAGACGGCGACGCCCGCGGCAGTCGAAACGGGCGATCGAATCGCTTCGCGACGCAGCAGTACCGGTCGCACGCGTCCGACGCCATCCCGGCCGTCGCGCCTCCAGATCTGCGCCCCGGTCCCCGACGCGTGCAGCCCCCGGGTAACGAGACGCCGCGCCGCGTGCAACAGACTGGATGACTCATCACCCCAAAAAAACTCGACTCCTTTCGGCGCGGGCGTCTCGCCTCGCGCGACCCCGGGCTTCGGTCGACGCGATACGCGAACTACACGTACGGATGTTCTACGCCATGACTCTACCAAAAGTGTATGAGTGCTATCGCTAATCCTTCCTACCCGTCACCGCGCGCGTTCACTCCTCGCCGCCGCCGCCGCCGCCGCCGCCGCCGCCGTCGCCGGCGAATAAAAAGTTAAACACCTGTTTCAACGTCCCCCGCGACGGCCGGCTCTCCGGGTGCTGACGCGAAACCTCGGCGAGGCATTTCCTCACCGCCTCTTTGCTCACGCGCGGCGCGGAAGATCCGTGGAGGCGCGAAGACGCGATGCGCGCGACGGCGACACCGACGCAGTGATCGAACCCGTCCTCGCACGCGACTAGGACAACGCCGCCGCCGCCGCCGCCGCCGCCGCCGCCGGCCGAGCGTTCGCGTATGAACTTCAGCGCGGCGGGGAGCCCGTTCGCGACGTCGTTCCGCGCCACCTTCGCGCGGTGCATCGGGACGTGGAGGTACGGCTTCGGCGCCGGCGGCGGCGGCGCGGCGTCGCCCGCCGCGGTCGCGGTCGCCGTCGCCGTCGCCGTCGCCGTCGCCGCTGCCGGATTTGGCAACGCGACGCCTTCCGGCCCCGTCGGCGCGTCCCCGCCCACGTACAGCACCGCGTCGACGCGCTCCCACGCGCGCGCGCACCGTATCGCCTCCCTCGACCCCAACACAAGCCCGTGACCGACGATATCGCGCGTCGCGCCGTCGTGAAGCGCGCCGAGTCTCGCCGCCGCGGCGTCGCGCGCCTTCGCGGAGAGGCACCCGACCGGGTCGAGCCTCGACGCGTCGCCGTCCCTGGGGGGGAGATCTTCGCGACGACAACGACGACCGCCGCCGCTGCTGCTGCCGCCGCCGCCGCCGCCTTCTGTCGCTTCCACGATGGCGTCAACCGCGCGCGCGCACCCGCCGGGCCCCGCCGCGAAGATGTCCCGACGCCGCCGCCAAAACGCGCGCGCGGTGAGTCCCCTCGCCCAGCTCTCCTCGTCGTCGCCCGCGCCGGGAACGTACGCGAACGAGTCGCCCTCCGCGGTGGACCGCCTCTCCCCGCGTCCGCATAGCGGCGCGGAGGCGGAGAGGAGGACGATGGGCGTGAACGGCAGCGACGCGTCGGTTACTTTCGGCCACGACCTGGTTTCCGACGATACCCACACGCATCGCAGCGGCCGACGGAGCGTCTCGCACAGCGTCGAGAGGTCCGCGCCCGAGGACCGGAGCGTCGCCACGAAGTCGTCCATCTTCGCTCGTATCGACGCGCGCTCGACGTCGCTCACCCACAGAGGCAGGTGTGGTCCGTCGTCGTCGTAGTCGTCGGCGGCGGCGTCGGCGGCGGCGGCGGCGTCGCGGCGTTCCGACGTCGCGTCGTCGTCGTCGGCGGCGGCAGTACCCTCGGCCTCGTCTCCGCGCGCGTCGCGCGCGAGGCGCCTCGACTCCGCGACGCCGCGATTCAGCACCTCCGCCCACACCGGTATCGTCTTCGACATCGAGTCCGGGAACCGCTTCGTCGCGCTCCTCGTGGCGTCGACGACGACGCATCCCCCGCGCGTCGCCGCCGCCTCCGCGACGTGCGCGTTCAACCGCGTCGCGCTGAAGCTCCAGTTGTTGTTGTGCCCGTCCGTGGACTTGAAGTAGCACGTCCTCGTCGTCATCGCGGCGGCGTCGGCGTCTTCGTTCGCCTCGTCGTCCTCGTCCTCGTCCTCGTCCTCGTCCTCGCGCGGCGCGACGTACCACGCCCCGCATCGGAGGTTCGCGAACACGGGGAACCCGGGGAATCTCGCGCGGCACGCCTCTCGGACGAACGCCGCGTCGTGCGCGATGCTGCGCAGGCAGTTGTGTATCCCGTGGTCGTCCTTCTTCAGAGCGCGGACAACCTTGTAGATGTTCTGGACGCCGACGTCGCGGATGTCGTCCGCGTCCGCGGCCATGGCGGTGTGCGGCCGCCCGGTCGAGGTACCGCGGTAGGAAGTCAAGTTTCGTCTGGCTGGTCGCGCTCGCGGTCGGCACCTCGCAGTTCGGTCGCTCCGACGATCAGATCTGATCTCCGCGCGCGCGACCCGTCGTCTTCGTCGCCGACATGACCGCGGCGACGGCCGACGACCCGGGCGCGGAAGCGGACGACTGGGTGCACGTTCCAGCGTAGGGCGCGCTCCGTTCCGTTCCCTCTCTCGCGATCGATCGCCCGTCCCGTGCGCGCGCGTCCTTCCGTCTCGCCTTCGCAGATCTCGTCCAACGTCGTCGACTGACCATTCGTCCTCTTCTCTCCTCGACGACGACCGCGCGCGCAGTAACCCGGACGAGCAACTGATGGAAAACCGCGCGCGCCCGCCGCTGCCGCCGGTCGCCGGGACCGCGGTCGAGCTCGTGGAGCGGTTCTTCGCGACGCAAGAGCGCAGAGCCGCAATCTACGCGCGGTTCCGCGACGACTTCGCGTCGCACCTGCGCGGGGAGACCACCGCCGGCGACTACGACGCGCGCGTGCGCGCGATAACGTCCGACATGGCCGCGTGCTCGTTAGAGGCGATCGCGATCGAGGAGGCGCTGAAGACGAAGGGGCGCGACGCCGCGTCCGCGTCGATCCGCGTCGCGCAGATGGGCGAGAAGACGAAGCTCAACATGACGTGCACGCTGCAGGTGCTACGAAAAGCGGCGAGCGAAGGGCGGTGGTCGTGGCAGAGGGAGCGCGGCGCGGAGGAAGAGGTCGCCGCGGCCGCCGCGCGCGTCGCCGTCGAGGCGCTCGCGATGGAGGAGGAGCGAGCGAGAGACGCCGCGAGGGCGCGACGCGGCGGGGGGCTGAGGTGCGTTCTATACGCTGGTCCCCATACGACCGCGTTGGCGTGGTGAACGCCGTTTCTTAAGGACTTTGCCCGGCGTGTCTCTCCGCCCACACCACGGTTTCAATCCCCGCCCTCGACGCCTTTCAACTCCAACTGACGCCTTTCAACTCCACCCCGACATTCGCTCGTATAGAACGGCCCTGAACCCCGGGTGGGCGAACGGGAATTTTTGCGCCGCGCACGACGCGGGGGGGGCGACGGCGGCGGCGGGGGCGGCGTGTTCGTGCTTCGACTCGGCGGAGGACGGCGCGGGAGAGCCGACGAGAGAGGAGTACGACGGCGCGACCGCGGAGGCGACGAAAGCGCTGGAAGAGGCGGTGATCGGGATCAACGAGGCGCTGCAGGAGCTCAAGTACGAGCTCGCGGAGATGCGCGAGGAGGAGGAGGAGGAGTAGAAAAATTAATGAACCTCAAGACTCGAGACGACGCGACCCGTCGAAGGAACAAGCCGGGCGGGAGGCCGACGTCGCGGCCGACGCCGCGCTCGAGAGGTGGGCGGTAAAGAATAAACTGCGCTCAAAGATATACAAAGCACGACACAGCTCGCTCGACGCTCCGCTCCCCGCCCGGACGTTCTCTCGTCGATCACATCACGCTACCACCGGCACAGCCGCAAACCCCGCAAACCATAGAGACTCAGATCAAAGTCTTACGCGATCTCGCAGGTGGCGCCGCCCTCGGTGAGCGTCTTCATCGCCTCCTCGCACTCCGCCTTGGACTTCCCCTCGAGGATCGAGAACGGGAGGTTCGTGACCGCGTCCTTCGCCTCCTTGAGACCGAGGGACGTGAGCGAGCGGACAACCTTGATGATCGCGATGCGCTTGGACGCGTCCACGTCCTTGATGACGAGGTCAAACTCCGTCTTCTCCTCAGCCGCCTCGGCGGCGCCGCCCGCGGGACCCGCGGCCATCACCATGCCGCCCGCGGGGGCGGAGGCGTCGACGCCGAAGACCTCCTCGATCTGCTTGACGAGCTCGGACGCTTCGAGAAGCTGCGTTTCGTTTCGTTCGTTTGTCGCGCGGTGGGTTTGAAGGGAGGGAGGTCAGGTCGGCGGGCGTTCGGTGAAACGAAAGAGCGACGGGACGCCGCGGGAAGGATTTCCGGACGCCGCGCCGCGCGGAACCGGCGCGACGCGGCGGCGGCGACGTCGCGACGACCGCGACGCGTCGCGCGCGCGTCGTCGCGCGAGGCGACGGAGATGATTCTCCGCGTCCTCTCGCGACGGCGCGCTCGCGGACGAACGTCGCGCGCGCGATGCGCTCGCCGCCGAGCCGACCAAAAACCTAGGGCTAAACCGCGCAGATTTCGCGGAAAGCGCGGACGGAGGACGACCGGGAAACGTCGACCGAGCGCGCGCGCGCACCGTGAGGCCCTTCATCTTCTCGATGATGTCGTCGGTGGTTGCGGACATCGCGACGACGCCGAAGCGCGCGGACGCCTTGGGGCGGGAGAACGCCTTGGAGCGAAGCGCCTGCGGACGGAGCGAAGCGGCGGAGGAGGGAGAATTCAGCGACGAGAAACGCGATGACGACGACCTAGCGGCCGGCGAGCGAGAGACGCGGCGCGCGCGCGAGCCGGCGACGAGACGCGCCTTGGTGGACTTCACCGGCGCCTTCACGCTCATGCGAAGGGACGCGGAGGTCATGGAGACGGTCATGGCAGCCATTGTACTATGTGGTGTTCCGTGTAGCGAACAGTGCGGCGTCGCGCGACGTCGTCGCGCTGTTATCCACTCCACTCCGCCGAGATGACTTCGGCGCGCTTCGCGCTGAAGAAGAGGTCGACCGACCGCATGCGGTCGGTCGACTCACACCCGCGTTTTTCCGCACCCATCGTTCGCGCCAACACTCGTCACTCCTCGCGCGCGTCGGGAGGGATGCTCGCGGCGTCCTCGCTCGAGCGGTTCCGGTTCGCGGGCGCGCGCGTCGGCGGCGTCGTGACCGCCGCGGCGACCCGAGGGGGCGCGGACGAGCTCGCGTCCCCGCGACCGCGCGCGGCGCCGCGATCGGGGACGAAGAAACACCGCGACGACGACGACGTTTTCGACGACGCGCGCAAGCGGCCGCGCGACGTCACGACGGCGGACGCGCCCTCGACGCCGCCGCAGCCGTCAACAAAACCGCCGCCGCCTTCGCCGCTCTCTCAAGCAAGCGTCGCGCGAACCCCGTTCATCGCGCCATCGCCCGCGCGGTGGCGCGAGCGCTACGCCCCGACGTGCGAAGCGTGCGAGCGGGATCGCAAACACTGCGCGCATCACGCGGAGGTCCCTCTGAAGCTCCTGATCATCGGCCACAACCCGTCGGACCACTCCTGGGAGAGCGGGTACTCGTACAGCAACCCGTCGAACAACATGTGGAAGCTGCTGGTCAGAGGAGAGATCATACCGAGCGCGTGGACGTCGGACGACTGCCCGCGGTTGGCGGGCGAGCTCGGGATCGGATTCACAGACGCGGGAACGGAGCCCGGGAACGACGCGAACGCGTACGGCCGCGCGGTGATGAAGGAGTGGAGGGAGGACTTATACGCGCGGTTGCGCGGGCACCTGTGCCGAGCGAGCGGGCGCGCGATTGGCGGAGAGGAGGGTGACGTGGCGGATGAAATTGATGACGCGGCGAAGACGTGGCGGGCGACGGCGGCGGCGTTCGGCCCGTCCGTCGTCGCGTTCGCGGGAAAGCGGCAGTACGCGCAGCTCTTCGACACGATCCCGAAGCGCGTCGAGGTCGGGAAGCAGCCCCCCGGATCGTTGCCGCCGCGTTGGCCGTTCTGCGAGGACGCGACCGAGGTGTGGGTGTTACCCTCGAGCAGCGGTCGCGCGGCGATGACGAGAGAGGCGCGGGAGACGCCGTATCTCGAGCTCGGCGCGAGGCTCGCGGAGGTGGAGTGGCCGCGCCGCGACGGCGGCTTTCGCGGCGGAGCGGAGCGACGTCGTGAGCCGATGAAGGTACTGCTCAGGTACGATAGATAGATGAACGTGATTATACATTTATACGTTAGGATCCCCGCGAACGACGCGAGGTGCGGTAGCGAGAGGGCCTTCCCCGCCGCGAGCGACTTTCTTTCGAGTCTCGTCTTGTCTCGCGTCGTCACACGCGGCTGGAGTCGCGCCCCCAGAAGGACTTCTTGAACCAGTCCCCGACGACCAGGAACTTGTTCCTCCACGACACGCAGTTCGAGAAGTACACGCCGTACCACAGCAGCATCGTGCCGTAGCCTTTGCTCACGAAGTCCCCGGGTAAGTCCAGCGCGGCTTTGTTCGCCCCGAGGTTCGCGAACGACCCCAGGTGCGTGTACTCAAACGGTCGGTACACGACCGTTTCGCCGTTCTTCTTCGCCCTCGCCTGCGCGTTGAGCTCCCGCGCGAGAAACTCCCCTTGCTGATTCGCCACCTGCGCCGTGCTCGGGTGCGAGGTCAACAGCGCGTCCGCTTCCTCCATCGCCGCGCGGAACTCCGTCCTATTTAGCGCCGCGTCCTTGGAGACGTCAAACTTATCCATGATGTCAGTCAACCTCGAGTCCGACCCTCCCTTCGTGAACGTCGCGAGGTGCGGATACTTGTCCTCCAGGCTCTTCATCACCGCCCGGAACTCGTCCTTGTCCACCGTCCCGTTGCCGTCCGCGTCCGCGAGCGCGAAGAGCTCGTCCGCGCGGTCGAGCAGCTCCGTGCCGGTGGCGGCTTTGGACTTGACGTCGGCGCAATCTCCCAACGCGTACACGGTGCCGCGCATCTCCGGCTTCCCCGTCGTCCGCCGCACGCCTCGAACTTGGAGGTACTTGTCCACCGCGATCGCGCGCCGCCGCATGTTTTGGCCAGCCTGTCTCTTCAGCTCTCTCGCGAGCGCGTGCGTCCCGAGGCCGGTGCTCCAGACGCAGACGCCGAAGGGAATCTTCGTGACTTTTTTCGTCTTCTTATCCATCACGCTCGCCTCGTTCGGCCGCACCTCCGTCACCCTCGCGTTCGTCACGAGCTCGATGCCGTCGCGCGCGAACTTGGACTCCGCGTACTCGCTTATGCGCGCGTCGTACGTGTTCAAGATGTGATCCGCGGACTGCACGACCGTGATGCGCGCCTTTTCGGCGAGTCCCGGGTACAGCTTCGGGACGTCGTCCCTCAGAAAGTCGTGCAGCTCCGCGGCGAACTCCACCCCGGTCGGCCCCCCGCCGACGACGACGACGCTCAGCATCCTCCGCTGCTCCTCCTCGCTCACGCCCGGCAGCGACGCGGTCTCGAACAAGTCCGCGAGCTTACGCCGGACGTCGCGCGCGTCGTCGATCTCTTTCAGAAAGTTTACGACGCCGCGACGCACCCCGGGGGTGTTGAACGTGTTCGGCGGCGCGCCGATCGCGACGACGAGCTTGTCGTACGACAGCGTGAACCCCGGGTTCGCAGCCTTGATCTCGCTCTCGTCGACGCACGTCACCGTCTTCGCGCGCACGTCCACGGCGTTCGCGGCGGCTTCGTAGAATCGCGACTGTCCGGGTTTTCCCGGGAGCAGGCGCCGCACGGGCTCGATGAGCGACCGCGCTTCCACGGTCCCGACGGTCACGCCGGGGAGGAGCGGCGTGTTCAGGAAGAAGTTCCTGGGGGACACCACGGAGACGTCGTACAGGTTCGGGTCGATGTTCTTCACGAGCGCGACGGCGCCCCAGCCGCTTCCGAGGATCACGAGCTTCTCGCGGGGATCATTGGATGTTTCGGAATTCGGCGTGTTCATCCCTCCGCTCGCGTCCGCGCGCGCGACCGGGAGCACGCGCGAGGTGTCGTACGTCCCGGTCGGGTCGAAGTACGACGGATGCGGGGAGAACGCCACGGCGCCGCCGCCGACGAACGCGGCGGCGCCGAGGCGCAGAGCCGCGCGTCGGAACGCCATCGCGCGCGTCCGATTCTGCTGTGCAGTGACTCATCAACCGGTCCGACACCTGACCGAACCGCCGTTCCGTCCGAGGCGGTCGGCAGACCGCGTCGCGCGCGATGCCGCCGCCGCGCGAGCGCGCATCGCCGCGGCGGACGCCCTCGCGATGGCGCGCGCGACGACCGAGAAGACTCGCGATCGCGCTCGTCCTCTGCGCGCTCGCGGCGCTGTCGCCGCGCGCGTCCGCGGCGGTCGACGACGCCTCGGCCGACGACGATCCCCAAGTGCGAGGATCCATCGCGATCGAGCTCTCCACGAGAGACGCCGTCGCGGCGCGGCGCGACACGTACACGTACGCGCACGCGTCGATGCCCAAGGACGGCGCGCACTACATCGCGCGGTTCGAACCCAAGGCGGACATGGCGATCGTGCATCACATGCTGCTGTTCGGGTGCGAGCGCGGCGTCGCGTCGACGCTGCGCACGCGAAGCGGCGGAATGTTCAGCGCGCCGGGCCCCGCGGCGACGTCCGTCGAGCCGAGAGGCGCGATGTGCGCGGACTCGAACGTCGAGCCGTTCATCTTCGGCTGGGGGAAGAACGCACCGGACTTGGTCCTCCCGAAGGACGTCGGCTTCCGCGTCGGCGCGGAGGGCGGCGGGTTCGAATCGCTCGTGCTGGAGGTGCATTATCTCGAGGCGCAGGCGCGTTCTCCTCGCACCGGTCCCCGTACGACCGCGTCGGCGTGGTGAACGCCGATCCTTAAGGACTTTTCTTCCCGGCGTCTCTCTCCGCCCATCACCCCCGCTTTCAATCCCGACACACCTCGACGCCTTTCAACTCCGCTTCTGACGCCTTTCAACTCCACCCCGATATCATCGCTCGCATGGACAATTACCCTCAGCCGGCGTCGTCCAACGCGACGTCCGGGCTCGTCGTCCACCTCATTCCCGGGACGCCGTCGCGCTCGATGTCCGTCGTCGCGTTCGCGCAGGGGTTCGAGTTAGCGGCGGGGAAGGAGGAGATCTTGGTCGCGAACACGTGCGCGTACGCGGCGCCGCGGCCGCTCGTCGCGTTTGCCTTTCGCGTCCACGCGCACGCGTTGGGTCGGAACGTCTCCCTGGAGTCGCTCGTCGGCGGTCACAACCCGGATCCGAGGGCGGAGGTGACGACACTTAAAACGAAAACGCTCTCGGATGGTCCGTTTCAGTTTCATGCCGCGCCCGTGATGCGCGCGAGCCGCGACTCGCGCCTGCCGCAGATGTTCGAAGAGCTCTCCGAGGCGGCGGCGTTCGCTCTGCTCCCCGGGAGTAAAGTACGCGTCACGTGCGCGTTCGATACCACCTCGCGCGACGCCCTCACGCGCGCGGGGTGGGGCCACGACGACGAGATGTGCAACCTGTACCTCATGGTCCACGCGGAGGAGCCGGTGTACCTGGGGTGCGTCGGCGACGCGAGGTACGGCGCTGGGCCTCACGGCGTCGCTGCGAGGATGACCGTGGAACACTCGCCCAAGGTGAGACTGGTTCCCATACGACCCCATTGGCGTGGTGAACGCCGATCCTTAAGGACTTTTCCCGTCGTCTCTCTCCGCCCACACCTCGCTTTCAATACCCGACCGCGATGCCTTTCAACTCCGACTGACGCCTTTCAACTCCACCCCGACATCATCTTCAAGGACGCGCGGGGCGGCGGCGGCGGCGGCCGCGGCGGCGGCGTCGCGCCGGACCCTTCCGAGCTGCGCGCTCACGTCGTCCCGCCGCCGTCGAGAAGAAAGTCGTGGCCGAGAGAGATTGGGCAGGTGGGCGGCGTCGCGGTGGAGCCGGACGGGCGGCACGTGTGGGTGTTTCACCGCGCGTCGCGGGTCTGGGACGCCGCGTCCTTCGTCGACGATGAGTATACGATGCCTCCCGGGACGCCGCCGATCGAGGAGGACGTCGTCGTCCGCGTGTGCGCGGTCACCGGCGACGTCGTCGCGTCGTTCGGCGCGGGGAAGCACTACATGCCTCACGGGATCTCTTTGGCGCCGGACGGGCACGTGTGGGTCACGGACGTCGGGTCGCACGCGGTGTCGAAGTACGACCCGGCGACGGGAGAGGAAGTGGCGAGGTTCGGAGAGAGGAGGAGAGAGGGGGACGACGACGGCGGTAAGACGCGGTTCTGCGCGCCCACGGACGTGGAGGTCGCGGAGGACGGGTCGTTCTGGGTGACGGACGGGTACTGCGGCGACAGAGTCGCGCGGTTCGACGCGAACGGCGCGTTCATCTCGGAATTCCGCGGCGGCGGCGGCGGCGGAAACGAGACGGCGAGACCGAAGACGTTTTCGGTGCCGCACGGAATCGCGCTCGACAGCGCGAACGGCCGTCTGTTCGTCGCGGACCGCGAAAACGCTCGCGTCACCGAGCACGACCTCTCCGGCGCGCTCCTCCGCGCGCATGACCTCTCCAAGCACGGCTACGTGTACGACGTCGGACTGATCAAAGACGAGAGCCGCGGTATGAACGGGTTTTACGCGTTGTGTTGGCGGCGCGACGCCGCCGCCGCCGCCGCGCCGGTTCGCGTCGCCGCGACGTGGGAGCCGATCGGCGGCGGCGGCACCGCGCTCACGACGACGAGCGCGCACTGGGACCTCCCTCCCGGCGCGGTGACGCACCCGCACGCGCTGTCGGTGTTCCCCGGCGCGGTCGGCGGCGCGGACGCGTGGGGTTTAGGCGTCGGCGTCTTCGTCGGCGAGACGCGACCGTCGCTCGGCGCTCCGTCGCTCAGACGTCTGTGGATCGGGAAGGCGTTCGACGCGAAGACGAACGTCGTGGCGCCGCCCAGGGGCTGGAACGCGAGCGCGGTGGCGGAGAGGGCGGCGGCAGCGGCGGCGGCGGCGGCGAAGAAGAAGAAGAGGCCGCTCTCCGACGACGACGCGGACGACGTCGTCGAGGACGCCGACGCCGCCGCCACGTGGGTCGGAAGCGCCGGCGCCGCGGACGTCGACGTCGTCGAAACCCCCGCGTCGTCGACGTCGACGACGCCGACGCCGTCGTCCACCGACCGCCCGCCGACCACTTTTGATCGCGAAGGACGGCTCCCCGCGCCGCAGCACGGCGGCTCGCGCGCCGCGGGGTTCGACGGCGTCGTGACGGAGACGACGCCGGGCGGCGGGCCCGGGGAGGGGCGGTCGGGGTGGGCGAATTTATTGGCGTCGCCGCCGCGGACGGCGTTCGTCTCGGCGTTGATCTTGGGGTGCTGCTACTGCTACGCCGCGCGAGGGAAGTTCATCGCGGCGCTGATAGGGCAGACGTATCAGCTGTTGAAAGGGACGCCGGGTGAGAGCGGGGAACTGGTGGGAGCGGCGTACGAGCGACAGCGCCGCGGGCGGTCGCGTTCGCCGTCGGAGACGGAGATGTCGTCTAGATTTGGGGATATCTAGAGCTACGCGCTATCGCTTTCGCTTCTTCTTAGAGGACTTGGAAGACTTCTCTCTCTTTTTCTTCGTCTTCTTCTTCGTCTTCTTCTCTTTCTTCCGCTTCTTCTCGCGCGATCGACCGCTCGAGGAGGAGGAGGAGGAGGAGGAGGAGGACGAGTCGCTCTCGGAGCCGTCGTCGTCTTGCCGCCGTTTCCTCCCGCCGCCTCCCGCGGCCTTCTTCTTCTCCTCCGCCCACTTCTCGTACTCCGGCGGCAGCGTCCCCCCCGCGCACTTCTCCGACCGTCGTATCAGCTCCTCGTCCGCGCTCGCGCGCTCCGCCCGCGCCGCCGCCGCCGCCCTCTCTCCCATCGCGCGCAGACGTTCCTGCTCCTCCGCGCCGCCGCCGCCGCCGCCGACGTCCGCGCGCAGCCGTCTCAACTCCCTCATCGCGTCGTCGCCTCTTCCCAACGCGATCAGCGCGTCGCACGCGCGTCGCCGCGCCTTGACGTAGTTGTCGTCCGCGCGCAGCGCCGCGGTCGCGTCGTCGAACGCGCCTCGATGATCGCCCAGCGCCGCGCGCGCGGCGGCGCGATTGCACAAGAGGACGCCGCCGCCGACGACGAGCGACGTCGAGCCGCCGCTACGTGTACCGCCGCCGTAAGGACACGGCGCGTCGAGCGCTCTCGTGTACGCCGCCGCCGCGTCATCGAGCTCGCCGCGACCGAACGCGTCGTTCCCTTCCGCCCTCGCCGCGTCCGCGCGTCGCAGCGCCGCGAGGAGCTTCGCGTCCGTCCCGTCGAATCGCTCGCGGAGTTGACGATGGAACGCGTACGCTGAGTCCAAGGACGCGCGCGCGGACGGGACGACGTCGATCACCGCGGGGATCCCGAGGCGGACGCACGCGCTGCCGACGCGCTGCCGCGCGCGCGCGTACGATTCGTCGAGCATCACCGCCATGATGGCCTCCGCGCACGCTTCTCGGTCGCGGCCTCCGTGCGCGAGCAGCGCGGCGGATTTGTTCGCGTGGAGGATCGCCAGCGTGGACGCGTCCGGCGAAGTCGACGAGCTCTCCGCGCGCCTCGCGTCGTCGTACGCGTCCGCGGCGGCGGCCCACTCTCCGCGACGATACAGCGCGGTGGCGGCCTCTTTAAGAGAGGCCGCGTCCGAGGACGCCATAAGCGCGGTGTGCGCGCGCGGGACTAATATCTTATAAAGCGCGCTCGTTCGCTTTTCGTCATCGTCAGATCCTGTCACTTTTCGAGCGCACTCCGCACGGCGTCCTCCACGATGGCCGCGGCGACGACTTCGGCGTCCATCTCGGCGACCCTCGCGTCGCGTCGCCGAGGCGACGCGATGTGCCAGCGGAACGTCGCCGCCGCGTGCGCGAAACCGCGGCGGGCGGGCCCGTGCCGTCGTCCCGACGCCGCCGCCGCGGGATTCCGCCGACGATTCGAGGCGGCGTGCTCGTCCTCGTCCTCGTCCTCGTCCTCGTCCTCCCCGATAGACCCCGACGACGTCTCCGCGCCGGCCGAGCGCGACGACTACGCGGCGTGGAAGTCGTCCAAAGACGACGAGACGGAGTCGTTCAAGCGCGCGGCGAGGAGGGACGACGACGACTTCGTCGTCGGCGCCAAGCCCCTCGACGAGAAACAATTATCGCAGGTGATGCTTCAACTCCTGACGAACCACTCCCGCGGCGTCCCCGCGGCGATGCTCCTCGACAAAGTCAAGAAAGACATGTGCCTGGACGGGTACAAGTCCGTGCTCGTCGGCATCGGGCGGACGCGGCAGTGGGCGCTCGCGAGAGAGGTCGTGGAGTGGGTCCGAGCGCAGGGCGTCGAGCAAGGCGAGCGAGGAAGCGAGGTGCTGACGTCCAACTGGTTCGTCGCGTTGATTCAACGCCGCGTGGACGAAGGCGAGTGGGACGCGGCTGTCGAGGTGTTCGAATACATGCGCGACTTTGGAGGCGTGCCATCGGGCGAGTGCGTGGAGATGTTCGCGAGGGTGACGGACCACGAGGGGGAGATGAGCGAGATGACGACGTCGCGGTGTCGCGCGGTGGGCGCGTGGCTGGCGTCGTCGGACGCGGGGAAAGCGCTGTGGCATCTCAGCTTCGGCGTCCCAGGGATGGAGGCGCCGCGCGACGTCGCGCCGAGCAAGACGATACGGATCGCGATGCCGAGCGAGGAGTGGGACATCGACGGCGACATCGACGTGTTGAGAGACAAGCTCAAGGACTACCTCGACTAGTAGACAGACGCGCGGACGACGGGACGCTAGCTAGAGAGCGAGAGAAGGAAAGAAAGAATTTGGTTTCGAAGTTTAATATTTCACACCGCCGTCGTCGCGCCTCGTCGACGTCCCCGACGATCCGTCCGAACGTCCGTCCGTCCGCCCGTCGCTTCACTCACGCGTGCTCCACCTGCTTGAACACCTCGTCCACGACCTCCGCTAACGTCGGGTGCGCGTGGACCGCGAACTTGAGGTCCGTCGCCTTCATCCCATTGTTGATCGCGTTGGACGCCTCGTGAATGAGATCCGCCGCGTGCAAGCCCATGATCCACATCCCGAGAATCTCCTGGGTGTCCGAGCGGTAGATGAGCTTCGCCATGCCGTCCGCCTCTTTCTCCGCCAACGCCTTCGAGTTCGCCTTGAACGACGTCTTCTTCACCGTGATCTCGAACCCCTCCTCCTTCGCCTTGTCCCGCGCCTGTTCCTCGGTGAGACCGACGAAGGACACCTCCGGGTGCGTGAAGCACGCCGCCGGGACGGAGTTGTGGTTCAACACCCTGTCCCGACCCTGCATGCACTCGATCGCGGCGATCCCCTGCGCGGACGCCGCGTGCGCGAGCATCATCTTCCCGTTCGCGTCGCCGATGCACCACACGCCCTCGACGACGCCGCCGTCCTTATCCAGCACTTGCATCTTCTCGTTCACGGGGACGAACCCTCTCTGCGTCTCGACGGAGATCGCCTCGAGGTTGAGACCTTCGGTGTACGGCGCGCGGCCCGTCGCGACGAGGCACGCGTCCACCTCCATCTGGTCCACGACCTCCCTGGTCTTGAAGTCGCTCAGCTCGATCGTCACCGGCTTTTCACCGGGGATCCCCGGGGTCACCTTGGTCGCGAGGACGTCGGTGACGTAGTCGATGTTACGCGGCTGAATCAAGATGCGCTCCGCCTGCTTGCCGATCTCCGCGTCGAACCCCGGCATGATCTTCGGCATCGCTTCGATGAACGTCACGTCCGACCCGAGCGCGGTGTACACGTCCGAGAACTCGAGCCCGATGTACCCGGACCCGATGATCGCGACCCACGGCGGGATCCAGTCGAGCTTGAGCGCGTCGTCCGACGTGAAGACTGTCTTCCCGTCGATCTCGATCCCGGGCGGGACGAACGGCGTCGAGCCGGTGGCGATGATTATGTTCTTCGCCGTGCACTTCTTATTGCTGTACGAGATGGTGTGGTTATCCCTCAGCGTCGCCGCGCCGAGGAGGATGTCCACGCCGAGGCCTTTCATCGAGTTGGTCAGGTTGTTGCGAATGTTTGTCGCGAGTCCCGTGGCGTGATCCGCGATGCCCTGGCGATCGAACCGCACGTCGTCCACCTCGATCCCGAGCATCTTGAGGTGATCCGCGTTTTTCATGTCTCTCACGCGTCCGGACGCGGCGAGGAGCGCCTTCGACGGCACGCACCCGCGGTTCACGCACGTCCCACCGATGACGTCGCCCTCGATGATCGCCGTCTTCAGGCCGCACTCCACCGCGTGCAGCGCCGCGCCGTGGCCGCCGACGCCCGCGCCGATGATGACGAGGTCGTAGTCGTACTCTCCCTTCGCGGCGGCGAATGCGACGAACGCGGGGGCGCGGGAGCGCGGGCCCTTCGCGGAGATCGCGCCGCGGCGGCTGCGATGGACGCGATGCGATGGACGGAGAGATGGAGGCGAGAGGAGAGGTCAGACCCCGGGGTGGACGGACGAGATGAACGAGTGTTCATCGATCATCGCTCGAGCGCTGAGAAACGAAGAACGCCACTGAGGCGCGCTATTATCCGATGGACGTGTCGCGCGTCCCGGGAGGCGAGGCGCCGGCCGGGATCGGCGCGACGCCGCCCGCGCGACGGCGGAAACGACGCGAAGCGATGCGCGATCACGGTAAGCGTACCTGATGGACATCACGGGCGCGCCGTTGAAGGAGGACGCGCGCGCGCGGACGGTCGCGGGCGCGGCCGAGGACGCGCGTCGATGCGTCGTCGTCGTCGTCGTCGTCGTCGTCGCGCTCGCGGCGGTCTTCCGGGAAACGGCCGCGCGCGCGCCGACGGCGCGCGGCGCGCCGGCGATGGACGTGGAGGTCATCGTGAACATCCTCGCGCGCGTGATGTGTGTGCGGGAAGGACCGGGGCGGTCGCTTCGCGAGTCGAGGAGTGCGGTTCCGAGGACGCGATGGCACCGGCGTCGTGCAGGTCTCGTCGCGACCGTCGACGAGCGCGAAAAGCGCGAAGTGGATCAGGTCCGGAACCCCCATAACCTCACACAAAACGCATTCAGACCAGATTCAGACTAAATAGTCATACGATTTCGTTCGCGATTTCGCAAACGGTCAAAAAACGCAAAAAGACCGTTAAACGCGCCGACGCGCCATTCCACGGACGCGCGACGCGACGCCCACGGAAGCACCCGCCACCATGAGCCCTCAGTCCGAGCGATGGCTCGCCAAGGCGGCGGCGAAGCAGCGAAACGAAGGCCCGACCGCGGCGCCCGGTTCCGTGATGAGCAAGCGATCCCAGTACAGCGGCGAGTCAGATCCATTCAACTACGCGACCGGCATGATGTCCTCCCACAGCGGCGGCGACGCCCGCGCGGAGGAGAGTAGACGGTCGTACGCGCGATACCCGGAGCCGAGCGAGATGCGCGAGGTGCGCATCGTTCCTCACCTTACCCGCCCGCGCGCGCGCCGGCGATACGCGTCGCGCGACGCGTATCGCGCATCGCGCGCGCGTCGTCGTCCGCGTCACGCGGTTTTCGAAAGATCTTGTCGTTGGAAAAAACGAAAGAGCGACGTCGATGCGATGCGCGCCGCCGCCGCCGCCGCCGTCTCTTCGCGCGTCCAAACGAAACGAAACGAAACGAAACGAAACGAATCACCCTCTCGACGACTGAACCGACCCTCGTCCCCTCCCCCTCGCGCCCCGCGCCCCGTCCCGTCCCCCCTCCGTCGCAGTCCGTCGACGCGGTCGCCGCGTCGATGATCGAAAAGTTTGGCAACCTCTCCGCGGACGAGCCCGTGCGTCGCTCGCGATCAACGATCCCCTCCCGCCCCGTCCCCACCGCGGCGCCGATCGTGTGGGACACGCCGTACGACTCCACCGAAGGCGGCGTCCGCGACTCGCAGACGCGCTTCTTCAACCGCGGGAACGAGCGCCTGTACGAAGCGTACTCGCAGCTGCACTCCATGGCGCAGGCGCGTTCTATACACTGGTTCCCATACGACCGCGTTGGCGGGGTGAACGCCGATCCTTAAGGACTTTGCCCGGCGTGTCTCTCCGCCCACCTCTCGCTTTCAATCCCCACCCTCGACGCCTTTCAACTCCGCTTCTGACGCCTTTCAACTCCACCCCGACGTCGCTTCGTATGGAACAGGAGTTTGACAAGCCGTTCGACTCGCCGGCGATCCTCGTCGTCGGGCACCAGACGGACGGCAAGTCCGCGCTCGTGGAGGCGCTCATGGGGTTCCAATTCAACCACGTTGGCGGCGGCACGAAGACGCGGCGACCGATTGCGATCAACATGAAGTACAACGCGTCGTGCGTCGAGCCGCGGTGCTTCTTGCTTCGCGACGAGAGCTACGGCCGCGAGGAGGAGATGTCGCTGCCGGATCTTCAGCGGTACATCGAGAGCGAGAACCAGCGGCTGGAGAACGACAACGGGTTCTGGGCGAAAGACATCGTGGTGAAGATCGAGTACAAGTACTGCCCGAACTTGACGATCATCGACACCCCCGGTCTGATCGCCGCCGCGCCCGGGCGGAAGCACAGCAACTCTCAGCAGGCGAGCCGATCCGTGGAGAATCTCGTGCGCGCCAAGATGGAGCAGAAAGATTACATCATCCTCTGCCTGGAAGATAACAGCGACTGGAACAACGCGACGACGCGACGCGTCGTCCTCGACTGCGACCCGGAGCTTCGCCGCACCGTCGTCGTGTCCACGAAGTTTGACACGCGGATCCCGCAGTTTTCTCGCGCGAGCGACGTCGAACTCTTCATGAAGCCCCCCGGGAGGCTGCTCGAGCCTACGCTCCTCGGCGGCGGGCCGTTCTTCACGTCCGTCCCGAGCGGCCGCGTCGGCGGCGGGCGCGATTGCTTGTTCCGCTCGAACGAGCACTACCGCGAGGCTGTCGTTCGCCAAGAGCAAGCGGACACGAACGAGCTCGAGCGGCGGTGCGACAGGCGGCTCACCGGAAACGAGCGATCGCACGTCGGGGTGTCGCAGCTGCGTCACTTCCTCGAGCGTCTGCTGCAGCAGAGATACCTCGAGAACGTCCCGACGATCGTCCCGGTACTCGAGCGCGAGCACCGCGCGGCGTCGCTCAAGCTCCGCGACACCGGCGCGGAGCTCGATAACCTGGACACGGACAAGCTGAAGGAGAAGGGGCGCGCGTTTTATCAGCACTTTCTCGAGAAGATTCCAGAGCTGCTCCGAGGTACGATGGCGGCGCCGCCGCGCGTGTTCGGCGAGACGCTCGCGCACGAGCACATCCGCGGCGGCGCGTTCGTCGGCCCGGACGGCCGCCCCGTGGACCCGATGCGGTCCGGCATCGAGGTCCCGAACGGCGACATGCGGCTCTTTGGCGGGGCGCAGTATCACCGCGCGCTCGAAGAGTTTCGCGCCATCGTCAGCGCGGTGAATTGCCCGACGGTTTCCCGCGAAGACATCATCAACAGCTGCGGCGTGGACGAGGTGCACGACGGCGTCAACTACACGCGGACCGCGTGCGTGATCGCCGTCGCGCGCGCGCGCGAGACGTTCGAGCCGTACGTCCACCAGCTCGGGTTCAGGCTCGCGCACATCGCGCGTCGACTGCTTCCAGTCGCGATGTACCTGCTGCAAAAAGAAGGCCGCATCTTGACCGGCCACGAGGCGTTCTTGAAGCGGATCGGGAGCTGCTTCGCGAAGTTCGTTGACCAGAAGGTGAAAGCGTGCCAAGAGAAGTGCCGCGAGGACTTGCTCTCGACGACGCAGTTCGTGACGTGGTCGCTGCACAGCGGGAACCGGTCGGGCGTCGCGAGCGTGTTGGGCCCCCGCGGCGGCGGCGCCCGGGGCGGCGGCGGCGGCGGCGGCGGCGCGTACGACCGCGCGGATCCGTACGCGGACGAGAACGAGGCGCCGGATCCGTACGCGGACGCGGACGAGCGCAAGGAGCGAGGGAGGGATCGCTCGGACCGACGCGAGCGCGAGCGCGAGGAGAAGCGCGAGCGCGGGGACGACCGACGCGACCGCGACCGCCGCGACGAGAAGAAATCCTCGTCCCGCGCCGTCGCGGCGGTGCCCGGCAGCGACAACGTCGGGTCGAAAGACCTGATGCACGTGATGGACAACACGCTGTGGAACCGCAACATGCAGAACGTCACACTGGACGTCGTGGACATGCTCGTGAGGCAAATCTACGCCGGCATTCGCGGGTACGTCGTCCAGTCTGTGGAGCTCAAGTTTAACTGTTTTTTCCTCATGCCGCTCATGAACGAGTTCGCCGGGTTTTTGAGGCAAGAGATGGAGATCGCGTTCGACGAGAACCTCGACAGCGTGTTCGACGTCAGAGCCGTGCGCATGGCGCTCGAGGACCGGCAGAGGAAGCTCGAGTGCGAGCTCGAGCAGATGGAGCACATCCAGGATAAGTTTGCGACGATTCACACGCAGCTCGAGGCGCAGGCGAACTCGTCGCCGGCGACGACGGCGGCGGCGGCGGCGGCGGTGGAGGGCACATCGTTCTCTACGATGGCGGAGCGGGAGATCGAGGCGTCGAAGGTTGCGATGCGGGCGTCGCAAGACATGGCGCAGGAGTTGAAGCGCGCGAACCACGAGTTTTCGCATCACGAGAAGACGTACGGCGCGTCCCCGGCCAAGTCGCAGACGCGTCGGCCGCTCGGAAGCATCAACCACTGAGCCGAGCTCGAACGATCTATTACCTGTACACGTACCCCCTTCACGACACTTATCTTAATTTAACTTATGCAAAACGGCGGGAGGAAGCGCGGAGCCCGAGGAGCGGTGAAGTATCCCGCGGAGTACCAACAAAGAGCAGCGAGAGAGAAGCGGCGGGCGTTTGAACGACGATAGAAACACACCTTGTACATACGACAAACGCCGCGCTCGCGGTATTTCTTTCCCCCAAAACGTAAAAGCGAACGCGAACGCGCGCGCGGAAGAAGGGATTCGGTGTGACGCTAACAACTATCATGAATTACACAACAACACATCGTCTACGTACGAGACCTCTCATCAGTCTTTCTTCTTCTCTTGTTTCCGAGCCTTCGACCCGAAAAACGTCGACTTCGGCTCTTCTTTGTGCCGCACCGGCGCCGCCCCGAGCGCGCCGAGCGGATCCAGCTCCGGCGCCGGCGCCCGCGGCGCGCGATCGATCGTCGGCGGGACCCACGGCCGCGCAACCTGCGCCGGCGCCGCGCGTTGCGGCTGCACGGGCGATCCGGTCAGGAGGTCGATGCCGCCGCCTCCGAGAGGACCGGCGACGCCCGTCGTGGACGCCGGCGCCGGCGTCGCCATGTCGAACCGCGCGAACGGGTTCACGTCCGCTCCGCCGCCGGAAAGCGCGGCGGCGGGCGGCGGCGGCGGCTGGATCTTCGGAGGAGCGGGCTCGTTGAGGAGGTCGAGGAACGCCTTCTCGTCCGGGACGCCGCTCCCGAGCTTCATCCCGCCGCCGGACTTTGCCTTTTGAGAAGAAGGCTCCGGGGGGTCGAGCCAATCCCCGCTCGTCATCGCGCTGAGGAGGTCGCCGCCGGAGCCGCCGCCGGCGGCAGCCGCGGACAGCGCCGGCGCCGCGCCCATCGTGCCGTACCCTCCTCCTCCTCCTCCTCCTCCTCCACCTCCACCACCGCTGATGCTCTTGGCCGACGTGGCGGACACGCCGCCGCCGCCGCCGCCGCCGCCGAACGCGCTCTTTTGCTCCTCCGCGACGGATTGAAACATCGCCGCGCGGCCCTTCAACGCCGGCGCCAGCGCGCTCCCCGGCGCTAAAATCTGCTCCGGAAGCAAATACGAGGGGGACTTCAAGTCCAACACGCTCGACGCCGCCGGCGGCTCGTGCCCGGCGACGACGTGCGCGGTCCCCAACGAGTTCACGATCCACGCGCTCGCGGGCCGCCCCCCCGCGCCGCCGTTTTCCCAAATCAATCGCGGCGCGAACGAAGGCGCGCACGTCCACTGCTCCGGGACGCACCGCATGCTCTCCAACTCCGGCGGCTCCGAGCTCGGCGTGAGCGCCATTCCGACGCACGCGAACCCGGGCGGCGGCACGGGCGCCCACGCGTACGCCGCCGCGTGCTTCCACTCGTGCCCCCACACTTGCCGGTACCGCACCGGATGCGGGAACAACGCGTCGACGACGCGTTGCATGTGCGTCGACGCGGACATCGTCCACGTCTTGTTGTCCACGAGTTCCAGCACCAAGCTCGGCTGCGTCTTCGCCGCGGAACCGCTCGACGGGTCGGAGAGCGACGCGACGACGTAGGAACCCAAGCACCCGCGGTCGCGGTTGCGAGACGTGAAGCTCGTCTCCATCTTTGGCGTCCAAAACGACGCGGCGCGGCGAGACCCGGTACCCTCCGACGTCCACAGCTTCGTCCACGTCGCGTGCGTCTTGAGCCCGAGGCGGAACGCGGAAAGCGTCTCCCTCGACAGCGGAAGAGAGGAAGAAGAGTCGGACGACGCGCTCGAGGCTGACCCTGACTTGGTCGGGCTCTTCGGCGGCGGTTTTTTCCCCGCGAGCGATCGCGCCTCGATGCGCACGCGCCCGGCGCCGGTGGGACCGTCCCAGTTGATGAGGTCGTCGTCGCCGCCCCAGCCGTCCATGTCGCCGCCGCCGCCGCCGAGGGCACCGAGCGGGTCGACGACCGCGCTCGGCGGCGCGAGCGACCCGGTCTCGACGCCGCCGTCCATGAGCGACGCGCCGGTGGCCGGGCCGGAGTCCATGAGCGACAGCGACGCGCCCGCCGACGACGACCTCGCGCCGCCGCCGCCGCCGCCGCCGCCGCCGTCGTCGTCGTCGTCGTCGCAGTAATCGTCCGGCCCGAAAGCGGCGACGAACTCCTCGTACGTCACGAACCCGTCCCCGGTGACGTCGATCTTCCCCGCGAGCTCCATCATCTGCGTCGGCGTGATGTCCATCCCCAACCACGTGAGCCCGCCGTAGAGGCCTTCGTACGACAGCCTCCCCAATTGCTCGCCGTCGAACGCGCGGAACGCGTCGAGCAGCCGCATCTTATTCCTCCGCAGCGCGGCTCTGACGCGCGCGGACGTCGCGCGCGACGCGAGGAGCGCGAACTCGTCCGCGGTCGTGAGCGCGCGCGCGAGCGGCGTCGCTTGCCACGGCACGTTGACGCGTCGACGCACGGCGCGGACGCGTTCGAAAAATTCCGCGCGGCGTTCGCACGGCGACTTTTGCAGCGCGCGCAACAGCAAACTCACCTCGTGGTCCTCGAAGTCAACCTGGGAGTCCACGAACCGGAAGCACTGCGTCGCGGTCGCGGCTTGGAACAGCTCCGCGGGGCGGTAGCCCGCGGTGGCTTCGAGAAGGGCGCCGCCGCCGCCGGGGCACGCGAATCGAAGCCCCACCTCCGTCTCTTGAAACGGCACGAGCTTTCCGTCGCTGCTGCCTTCCAGACGCTCTCGCTTCGCCGCGTGCATCGCCGCGCGCAAAGACTCCGCCTCCGCGAGCGACAGCGCGACGTAGTATCGCCCTTCTTGGAGGCCGTATATGTTGAAGTTTCGAACCGCGTTCTTGAGGTCTTCGAGCGTGACGCCCGCGTCAGGGCCGCCCGCGGCAGTTTCCGCGATTCTTCTCGCGAGCTCCGCGAGTCGCTTCTCGTCGCCGCCGACGTTCGCGTCCGAGGACCGCAGAACCTCCATGAGCTGGCTCTCGTCGAGGCGGCCCAATCCGGAGTCGTCGAACAGCACGAACGCGGACTGCAGGCCGGCTTCTTGGTCCGGCGTCAGCTTCCGAGGCGTCCAATTTTTCTTCCGCTTGGTCTTCACCAACCCTTCCGCGAAATCCGTCGCGTCGTCGTAGAATTTCTCCAGCGCGTTCTTCTCCACCTCTTCCGCGTCCACGGCGACTTCGTCGTCGATGTACGTGCTCGGCGTGTCCGGGACCCAGTCCATGACGACGATCAGGTTCTTCAGCCTTCGATGCGAGTTCAGCGCCCACCCGGTTTTAAAATAATTCTTCGAGAGGTACATGTAATTCGGAAACGCGAGCGCCTCTGTCGTCTTGTTCGCGACGCCGCGATACAGCTTGAACTCGGAGAGCGGGTGGAACCCCTGAGAGTTCGTCTCCGGCTCGTGACACAGCGTGTCCACTCTCCACCCAACCTGCGTCTCGTCGTCGCGGCTGTACTTGAGCTTCTCGAACTCCTCCGGGTGCTTCTCTTCCTCCTTCTCTTCCTCCTTCTCTTGCTCTTGCTCCTGCTCCTGTTCCTGCTCTTGCTCTTGCTCCTGGACTTGCTCGCCGTCGAGCGCGCGCTCGCGGTCGCCGACGCCGCCGACGCCGCCTTCCGGGTTATCGTTCTCCGCCGCCGCGCGCTCGTCCGCGTCCGGCGCTTTCCCCGCGCACGCGAGGAGATCTATGAGATCCGCGGCGCCGGAGCCGGAGCCGGAGCCGGAGCCAGAGCCGCCGCGGAGCTTCGCGCGCAACGCCGCCGTCGACTCCTCCGTCGCGGCGACGTCGCGCAGGATGTCCTGCAGCGCCCGCGACGCTTTCGCGTCGTCGATCAACAGCGCGGAGTGCTCGCTGACCGCGAGCGCGAGGCGCTTCGACGCGAACGACCCTTTCGGCACGGCGTTCGAGACGACGTACGCGACGCGCTCGCGAAAGACGTCCAAAAATTTCTGCGCGTTCTTCGCGTCGCGAGCGCCGCCAAACGCGCCCACGCCGAGCCTCAGCAAGTTTCTGTACGCGTGCTTCCTCCATATGTTCGCCGCGCGCTGCTCCGCGAGCAACCCCGCCTGAACGTTCTCCGCGCGCATGCCGTTCACGACGAGCCACGCGAGCACGTCCCTCAGCTTTCGTCGCGCGCGCTCCGACGCGCCCATCTTGGCCGCATCCGCCGCGCGCGCGCTCGCCGTGCGCCCCTCCCCCGCCGCCGCCGCGGACTCGACGAGCTTCTTCACCTCGGGGACGATGAACAGCTCGAGACGCTGCCCGCGGCCGATTTGTCGCATGCGCCACGCGCCTTGGGCGTAATCTCGCAGCGTCATGTCCTTCCCGAGCGTCAGCGCCGCGCGCGCGGCCGGGGCTTGCTTGATGTCCATCCCCGTCGTGTGCACCTGGTCGTAAAACGAAAATCGCTTGCTCTTGTCCAACGCGGCGACGCGCGCGAGCGGGGTGACCGCCCAGCCTTTGCGCATCAATACCATCTGACGATCGCCCTCGTCTAAGAACACGACGCCCTCGGCCCACTTGAGTCCGTTTTCGAGGAGGAACCGCGCGACGGAGAGGTTGGAGAGGTTCGTGATGAGCGCGCCGGTGTCCACGAGCGCGTGAATCGGCGGGTCCGCGGCGGCGATCGTTCGAAGCAACGACAGGACGTCCCACCCCGGGGGGATTTCCCTCGTGGCGACGACGTCGTGGTCGGTCAACGTCGCGAGGACTTTCGCGTCCGTGCCGAGCTCGAACTTTGGGGTGCCGAGCTCCAAGGGGAGTAAGTCCGCGGGCGTGCCGCTGAAGCCGAGTCGCCGCGGGAACACGAGGTCGCCGCCGAGCTCTTGACCGGTGGCGCTGAGCTTCAAGCCTTGATGCCGCGCCGTCTTCGGGAATATGAAGTCGTTGAGGTAGAAATCAATCACCTCCGGGGTCATTCGCAAGAGTTGATACAGCTCCTCGACCTGGTCCGCGTCGCGCAAGTCCACGAGCTGCAACGGCCACACTTCGCTCTCCGCGGCGGCGAGCAACGCGGCGGCGGCTTGCGCGCGCGCCTTGGCGTCTTCGTCCTTCGCCGTCGCCTCGTTCGCGGCGGCGTCTTTGAGGGAGTATAACGATCCGCTCAAGGAGGACGAGCTGCGCGAGTGCGACGCGATGACCGCGCGCGAGGCGCCGATGGCGGTCGTCGTCGCTTTCAGGGACGCGCCCGTGCGACGCGCGGCGGCGGCGGCTTCTTCGCGCGCTTCGCCGCGGACGCGGCGGCCGGTGTAGCGAACAAAGTTGGCCCACTTTTTCGCGCTCGGGCGCTTCCCTTGCGGCCCGGTTTCCGTCTCCAGCTGCTCGAGGAGGCTCCTGAGAACTTGCCGGAAATCGCCGCGGCGCAAACCCTCGTGGCGGTACGTGCAGATCGTCAGACCGATGACGACGTCCGGGTGCGAAAACTCGTTCGTCTGCGACGGGATGTCTTTCCCTAAAAACGGCACCGCGAGAAGCCGTCGGTTCGTCGGCACGCGCATCCCGCCGTTCGCCTCTTCTAACAGCTTCACGTCCTTCGCGGACAACAGCCCGTACGACACGCGGTTGATCTTGGACAACACGTGCGGCAGCAGCGCCGTGAGCCAATCGCGCGCGAGGTTGATCATCTTAAGGCTCTCGTCCTCGGCTTCTTTTTCGATGACGCGCGCGGCGTCCGCGGCGCCCTTAGTCCGGCACAGGTACGCGTGCATGTGATGATCCGCGATCCCTCGCGCGGCGCCGTGGACCCTGAGCCACAGCTCCGCCCACTCCGCGAGTAAAGGCATGAGCGTGTCGCCGTACCACTGCCTGTCGAGGAGGACGACGTGCGGGGTGCTCTGGACGCCTTTGTTCTTCACCGCGTCTCTCACGGCGGCGGCGACTTTTTGTAAAATCGCAGCTGCGTCGTTGGAGCCTTTCGCCTCCTCCGCCGCGGGCCTCCGCAGCGCCGTCGCGAATATCGCGTCCAGGAGGAAGAACGGAAGTTTCCACCGCAGTCCGTCGCCGCTTCGGCTCTTGCTGAAGTCCAACGGCACGCGGCGGCCTAACGGCCAGTGCAGCTCGGATTTCAGCGGATGCAAGATGAGGTCCACCTCGTCCAAGATGAGCGTCCCGGACCGCTGGAACAGCTTCATCATCTCCCCCGCGATCGCGCCTTCTTTCCTCAGCGCGACGATCTCCGCGGGGGCTAACCCGCCCGCCTCCGAAACGCGCTCGCTTCGGCTTCGGTACTCGCTCGCGCCTTCGAACAGGCGGCCGAACGTGCCGAGGGTATCGCCGACTTGTTTGCCTTCGATCGTGGCGACGTAGGATTGATCCAGGAGGTGCGCGCACTCGAGGTATTTTAAGCACAGAGACTTCAGCGCCGTCGGCGTCGTGACGACGATCGCCCGCGCGCTCTTGGCTTTTCGAAGCGCGAGCAGCGGCGCGGGTGTCAGCGGTGTGAACCGATCGAACCGAAGCGTTAAAACGCTTCTTCGGACGACGCCCGCGAACGCGGAGCGAAGGCACCCGCGCGAAAACTCCAAAAGGCTCTGCGGGACGACCTGGCACACGAGCATGTCTTTCGTGGCGAGCATGAACCCGAGTAACGGACACACCACGGTCGTTTTACCTTCACCCATGAGCATCTGCGCGCACTCCGCGCCGCCGCTGTTCGCCGCGTTCGTAAAGTCGCGCACGAGACCGACTTGCCGCTCGCGAAGAATCAAAATCTGCGCGTACTCAAACACGAGCATGCGCGGGTCGTACGTCCTCACGCTCATTCCGCCGAAATCCCCGGACATCATCTTGTCCCCGGGCTGTTCGACGTCGAAGTAGTACCGCCGCGTGCGAAGCAGATCCGCGAGCGCTTTCGCGGCGAGAGAGACGCCAAAGACGCAGGCTTCTTTGCCCGCGGTGGGCGTCGCCGCGGCGGCGATGGTTTTCGCCGCCGTCGTCACCGCCTTGATCGCGTCCTCCGCAGCGGCGGCGGCTTTCGCCGCGTGCGCGGCGCGAGACGTCAACAGCAGCGCCTCCGCGGCGAGATGCAGCGCCTCCGCGGCGTTCCGCTCGGTCACGCCCGGGGTGATCCTCGCCAAGATTTTCTCTCCGCCGTCGCACAGAAGGCCTTCGATGAGGTCGTCGAAGGTGGTCTCCGCCCACGCGCCGCTGCGTCGGTTGAGCCCCAAACGAAGCATCCCCCGCGCCGCGGACGGATCCCTGGATAATCCGTTCGCGGTGGACGTCGCCGCCGCGGCAGCCTCCGTCGCCGCGGCCTGGTCTTTCGCGATGAGCTGCCGTATGTCTTTCAAGACGGCGAGCAGGAAATTCTTCGCCGCCGTCGTCTTCGCGCCGCCGATCCCGAACCCGGCGGCTTCGAGCTTCGCGTGATCCGCGCCGCTCTCGGCGGCGCTCGTCGCCTCCTCTGCGATCGCGATCGCGTCCGACGGGCTCAAGTGCTTCAGATGCGCGCGCGCGAAGCGGTCGGTGGACGCACCCTTCGCATCATGCGCACCCTTCGCCGCGTCCACCGCCGCGCGGACGTCCGTCTTGAGCCGCATCAACGTCGCGCGCGCGATGGGCGTCGCCGCGGCCGCGTGCTGCCCGACGCTGAACGGCAACCCGGCCATGCTTCCGACCATCGCGGGGTCCGCGTCGTCGAGACACTTCGCCATCCGCGCCGCCTCGACGTCGATCGAATCGCCCGCGCCCGCGGCGGTTTCAAAGTACCGATCGAGCGGGAGCTGCGCGAGCGGTTGATCTACGAGAGACGCGAGGTCGACCGCGTTGAGGTTCGGCCCGCCCCACGGCCCCGCGGTCCCGCCGAGGTGATGCGCGAGCGGGAACCGTCGTCTCCCGCACGCGGCGTTTGGAAACGTCGGCAGCGCCCACCGCGCGGCGTCCTTCGCGACGCCGCGCGGTCCGGCGCGGTCGGGGACGGCCACCTCGCCGGGCGGCGAATACATCGCGCCGCGTTGCTGCCACTGCGCCGCCGTGGACGGCGGTAACCCGCCGATGCCTCGCGCCTTGTCCCTCAGGTACGGCTGCACGCGCTTGATGAGCTGGCCGATGCTGCCGTCGGAGGTGAACACCGCGGCGAACTTGGCGCCCATGCCGCGCTCCTCCACCTTCGGCGCTTGCTTCGCGAGATACGGCGAAGAGGATAGGATGCGCAGCATGGACATCAGCGTCCCGCGTTTCATGCTCTGCTCGGGGGGAACGAATCGAATCAGCGCGGTGCCCCATCGGAACGGATCGTCCGTGGGGATGATCCGAAGCGGCACCGTGGAGTTTAGGAGTTCGTACAGTAGCGGAAACCCGTGCGCGCCGTCGAGCGCGAGCGACCCGGCTTCGATCCACTCGCCGACTTTTTTCAACCCGGCTTCGCCGATGAGATCCTTCTCCTCGAACGTCGGGAAGTTGGTCGTGAGCGACGCGAGACGTCCGAGCGGTCCTTCTCCGGAGACGCCCTCCTCGAGGCACGACCGGTCGTCCACGGTGTCAAACGCCCCGTGCGCGGGGGCTTCGGGGTACGCGAGCGGACATACGGGCGAGGACGCGCCCGACGTCGTCGCGCCGCCTATCCCGCCGCCGCCGTCGTCGAGCTTCGGGTGCCCGACGACGGCGTCCTCGGGCGCGCCGGATCGCATGTACAGATACGACGCGCGATTCGCGAGCAGCGGCACTTTTTCCACCTCCGTGGAATACCCGTCCAACAACACGCGCTCTTCGTCGGGCGGCGCGCGGCACGACGCGCTGACGTGGCGCCACGTGGAGACGTAATTCGCGAGCTCGTGGTACGTCTCCCACGGCAGCAACGCCTCCGCGGGGGTGTTGAACGCCGCGGCGGAGAGCGCGAGGCGCGCCGCCGTCGCGTCCGGGGCTGGATCGTTCGCGACGCCCGCGAACGCGTGCCACAGCTGCGCCACTTCCGGCGTCGGCGCGCTCTCGCTGACGCACAGATCGCTCAGCTTGACGACGTCGACGTATCGACGCGCGAGGAACCGCAACAGGGTCAAGTACAGCGCCGCGGGCAACGAATTCGCGCGCATCGTCGCGTGCGACGGATGCACGGGGTAGACGTAATGCCCGCCCCCGCCCGCGGCGTTCCTCGTCCACTCCGCGTCCCAGCGGTCGAGGACCATGTCGCATCCGAAACCCTTCGTGCCCACCGCGGCGGCTTCCTCCGCGGCTTTGACGGAGAGGTCTTTGACTTGACCAGGCTTCGCGTTCACGACGCGATCGAGCGCGGGGCGCGGCGCGGCGCCCGCGGGAAGCAGCACGCTGAGCGCGCCGTCGCGCGCTTCCAGGAGCAGCGCGTGCGGCAGCCCGACGAGCAACGCGTCGAGGTCCGGCGATCGTCGCGCGCTGAGGAACAAGCCCGCGTGCTCTTCGCACTCGAGCCGGACGCCGCCGGGGCCCTCGACGCCGTCGTCGCGCCGCGCGGCGCGGAAAGAGATGCCCAAACGCGGGAGCTCGATCCGATCCACGCCGACGACCGCGGGGGTCCCCGCGTCGTTGATCGACTGCGACGTCATCGCGCCGATGACGCCCAGCAGCCCGTCGCCGCCGACGCCGCCGCTCGCCACCGCTTTCGCGTCCACCGGCGACGCCGTCCACGCGAGGCAGTGCGCGAGGCCCTCCACGGCGGCGAGGCACCGCGCGAGCGACCGCAACGCAGTCGCCGCCTTGGCCCTCGGCGACGACCTCGACGGGTCGCTCGCGTCCACCGCGGACGCGAGCACCGCGGGGGCGTAGAGCAAATCGACGAGCGTGAGCTGCCCGGGGATGAAGCCGTCGGGGACGAGCGACCCGGGGGCGACGCCCGTCGTCTGGTCGGCGCCCGACGTGGACGCGTCGGCGGCGTCGGCGTCGGCGTCGTCGCCGCCGTCGCCGCGCGCGGCGGTGCGAAGCGGAATCCTGCGAATGACCGCGGCGTACTCCCCGCTCGCGCCGCTCAGGGCGTCGCCGCCGCTCGTCCCGCCGCTGTCCGCGCCCGCGCCCTTGACGAGCTTCGCGTGGATCATCGTGTTCGGGTGGCTCGCGGTCGGACGCGGGTCGCCGTAGAAGTCGCCGTCCGGCGTTTGCCAGAAGACATAATCTCGCAAAAGCGCCGCGGGAACGAGACCGCGAAGATGCCGCGCGGGCACGAACTGCTGCCGTCCTTGCGCCGCGGAGAGATGACGCGTGACGACGAGCGACGACGCGGCGGCGCCCAGGCGCGCGGCGGAGAGTAAATACCGCTCCGCGGGGTCCTCCAACGCCGGCGCGCCGTCTGGATCGACATCCGCGAGGCACCACGACGCGCTGGACGCGAACACGAGCGCTCTGCGCCATTTTCGTCCGTGCGACTCCACTCGAAACACCTGCACGAGCGGGGGGTCTCGCAACACGACCACTTCGGTCAGCGCGCCGCCGCGCTCGTGCGCGTCTTTGGTCTTCTTTCCCTTGCTGTCCTTCTTCTTTTTCTTGGACGGGTCCTTCTTTTTGGACGGGCTCTTCTTAGGGTCCGCCGCAACGGATTTGCCGTCGCCGTCGACCGACGCCGCGAGCGCGTCTAAATCGTGCTCGTCGTCGTCGTCCTCGCTGTCGTCGCCGTCTCCCGGGTAGTCCCGCGTCGGGGCGCCCATGTACACGCTCCCGCTCATGCCGTCTCCGTCCGGGAGCTTCGCGTACCCGGCTAAGTGCGCGATCGGGCCGTTCACGGTTCGCATCGGGAGAAACAGCTCCACGCCGGCGAGATACCCCGCCGCGGGGCCGGCGACGACGGGGTCCAAGCGCTCCGCGATCCAGCGTTCGCTCTCGGCCAAACCGGCGGCGCCGACCGCGGCGGTGAGCGCGGTGAACGCGCCCGCGAGCCCGGCCGCGATGTCCGCGTCGCTGAATAACGGGCTGTACCGTCGCATGAACGGGTTCGGCGGCGACCGGCGGTCTTGGTCCCACAGCTGGACGTCGTGTCGTAACCCGACGAGACGCATCCACAGCCGGTGTTCCGTGCGCTTCACCTCCGCGCAGTGCACGACGAGCTCCTCGCCGCTTCGGTCGTCGTCGTCGTCGTCGGAGCCGCTCTCGACGCCGCCGCCATCGATGCCGGCCTCGTCGCCTCTGCCACCTCTGCCGCCGCGGCGTCGCCCGTCGCCGCCGCCGTCGGTGCCGCCGCCGATGACGATGGATCGCTCCCTCGGCCCGGCGGCGTCGGCTTCGTTCGCGAGCGTCGCGCCCAGCGCGGCGGTGAAGTCTGGCATCTCTCGGACGCTGTACTGCAGCGCTTTGAGTCGGTTCTTGCGCACGGTAAACTCCCCGAGCTGCGCGTTGATCTCCATGTCGACCGCCATCGTCGTGACGGATCGCATCCATTCTTCGTAGGAAACGCCCGCGGCTCGTGCGTTTACGGACACCGCCGCCGTGCCGGTGAGTTCTTTCGCGCCGAGCGAGGAGGCGTCCGCCGCCGCGGACGATGACGACGACGCGACGTCCATCGGATCCGTGCCCTTCGCGGGGCGGACGACGAGGGGCACGCCCGCGGCGGCCGCCGCCGCGGCAGCCTCCGTCTCCGGGATGAAGCGTCCGGCGCCGCCCGGGCCGGGGACCTGGACCCAGCGCCGGTCCGTCGCTTTTTTCGACGCGACGGCGATGCGCTCGTCGATGGATTTCCCGCGGGGCCCCGCCGCGGACTCGGTCGCCTCGCTCTCGCCCGCCTCCAGCGACGCGATCGCCGCCTCGTCGTCCGACGGCGCCGCGTCCTTCCCTCCTTTCCCTTTCTTCTTGAGCTTATCCACCTTATCACCGAACCAGTCCCCGATCTCGCTCCACATGTTCCCGCCCGCGCCGACTCCGGCGGCGGCGCCGCTTCCGCCGGCCGCGGCGAGGAGCGCCTGATGCTCGCGCTCGTAATCGTCCCCGCTGCTGTTTAAGGTGAGCACGCTGACGACTTCTTCCAACACCGCGTCCGCGAGCTCAGGGTTGTTCCGCATCCACGTCAAGACGCCTCGGCGTTGCCGTTGGAACAGATCGAATATCTCCGTCGGCGCGAACCCTAAGCCCTCGTCGACGTCGCCGCCGTCGTTTTTCCCGCCGCGTAATTTCGCCCCGCCCTCCGTCGCGTCGTGGAACGAGTGATTCACGAGAATGTACGCCTGCGCCGTGAGCACCGTCTGCGTCGCGCGGCGATCGAGCCTCCACGACGGCGTGGACCAGTGCAGATACGCCAAGTGCGCGTGCAGAACGCACGCGGCCTTCGTCGCGCCGTTTCGCACCGCGCCGGAGAGCCACCGTCGGAGCGTCGGACGCACTCTGTCGTCCAGCGCGGCTCGTAAACGCGCGGCGGCGTGAAGCAACGGCCGCGCCGCGGGGCCCGGGCACCGGACCCCGCGCGCGCCGGACCCGCCGCTCCACCCTCCGCACCCGCGCGAGGTGTGATCCTCCGTCCCCTCCCCGGGCTCCCACGTCGGATCATCGAACGCCGCGAGCGGGGCCTCGTCGACTTGATCGCCCCACCCGCTCTCCGTGAGCAGGTATCGCACGAACGCGTGCATGCGCGTCATGAGACGCGCGGCGTAGAGCACCCCCGCCGCGACGGGCGCGTCGTGACGCCCGGTGTCGAGCTCCAACGACAGCGCGAGGATCTCCTCCGCGGCGTCCACGAGCGGCGCGGGCGCGTTCGAGAGCTCGTGCAGGAGAAGTCCGGCCGGGGTGGCCATGTGCGCTCTCGACGGCGCGGGGATTTCTGCGGGGACGGCGACCGTACCGGGCGGCTGCCACGGTCCGGGTTCGAAGAAGCACGCGTCGAGGACGCCCTGAATCTGCTTGTGCCCGAGCGCGCGGACGCGTTGCGGGTCCGCGAAGTGCCGCAGCGCGAGCGGGATTCTCAAGTACGGCGCCGTGAGATACGTCAGCAAGAGCTCGCTCTCGCTCGGCCGCAGCAAACCGTCAAACGTCGGCAGGTCCTTGAGGTGTAAGACGTCCTCTTCCGTGTCCACGCGTTCGCCCGCGAGGTTGCTCGGGTTCCCCCCCGACGGCGGGCACCGCGGTCTGCGATCGATCCCGAACAGCGACGCGAGGAACCCGCCGCCGAGGGCGGACAGCCACCCGGTGCCCTTATCCCCGGCGTCGCCTTCTTTCCACGCGAGCACCTCGAGCTTACGGTTGAACCCGTGGACGTCGAACCCTTCGCCGGGCTTGTACTTCCACCACAGCGCCGCGTCGCGCGGTCGCCACCGTCGAAGCTCCGGTAAGGAGTCGCTCGTGGGGGTCATCATCGCCTTGAACATGAACACGATGTCTCGCATCGTGGTGAGTTCCGGGTAGTTATCTCCGAGCTCCCTGCTCTCGCCGGAGAGGTAAAACGGAAGCTCCTCGTCCGTCATCGGGAAGCCCATCTGAAGGCAGACTTGCTTGAGTAACAGCCCGTCGCCCTCGCCAAACTCCGTGGACCGTTCCCATCGGAAGATGAGATGATCCGTCGCGACCGTGTGCTTCATCCCGTGAAAGTAGTCCAGGACTTGCGTCAACCGGCCGGTCCTCTCCGGGCAGTGAAACCGGAGGTATTCCGCCTCGACGCCGAACGGGCCCATCTCGAACCCAAACGGGGACACCGGTCCGTCCGCTTCGCCCGCGTAGTGCGTGCAAAACGGACTCGGGTGGTCCGTTACTCGTAAACGCATCACCGCGTCCGCGATGGACGCGAGCGACGCGAGCGAGAGCAGCCGCGCGGCGTCGAACGACCGCGTCGCGGTGAGCGACAACGCCGTGGACGTAAAGTGATGCAACGACAGACGCAGACACCGCAGCAGCTCCGCTTGGGTCTCGTACCGCACCGTCTTCGACGCCCAGAAGCACTTCTCGCGCCGGCGCGGGTGATCGATCGGCAACGGCGCGGGAAGAACGGCGCAGAATAAGTGCGTGAGAAGCGACGCGCGCAGCGCGAACGTGTTCGGAAGCAACTCGCTCTGATTCGCGAGAAGCACGCAACAGTGCACCGCCTTCCGCATCGCCCCGGACGCCTCCAATATCGTGTTCACGCGATCGGGCACGAGCGTGAGCTCGATCGGGCGCACGATCGGCGGCGGCTGCGACTTTCCCGCGAGCTTCTCGATCGCTTTCTCCCCGCCGTCGTTCGCGGTCGCGAGTCGGCCGTACAGTGGCGCGGAGCACGCCGCGGACGGGCACCGCATGTCCGGCAATCCGACGTCTGTCGCGTTCGCGTTCGCGTTCGCCGCGCCCGGGGTGGCGACGTCCGCGGGGCCAATCCTGAGGAGTGGCGGCGGCAGCAGCGCCGGCTGTCGAAGCTGCGACACGCGCTGCAACACGCCCTCGACGCATCGTATCACGCGCGCGAGAAACTCCGGCTCGACGACCGGTCCCGTCGGCCGCGGCTGCGACGTGAGCGCGACGTCGTGTCTCACCGCCGGCGCGAACGGATCCCCAAACGGATCGGGCGATCGCGGCTGCGGCGCCGCGACCGTCGCCTGCGCGACGGCGTTAACGCCCGACGCGATCCCGGGCGGCGTCTCCGCGAGCGCGTCCGCGTGCGGCCCGGCGACCGCGGACAACGTACGGCACGCGCACTCGAGCGCCGCGGCGGGCGCGGCGCCCAAGAGCCCGCGTCCCGGAATCGCCGCCAAGTCCTGCATCGTAGACTCCAAGAGCGCGTGTCTCGTGCCCATCTCCACGAGCGCGTCCGCGCGCCGAGGCGCGACGCCCGGCGAGGACGCGACCGCCGCGCGCGCAGCCTCGAGCGCGAGCCGCGCGCCGCTCGCGTCGCCGCCCCTCGCGCGCGCCGACAGCGGGTGCGTCGCGTTCCCCGCGCCGTCGCTCCTCGCGCTCGTCATCGCGCTCGCCATCAGCGGCCGCTTGTTCAGAAACGGCAGCACCTTGGCGTATATCAACTCGCTCTGCGTCCGCCCCGGGGCTGGAAAGATCAGCGGGCGGTACAGCAGCGCCCACGAGCTCGTGTCCGTCAACACCCCGGGTTCGATATCGTCCAGCTGTATCGTGTGCATGGCTCTGTACCCGTCCATCCCCGGGTCCGCCTCCTGCGGGTGGTACTCTAAACCGTCCCCGGTGTTGGACACCGCGAGCGAGTACGAGTGCTCGCGTCGGTGCACCGCGTACACGAGCGCGTGGCCGCCTTGTTTCGTGCACCAGCCGCCGGGGAGGAGGAGGCACCGCCCGCGCGGGATGTTGCGCACGCGTTCGATCACCAACTCGAGCCAGTGCAGGAAACGCGAGTTGTCCGCGCTGCCCGCGGGGCACGACAGCGCGAGATCGCCGAGGCTGACCAAGTTTTGCCTCGCGTCGTTCAGCGCGCTCTGCTCCGGCGCAGTCGTCGGCATGACGATCGCGCCGAGCGCGCGGCCCACCTCCGTGGACGATTGCACGAGCGGCCGCAGCGCGCCGTCGGGGGACGACGCCGCGAGCGCCGCGCGGCGGCGATCGACCGCCTCTTTCGTGAGCATCGCGTCCGCGAGGAGGTCCACGAACGCCGGCGTCTCCCACGCCGCGCCGGGAACGGGCGGGATAGCGGGCCCGCCGAGCGGGCCGCACAAACCCGCGCGTTCCAACGCGCCGGTGAATCGTTTCTTCTTCCCGGAGATCTCCAACTCGCCGTCGCCGCCGTTCTTCCCGCTCTTCCCGTCGCCCCCCTTCCCCCTTCCTTCGCCGTCGCCGCCGTCGCCTCCCGCGACGACGCCCGCGGCCTCGACGCCGGGCCCGCCGGCGGCGACGCCCGCGGCTGCTTTCTGCCGCGTCTCCGCGATGCACTCCGAGAGCGCCGTCACCCACGCGTGTAACTGTCGGGGTGGAGTTGAAAGGCGTCAGTTGGCGTTGAAAGGCGTCGAGGACGGGGATTGAAAGCGTGGGATGGGCGCAGAGATACGCCGGGCAAAGTCCTTAAGGAATCGCGTTCACCTCGCGAACGGGGTCGTATGGGGACCAGTGCATAGAACGCACCTGCGCGGACGTCTCGCTCTCCAACACGAACGCGCTCTTCGCGATGTCCTTCTCGCCCTTGCACGGGATGGCGTGGAACGCGAAGAGCCGCTTGCCCATCATCTTCGCGGCGAGGCCGTGGTCGCTCAGGGACTGCTCGCTGTCCAGGACGCGCACGGCGCTGTTCGGGGAGATTGGGAGCTCGCCTCTCGGCGAATTATCGCCCTCGGCGCCGTAGTACCGCAGGACGCCGCCGCTCAGGACGAAGAATCGGCGCGTCCACGTCTTGCCGCTGCTGAACGTGTTCGCGACCGCTTTCTTCGTGAGCCATCCGGAGATGACCACCTTGTGGTCGCCTTGGTCCGGCATCGCGCCGACCCGCGCTAGTTCGGGTGGGTGTTCGCCTCGTCGAGAATCTCTGATCAGACGGCACACACAGCAACAGCCACCCGCGGGTCGATTATTCCGCCCTAGCTCCTGCTCCGACGCCGCTCCACCGGCGGGTTTACCGCGCGCCGACCGACGTGGATCGCGCGGCGGTTCTGACGCGCGCGACGACGCGCCTTGCCTGCTCCCGCGGCCTGGTACCGCGCGCCAGGGCCCGGAGTTATGCCCGGATCTCGCGCGCGACGAAGCGCGAGGCCAAAAAATCGCGCCGTGTCTGCTGGTTCGAACAACCGAAGTTGACGGCGAGCGACGAGGTCGAGACCAGCGGACAGGACGCGCACTTGTTCGAAAACCACGACGGACAGCTCCCACACCATCGGGCCCCGCGCGCCCGCCCCCACGCGCGCGCCCTAACTAAACCGCCAGATCCGGACTACTCGCGCTCGGCGATGCGACGGTGAGTCACAGTCGCAGGCTCGGGGCCCGAGAGAACGCGCGCGATGGACGCGGACGAGCTCCCGAGCGCCGACGACGTCGTCGAGATCTCCTCCTCGGACGACGACGACGACGCGAGGGACGTCATCGACTACGACTACGACTACGACTACGATGGACGCGTGCCGCACGACTACGACTCCGACTCCTACGACGACTCCTACGACTCCCACGACTCGATCGACCGCGACGACTGGCCCGCGGTGTCGACGTCCCCGTCGGACGAAGCCCTCAGAGGCGCGATCGACGACGACGACGACGACGACGCGCCGGGGACGTCGCGATTTGCAGCCCCGTCCTCGCGCGAGCCTCCGGCGCGCGCGAGGACGGGGCGCCACCCGAGGCCGCCGCCGCGGCCGGACGCGGCCGCGCGAGCCGCCGCGGGCCTCGGCCCGCCGCCGCCGCCGGCGGATCTGCCGGAGTACGAGCTCTTCACGAACGTGCGCGTCACCGTGCGGAACGACGGGAACGACGGCGGCGGCGGCCGATACGCGCGCATCGGGCAGAGAGGCAAGCGCGCGCGCGGCGAGCGCACGCACCGCGCCGGCGTCGAGCGCTTCAATCGCGCGCTGCTGAGCTGGCCGGTGGATGGGCTCGCGATGGACGATCCGTCCGCGGCGGGCGTCGCGCCGCTGCCGCCGCCGGCGACGACGTACCGCGACCGCGACGAGTACTACGACTTCCACGCCGCGCTCGCGACGGAGGAAGCGCGCGCCGCGCTCGCGGACGCGCTCGCGCGCGGGCGAAGCGGGCGGCGCGGCGGGAACGCGCGCGTGCGCGTGCGGATAGGGAAAGGGAAGGGCGGCGACGGGTTGTTCGCGTGCGAGGCGTTCGAACTCGGCGGTCGCGGCGGCCGGGGCGGCGGCCGAGGCCGGGGCGGGGGATGGCGCGGCCGAGGCGGCGGCGGCGGCGGACGCGACGGGTCCCATCGCGGCGGCGGCGGCGGCGGCGGCGAGAGAGATGTGTATAAAGAGGACGACTGGCGACGCCCCGGGACCGTCGTCGTCGTGAGGACGCCCACGTCGACGCCGAGGCTCGCGATCGTGCCGGCGACGACGGCTCGGGACCGAGACGCCGCCGCCGCGAAGGCTGCCGCGAAGGCGTCGTCCAACGCCGGCGGCGCGACCGAGGGCGCCGCGGTGGTTCTGTGGACGTCCGTCGGGATCCCGGACGGCGACGCGGAGCTCGAGGTTTTGGATTCCGTCATCTCGCAGCAGCGGATGGCAGCCGCGGCGTTCACGCGCCCGGCGGTGCCGTTTTTGTCGCTGCTGCTCGGCACGAAACCGGCGACGCACACGAAATTTGACTCCGCGTCGGAGGAGGAGGAGGAGGAGGAGGAGGAGGAGGCCGCTGACGCCGAGGCGGACGCCGGCGGCGCGAACGACGAAGACGAATTCGCCCCCAACACGAGGGTCGGACGTCTCGGGGGTCTGAACAAATCGCAACGACGCGCGGGGCTGCGTTTCATCGCGGCGAACCGTAAAGCGCTCGCGTCGGACGGCGGCGGCGGCGGCGCGGACTCGGACTCGGAATACGCCGCCGCGGCGGCGTCGACGTCGACCGCCCGAGGCGCGCTGCAGCTCGTGCAGGGACCACCCGGGTGCGGAAAGACGCGGTTCATCGCTGCGCTGCTCAGGGATCTGTGTGATCCGCCGAAGAAGAACAAGAAAAAGAAGAAGTCGTCGTCGGCGGCGGCGGCGGCGGACGCGACGTTTTCGTCGAAAGTCGAGGCGATCTCCGCTTCCTCGAAGCCGATCGCGCACCCAAGTTTCGAGCACGACGCAGAAGGACCTGGGACCTGGACGAGTGGAAGCTGCCTGCGCTCCGTGAAGCGACTGAAGTCCGATAACGCGTTCATCGCCGCCGTGGAAAACGCGAGGGGCGTCGCCGACGTCGGCCGGGTTCTCGCGGCGGCGCATCGATGGTGCGTAGACCACGACGCGCACGACTTGATCGCCTACGTGAGAAATCGTGTCGAGAGAATTCTCGTGAGAGTCAAAGAACACGGCGGAGGCGCGAGGTTCTCCGTTCAGGTGTTCGAGTACGCGGTACTGTGCGCGTTTGCGTTCAGAGGCGAGTACAAGAAAAAACGCGCGCTGGCGACGAGAATCGTGACGTTGTTGTCAGGTGCGTTCTATACACTGGTTCCCATACGACCGCGTTCGCGTGGTGAACGCCGATCCTTAAAGACTTTTGCCGTCGTCTCTCTCCGCCCACCCCTCGCTTTCAATACCCGCCCTCGACGCCTTTCAACTCCACCTGACGCCTTTCAACTCCACCCTGACAATCGCTCGTATGGAACGACCCTCAGAATTTTTGACCGAGGACGCGTTGAACGACGAGAACGTCGACCACGACGTCTATAATCGGGACGAAAGCCGCTCCGCCTTGAGGTCTTCTCTCGCCGAGCTCGGGTACGATTGGCGCGAGAACGAAGGACGCGCGTCGACGCGAGTGACACAGACGAACGAATCGAACGCGTCGCGTCGACCGCTCCGAGTGATGGTGTGCGCGCCGTCGAACAAAGCCGTCACCGTCGCGCTCGAGCAATACCTCGCCGCGGGGCGCGACGACGACGACGACGGCGATGGCGATGGCGACGACCGACCGCCGCCGCCGGTGTTGGTCGGCGTCGAAGAGAAGCTTCGCGTCGCGTCCGCGGAGACGGCGAGCGCGACCGGGGGGCGCGTGATGGAATACTTCGTGTATCAGGTGCGTTCTATACAAACGTTTTTCACCCATCGCCCGGTTTCAACATTTGATAGCGTCCCCTTTCAACTGACCGATGAACTATTTTTGTATGGAATGGCCCTCAGCGCGCGGCGGTGCTCGCGGCGAGACTGCGCGCCGCGATCGAGCGCTGCGGCTTCAGCGCCGCGCGTCCCGGCGGTGGACCCGCGCCACCGCGAAGGGGGAGAGGTGGGCGCGAACGAAGTGACGCGAAGAACGACCCGATGCTGGCGTTGAAAGCGCTCGCGAAGAGGACGACGAAAGAATTGAAAGCGTCCGCGCCGCGGTTCCTCAAAACCGGGTCCCCCGGGCTGCTCGCCGCGCTCGCGCTCGCGGCGAGCGCGGACGCGAGCGCGGAGCAGACGCGATCCGCGGCGGCGAACGCGGCGAAGCGCTTGATGCTCGGCTCTGGCAGGAACGAGCACGCGGACGCGTTCGCGTCGGAGGTGATCTCCACGGCGACGTTGACGTTTTGCACGCTCTCGAGCGCGGGGCAGGCGATGATGACGCACGCGAAGCCCCCGGACGCGCTCGTCGTCGACGAGGCCGCGGCGGCTTTGGAGGCGGAGACGATCGTCGCGTTCTCGCGGCGCCCGGCGCGGTGTCTCCTCGTCGGCGACCCCGCGCAGCTCCCGGCGACGATGTCGTCGGAGGTGGCGCGACGCGCGGGGCACGACCGGTCGTTGATGCAGCGGCTCGTCGACGCCGCGAACGCGGCGGCGGCGGACGCGACGGCGGCGGGCGCGGGCGCGGGCGCGGGCGCGGGCGGGTCGGGGGTGGGTCGAGTCGCGTCGTCCAACGCGTCGTCCATCGCGAAGGCGAGCTGGTACACGCTTTTGGACACGCAGTACCGCATGCACCCGGACATATCCGCGTTTCCTTCCGCGCGGTTTTACGACGGCGAGGTCAAGGACGCCGCGAGCGTGTCGGCGGCGCCGCGTTTCCTCGCGCTCGCGACGACGGAGCCGCGGCCGCGTTGGATCGCGTCGTCGTTCGTGTTCGTCGACGTCAGCAGCGGTACCGAAGATGGCGGCGGCGGGAGCTCGTTGGGGAACCACGCCGAGGCGGAGCTCGCGGCGGCGCTCGCGGTGCTGCTTCCGTCGTGCGCACATAGCGCGGCGCGGCGCGAAACGGAAACGTCGTCGGCGTCGGCGTCGGCGGTGATTTCCTTCTACTCGGAGCAAGTCCGACGCGTGAAGATCGAGCTCGCGAAACTCCACAGAGGAGGGCAGCACCCCGCTGCTGGCGTGAAGACCGGCGCGCACAGCGTGGACTCGTTCCAAGGCTCCGAAGCGGACGTCGTCGTCGTCAGCGCGGTGCGACGCAACGACCGCGGCGCCGTCGGATTCCTGGACGACCGCCGTCGCCTCAACGTCGCGTTGACGCGCGCGAAACGACTCTGCGTCTTCGTCGGATGCGCGGCGACGCTCGAGAAGAGCGCGAAGGACGGAAAGCCGTGCGCGGACTTGCGCGCGCTCGTGGAGAACGCGCGGGCGAGGGGCGCGCTCGTGAGCGAGAGAGAGGTGAGGGCGTGGATCGCCGCGGCGCGCGAGCGGCGCGGGAGGGTTCCCGCGGCGTCGGCGCCGCCGACGCGCAAGCGGAAGCGGTCGCCGCCGCCGCCGCGTTCGACCGCGATCGCGACCGCGACGCCTCCGGTCGTGAAACCCGCGGACCGCACGCTCGAAGGGTGGGGGAACGTGAACCCAAAGTCGCTCGCGGAGCGGCTTAAATCGCCCGGGAGGGACGGGAACGCCGTGAATTGGGTCGAGCACTTCAAAACCGCCGGACGACGCGGGCTCCGATGAGATTGAGCGCGAAGACGTCGCGGAGAGTATCATAACACCAGTACAATAATCATACAACAACATCACGGTAGTACAAGGCGCGAACACATCACATCGCTCGCTTCACGACGCGCGCCCGCGGCGGCGGCGTCGCCGCGGCGGCGCGCTCGCCTCTTCCCGCGGCGCCCCCCCGGGTCCGTCCGCGTCGCCGCCGCCGCCGCCGCCGCCGCCGCCACCCTCCTTCGTCGCGGCGCGCAACAGCTCGCACACCGCGACGTGCCCCTCCCGCATCGCGACGTCGATCGGCCGCATCCCGTTACCGTCTCGCGCGCTCGCGGGCGCGCCCGATCGCAACAGCGCGTCCGTCAGCGGCGCGGACCCCAACAGCGACGCGATGTGCAGCGACGTCGCGCCGTATCGATTCGCCGCGGCGACGACGACGTTGCCGTCCTTCGCGCTCGCCGCCGCCGCCAACACGTCGTTCGCGACGTCGACGCGGTTCGCGCACGCCGCCGCGTGCAGCGGCGTCCACCCGTCGCCGTACCACGCCGCGTCCTGCCAGCGCGCGCCCGCGGCTTCGCATTCGGAGATGAGCATCTTGGACGTGAGTCGGCACCCTTTCAACGCCGCGATGTAATTCGCGTTCTCGCCGAGGTTGTTTCGCGCGGCGATCTCCGCGCCGCCGTCCAACAGCGCGCGGAGGGCGTCCACGCGTCCACCCTCCGCGGCGAGGAACAGAGGCGTCGCCCCGGAGCGGTCTCTCGCGTCGACGTCCGCGCCCATGGCGATGAGCGCGCGGACCGCGGCGGCGGAAGCGACGGAAGGCCCAGCCGTAGCGTCGCCGACGCCGCCGCCGACGCCGCCGCGCGTCCTCGCTTCTCCTCCGCGTCGGCGAACCGGGTCCGAGGCGGCTCTTCGCCGACCGACGCGCCACGGACCGTGGCGCTCGACGTCGCTCCCGCCGCCTTTAACGACAGTCGGCGTACCCGGCGCCGCCGTCGCCGCCGCCGCCGTCCTTCGCGCCGCCGCCGCCGCCGCTCGACGCCGGGCTCGACGGCTTCGGCTCCGCCGGCGACGCCGCGACGGCCATGTGCAGCGGCGTCGCTTTGAAACGCTTCGGCGGCGTGCAGTTCGCGGCCGCTCTCAACACCGCCGCGTCGTCGTCGTCGTTTTTCTCGTCGTCAGCGTCGCCGCGCGCGTCGTCGTCGTCGTCGTCGCGTCGTCGTCCTCGCAACGCCAACACGCAGACGGGGTCGGACAAGTCCCACAACGCCCATCGTTGCGGCGCGCCGCCGCCGCCGCCGGCGTCTCGAAGACGCCGCATCGTCGCCTCGACGACCGGTTCGAGCCACGCGGACGCGGGCGTGAACGGATCCTCCGGGTTCGCGAACGTCACCTCCATCGCGCGCAGGCGCGGGAGCGCGGTGAACGCGCCGGCGAGCTCCGCCGCGCGCGTCGCCGCCGCCGTCGTCGTCGTCGTCGACCGCGGCGAGTTCGAGTCGGAGCCGGAGCCGTCTGAGGGCCGTTCCATACAAGCGAAAGTCGGGGTGGAGTTGAAAGGCGTCAGGTGGAGTTGAAAGGCGTCGAGGGCAGGTTTTGAAAGCGGGGGGTGGGCGGAGAGATGCGCCGGCGAAAGTCCTTAAGAAACGGCGTCCACCACGCCAACGCGGTCGTATGGGGACCAGTGTATAGAACGCGCCTGAGAGCTCGCCGTCGCCGCCGCTTCGGCTTCGCGCGCGCGGCGCGTCGAAGACGCTTCCGCCGATCCCCAAGACTTCCAGCCTCGGCGCGGCGGTCGAGAGCGCGCGCGCGAAGTCGCTCGCGGACATCTCGAACGCGCAGTTCGTGAGCGACAGCGTCGTCAAGACGGCGCCGCCGCGGACGCCGGCGGTCGGCGGCGGCGGCACCGAAAGATGCGTCAGACACAGCGCGCGCAGCTCGGACTTGTCGGCTCTTCTTCTCCCGCGCCCGCCCCCTTCTTCTTCTTCGTCGTCTTCGTCGTCTTCTCCTTCGTTCTTCCACCCGAGCGCGTCCCCCAGGAGCGCGCGCGCGTCGGACTCCAGCAGACCGAAGCACCGCTGAAACGACGCCGCGCGAATCATCTTAGCTCTCGAGCCGCACCGCCCGCGAATCGATCCTCGAATCGCGTCCGCGGTGGCGCGCGAGACGCGATGGCACGCGTCCAACGTCACCGAGCGCAGGCTGCTCGACAGCGCCGCGATCGCGTCCGCGACCGCGGCGTCGGACGCGAGCGTCGCGCCGGTGAGATCAAGCCCGGACGCGCGCGACGCCAGCCGCGGCAGCGCGCGAAGCGTCGACTCGAGCCTCGCCCTCGGGTCCGTATCGCGCACGACGTCGCGATAGGGCGCGCGCGGGTGGTACGCGCGCCCTCGCGCGAGCGCGGGGCCGACTCTGACCGCGAGCGGTGCGGCGGAGACGAACGCGCGCATCCCGCTGGACGTCATCGCGAGCATCGCGAGCTCGGTCGCGTCCAGATGCGTCAAGACGCGCTCGAGGACGTCGCCGAGGTCCTCCAGCGTCGGACGACGATGATGCGCGGATTCCGACTCGACATCGTCGTCGTCGTCGCGTTCGTTGAACGACGCTTCCTCCCCGAGAGCCGTCGACGACGCCGCGGCGTCGCTCGCGTCTTCCGTCGCGTCTTCGAGCGCTGAGGACATCGCGACGGCGGCGAGCGGGAACCCCGACGCGCGCGCGTCGACCTCGGACCGTTCCCCTCGCCCGCGCGGCGTTCGAAGTGCGCGCGGGCGGGGGGCGGGGGGGGCTCAGCGGAGCGGCTGGATCTGCTTCGCGCGAAGATCGCGGGCGATTTCGCGCCAAGCTGACCATCGTTCAAACCGATCGGGGGTTTTCCGATTAAAAATGTTGAAAGGGTATTTTCATCGCAAAAGCCGATCAAAAGCTTTTAACACTAGTTGTACAACGTTGTACTCTGGCGCGTCGAGCACTCTGCCGATCGATTTCGTCGCGGCGCACATCGAACGACGCGCGCCCCCCCCCCCGCGCGAGGCGATGGCTTCGACGCGGCAGCGCGCGCTGAGCCTCATGCGCAGCATGCTGCGGTGCTCGATGGGGTGGCAGGGCGACCGCGGACGGCGAGAGGCGGAGTACATCGTCCTCGAGACCTCCAAGGCGTTCCGCGCGCGACGCGACGCGACCGACCCCGCGCTCGTGGAGCGCTACCTCCGAGAGGGCGAGGAGCGGCTGTACATGGCGAACAACTACAAGATCGCGTACGCGCGGCTCCCGCACGTCGCGCTGGGCGGCGGCGGAGACGTGAAGAACGTCCTCCCGCCCGCGCAGATGCCGGGGGACGACGACGCGGGCGGGAGCGGTGGGGGGAGATGGACGGGGGGTGGGGATGGGGGATCGCGGGGGGGGCACGTCGGCGGGTCGCTGCGGCTGGCGTCCGCGTCGACGCCGGTGAACCCGCGTCTGAACGCGGCGAGGGCGGCGGCGAGGGCGAAGCGAGCCGCGATGAGCAAAGCGACCGCGACCGACGAGGCGGACGACTGACGACGCGACGGCCAGAAGAGACGAATGAATGAATGCCCGCGGGCCTACAGTGTACACGTAGCTGATGAGACCGAATCTAAAACGTTCATCCGTCCGCCTACCTCGTCGCGGGTCCCTCCGTCCCTCCCTCGAACAGCGACGCGCTCCCGTAATTCTTCGTCTCCTTGTACGTGCTCTTCGCGTACAAAAACTGCAGCACCGGCCGCGTCGTGCTCTCGCTGAAATTTCCCATCCCGCGATGCATGAGGCGGTAGTCGTACGCCGCGAACCCGCCGGCGTCGACTTCGGGTCGAGTTGAAAGGCGTCGAGTTGAAAGGCGTCAGACGGAGTCGAAAGGCATCGCGGCGCGTCGGGATGGATTGAAAGCGAGGGATAGTGAGCGGAGAGTGACGATCGCCGGGAAGAAAAGTCCTTAAGGAACGGCGTTCACGACGCGAACGGGGTCGTACGGGAACCAGTGTGAAAATAGGACGCGCCTTTCCCGTCGACGCCGCCGCGCAACACCTCCGCCGCGGACCCGAACCCGATGAGCGCGTCCGCCTTGTGCGACCCCGCCCAGAACTGCGTGAACCCGACCTCGCCGTTCAAGTCCACGAGAGGCACGAAGACGCAGATCGCGTACGGGGGCGACGCGCCGACGCCGGCGTGGTTCGCGCGCGCGGCGCCCGCGAGGTGCCGCCCGTCGCAGTGCCAGTCCTGCGCGCGCGCGCCGGGCTTCGAGTACACGATGGACACGTCGCACCACCACGTACGACGTGGCGACGCGCTATTGGCGGATGACGATGACGACGACGATAGTGGCGGCGGCGATAGGATGGGGTCCACGAGCGCGCGGACCCACGGCGCGCGTCTCGCGAACGCGCGCACGAACGCCGCGTCCCCCTCGCCTCCGTCCCCTCCGTCCCTTTCGTCCCTTTCGAGCCCAGACTGGTTCCCATACGAGCCCGTTCGCGTTGTGAACGCCGTTCCTTGAGGACTTTCGCCGCCGCCCTCCCCCGCCCCCTCCCCCCCCCCCTCCTCCTCCTCCTCGCCCTCTCGCGGAAACAGCAGGTCGAACCTCTGCCCGCCGCGGCTGCCCATCTCCCGAAACGCGAACGCGTCCTCGCCGAAGCGCACGCTCCCGTGACGCGTCGCCATCGCGCGCTCCGCCGCCGCCATCCGTCGCGTCGCCGCGCGCGTCAGCCTCGCGAGGTCCTCTGACGCCACGCATCTTCGCCGCGACGCCGCGAGGCCGAGCTCCGCGAACGCGGCCACCGCCCGCGCGCGCGCGTCGTCGCCCTGCGACTCTTCCTTCTCCAGAAGCGCGGCCGCCGCGACGCGGACGCGCGGGTCGTCGACGCCGTCTCGTACCTCGAGAAACGGCACGTGGCACGGCGCGCTCACGACGAGCTCCGCGTCGTCGAAGCGCGCGGCCGCGAGCGCCGCGACGCGAGGCGCGACGGACGACTCGTCGCCGCCGGACGCGAGGCACGATCCGACGGCCTCGACGACGAAGGCGTCGTCGTCGTCCGGCGCGGCGGCGGCGGCGGAGTCTCGCGGCCCGCGTCGCGTCGAGTGCCACTCCAGCGATCGCTCGTCCCATCGCACGGCGAGGAGCGCGTCGCGCGCGGTCGCGAAGTCGACCCCGGGCTTGGGCGTCGCGGCGACGACGACGCTGACGCGCGCGCGGTCCGACGCCCAGAGGTCGTCCAGCGTCGGCGTCGGCGTCGGCGCGGACGACGCCATGAACGACGCCGCCGCGCGGGGGGCGGCGCGACGTTGTGGTCGGCCGTCGCCAGCTTGCACCGTCAGCAGTCGCGCGCGTCAGCGTTTTCCGTCGACGACGTCGACGCGAGTCATCATCAGATCTGCGCGCTAGGTTCGCCCACTTCGAGACGCGTCGCGCGCGCGTTCACGCACGACACGTTCAGGCGCGAGTCGCGGTGTTCATCGACAGAAGGCGATTGGACGCGCCGCGAAGAGTCCGCGCGCGAGTCTAGCCTAGCCGCGCAGAGAGGCGGGCGACGAGGCGAGAGAAGAGAGCCGCGGAGAAGAGCGAGAGAGCGCGCGAGGCGCGTCGTCGTCGGCGCGATGTCGGATCAGGCGGTCCTGCTCCTCAGGAAGCAGCTGAAAGGTGCGTCTCATCGCGATCTGGTTCGATTCGACGCGTCTTCTCGCCGCGCCGCGGTCGATCTCCCTCCGACGCGCGCGCGCGCGCGCGTCGTCGTCGTCGTCGTCGTCGTCGTCGTCGTCGTCGTCTTCGGTCCGAGTCGCCCTCTCCTCGTTTTCGTCGATCGCCGACGCCTCCTCGTCTCCGCTCTCCCCCCGCGCGCAGAGCTGAGCCGTAACCCGATCGAAGGGTTCTCCGCGGGGCTCGCGGACGATTCCAACGTCTTCGAATGGGCGGTCACGATCATGGGACCCCCGGACACGATGTAGTGCGTCCCCTTCCGCCCCGGAGCGAGATCGCGCGGCCGCTCGTTTTTGAACCCGCCCCGGCTGCCCTCGGAAAAGCGAGCAGAGAGGAAGACGCGCGGTCATCGATCGTCGTCCCTTCCGATTTTCTTCCCCCGGCGGCGTCTGACCCGCGTCCTCCTCCTCCTTCGATCCGATCCCCCCCCCCCCCCCTCGCCTCCCACCAGCGAGGGCGGGTTCTTCGTGGCGGCCATGTCCTTCCCCCAGGACTACCCGAACAAACCGCCGACGGTGAAGTTCGTCAGCGAGATGTGGCACCCGAACGTGTACCCGGATGGCAAAGTGTGCATCTCCATCCTGCACAACCCGGGGGACGATCCGATGGGATACGAGCAAGCGAACGAGCGCTGGTCCCCGGTGCAGACGGTGGAGACGATCATGCTGTCGATCATCTCCATGCTGTCGAGTCCGAACGACGAGAGTCCGGCGAACATCGACGCGGCGAAGCAGTTCCGCGAAGATCACGCGGGGTTTAGGAAACGCGTCGCGTCGTGCGTGCGGAAATCGCAAGAGATGTGACGACGACGCGACGACGCGGACGAGATTCTGACGTGATTCTGTGGATGGATGGATGCGATTCAAAATCGAGTCGAGGGACTGCACTACGACGACGACGACGAGGAGGAGGAGGAGGCTGCGAGGAGATGAGATCAGATGGACGCGTGGACGGATCGGAGGAACGCGGCGGCGCGCGAACGACGCGACGACGAACGGTTTAAAAATAGCATCAGTTTAACGAACGACGTCGCGCCGCTTGTTAAACTACACGGGGCTACCTACCTCAGTAAATAATAAGCTAACGCGCGGACGGACCCGCGCTGCTACGCTACGGCGCTAGCAGAGACGATGCGCGTCGCGTCGCGTCGCGTCGCCTCATCGCACCTTGAACTTGAGCGTCGCGTATCGAAACGACGCGCAGAGGCCGACGGCGACGCCGCACGCGTTGACGGCGTTCACCGCGACCCCCCCGAACGCGTTGAACCCGAGGACGATGACCACGACGTCTTTCAAGTTCCCACATATCGTCTGCGTCAGCGCGCTGTTCAGCGACGTGTTCAGGAACACCGCGTAGTTGAGCGCGAACGCGAGCGCGCACGACGCGACGACGACAGCCTCGAAGGAGAACTCGCCCAACCGTCGAAACGTCCCCACCGCCGCGAGCTCGCCCGTGGCCATCGTCGACGCCAGCACCGCCGGCGCGGTCACGACGCCGTTGCACCACATCATCCCGAACGAGTTCAGCCCGCTGCTCTTCCCGTACCTGGAGATGCACGCGAGGTACACCGCGGTCGCGGCGTTGTTCGCGAAGACGCGCGCGTAGCCTAATCGAAGTTTGGGGTCGTTCCATACAAAGCGACGTCGGGGTGGACTTCATAGGCGTCAGTTGGAGTTGAAAGGCGTCGAGGGCGGGGATTGAAACCGAGGGACCCTGGGCGGAGAGATGTGCCGGGAAAAGTCCTTAAGGATCGGCGTTCACCACGCGAACGCGGTCGTATGGGGACCAGTGTATTGAACGCGCCTGATGCGTCGAAGTGCGCGTCCCCGAGCGCGGCGACGAACGCGCCCGCCACCATCGCGCCCACCGCGGTCGTCACCGCGCGCGATTGCCGCTTCCCCACCGCGAAATACTCCGCGGTCATCGTGAACGCCGCGGTCGTCCGTCGCAGCGTGGTGTACATCGGGAGGTTCACGCCTCGGACGGACGACATCGACAGCGCCACGTACGCGAAGTAGGCGCACGACAGCGGGGCGACGCGGCGAAACATCTGAGGGTCGTTCCATACGAGCGAACGTCGGGGTGGAGTTGAAAGGCGTCAGAAGCGGATTTGAAAGGCGTCGCGGGCGGGGATTGAAACCGAGGGACCCTGGGCGGAGGGATGCGCCGGGAAAAGTCCTTAAGGATCGGCGTTCACCACGCGAACGCGGTCGTATGGGGACCAGTGTATGGGACGCGCCTTGATCGTCGGGAACCCGGTGCGCTTGTCCACGCAGTCCCTTGGCACGAGCGAGACGTCGTCCACGAACGCGACGTACCGCCCGCGGCGCAGGCCGTACAGCAGCGCGTTCGAGAAGCACAGCTGCGCGAGGGTGATGACGTTCGCGCACGGGAAGTCGAACGACGACAGCAGCGCCTTGTTGAAGAAGAGGAGGAGCACCGAGAGGGTCGTGTAGGCGAGCGCGACGAGGAGCTTGTGAAGCTTCGCGGGCTTGAACGGCTCGTCCAGCGGGGACGCGCCGCGGCGCGGCGGGCGGCGCGGGGGGAACGCCACGGCGGACGACGCGCCGGCGGCGCTCGCGGCGTGCATCATGCCGCGCGGGGACGGGGTCGCGCCATCCGAGATGCGCCGAGAGTCGTGTTCTTTTCGTTCGCCCAGGCCAGGCGCGGAAAAAAGTGCCGACGCGCGTACGATCGATCAGACGTGTTCGTATGCGCAAACAGTGAGAGTAGTTTTTTCGGTGACGTACTCTCGCTCGGCGCTGTTCTTACCCCCAATTTTCGCTCGGAAAACCACAGGCGTTTCGCGGCCGTTCCGCACTTTCGCACGCGCGCGCACGCATCCCGCATCGTCGCACACACTTCTCTCAAAATGGCTCCCGGTCGCTCTCTCTACGCCAAGCTCATGGTCCCGTACTTTGGCCTGTACGCCGTGACGATGATGTACAACCCGACGAAGTGCGTCCCTCCCTCGCGCCGTCTTCTCTCCGCGACGTCTCTCCGGGAATTCTCTCTCGTAACAACGCGGTAAAATGCGTGCAATTTCCCGTCGTCGACGCGCTTCGTCGTCTCACGCGCGCCGCGCCCCGCTCGATCCCCCGCGCACCGCAGGTTCTGGGGCCCGAAAGGCCTCGGGATGATCCCGTACTTCACGCAAGACCTCGGCGACAGCACCACGCTCGCGGGCTTCTTCGCGCGAATGGTCGGACTCGGATTCCTCATGATCGCGCTCGCGCCCAAGCTCGGGGCGAACGAATCCTCCTTCGTGAAGCAGACGATGGTGTTCCACGTCGGCGCTCTCCCGTGGTTCTACAAGCTCTCGACGTACGTCGCGGTCGGCAAGAAAGCCGTCCAGCTGTGGACGCCGTGGGCGTGGCAGCTGCAGTGCGTCGTGAACGTTCTCTTCGCGGTGTGGGGATATCTCACGCTCTCCGCGGGCAAGAAGAAGAAGAACTAAATCGCGTTCGTTGGAATAATTTATGATTTCGACGCGCTCGCGTCGCGGGCGGACGCGACCGACGCGCACGAGGCGCGCGAGGGAGGAACCTTGACGTGAACGCGAACGACGAATGTGTTATGTTTTCGAGAGAGAGAGTCATTTTGTAATAGTAAGAGCGAAGTCATGTATCGCGCGACGACGCACCCGGCATTCATTCATTTAGCAGTGGCATTGGCGCTCCCCGCGACTCATCCACCGGGCCAAAAAGTGCAATTTTTTCTCGGGTCCGGCGGTGCTTATGCTTCCGTAAGGCGCGTCCGCCGCCCCCGCGCCACTCTCGACGCGCGGTCGTACGCACGAGGAACGAACGCGACCACCGGCGACTGACTTCTTCGCGCTCGGCGCACGTCATGGCGATGGCGCTCCTCGCCGTCGCGCCGGCGCGACCGCGCGCGTTCGCGCGGTCCAGCGGAATCGCGCCCCCGCTCGGCGCGGTCCCCGCCGGCGGCGAATCGCGGCGATTCGCGCCGTCCTCGTCGCGCGCGTCGTCTCTCGTCGTCCGCGCGGAGTACGGCGAGCGGCGCTACGGCGGCGGTCGCGCGGGAGAAGGCGGCCGGCGACGCGACGACCGAGACCGAGACCGCGGCGTATACGGCGGCGGCGGCGCGGGCCTGCGCGTGAACGAGTTCGGGGACGAGTACGAAACCTCGGGCGAGCGCGGCGCGCGCCGACCGCGCGCGCCGCCGCCTCGGTACCACCGCGACGACGACGACGACGCGCCGCGCGGCCGCCGCGACGACCGCCACCGCTACGACGACGACCGAGACTTCGACCGACGGTCGAGGCGAGCGGACGACCGCGGGAGCGCGCGCGCGTTTCGAGGCGGCGGCGGCGGCGACGACGACGACGACCGCTTCGTCGAGGAGGTGCTCCCGTGCTCCGGGAAAGAGCCCGGCCGCGTCATCGGCAAAGGCGGCGCGACGATCGACAGAATACAGAACGAGACCGGCGCGCGGATAGACGTGTTACGAGACGAGGAGGAGTGCAGGATCACCGGCGGCGCGGCGTCCGTCGCGGCGGCGCTGAAGGCGGTCAAGCTCGTGATGGCGCGCGGCGACGGCCCGAGCGATCCGAGCTCCGGATCCGCGTTTCGAGACGAATTCGGCGACGACGCGCGGTACGCCGCCGTGGAGATCATCCCGTGCGTGGGCGTCGGCCCTGGAAGGGTCATCGGCAAGCGCGGCGCGACGGTGATGCGCATACAGGACGAGACCGGGGCTCGGATCGAAGTCAAAGCCGAGGACGGGCAGTGCTTCGTGAGCGGGACGCGGGAGCAAGTCGATCGCGCGACGGTCGCGGTGCGACGCATCATCGAAGAAGGCGACGGGTACGAGCCCGTGCAGCGCGCGTCGAGGAACTTTGACTACGACGGCGACTGGGGCGACGAGAGGCTGGGCGGGAGCCGAGACCGCGGGGAGTGGATCGAGGAGATCATACCGTGCCGTAGCGCGCTCGCCGTCGGTCGCGTCATCGGCAAACGCGGCACCACCGTCTCTCGGATCGAATCCGAGACGGGCGCGAAGATCCAAGTCGACCAGCGCATGCTCGAGTGCGTCGTGAGCGGGTACCCGGAGGCGGTCGCCGCGGCGTCGAGACAGGTGAAGCAGGTCATGGTCGAGGGATTCGGCGGCGCCGTGGAGCGCGTCGAGTGCACGGGGATGGAAGGGTTGATCATCGGACCGGGGGGCGCGCGCGTGCGAAGGATACGCACGGAGAGTAAGGCGCGAGTCGACGTGCAGAAGATCAGCGAGCACGCGTCCGAGTGCGTCATCAAGGGGGATCCGGACGCGGTCAGGATCGCGGTCGGGATGGTCACGGAGCTGATGGAGGAGGAGCGCCGGGTGAACGAGAGGCGGCGGGGCGGCGGCGGATGGGAGCGCGAGTTTGAGTACGATCGCGAGTACGACGACCGGCCGCCGCGATCGCGGCGGGAGTCGTGGGGGGAGGAGATTCGACGCGAGGGCGGCGGAGACCGCGGCGGGAGGAGGTTCGGGGAGTACGGTCGTTGACTTGACGTCGTATGATAGCGCGCGTGATGACGTTCATCGTTCGTCGCGTCGATTCGCGAAATTCGCGAAGGGATCGTTTCATTTTCATTTTCCGACGAAGGCGGCCGCCGCGGCGATGGCGTCGTCCAGCCCCTCCACCTTGTTCCCTTGCCCCTGCGCGACGCCGCCTTTCCCACCCCCGCCCTTGCCCTCGATCGGCCCGCAGCACGCGTCCAGCCACTTCTTCACGTCGATCGCCGGCGTCGCGGACGGCGGCGCGGAGACGTAGCACATCGCCTTGCCCTTGACCGTATCCGCCGAAAACAACGCGCACGCGACGTCCTGCTTAAACGCCACCGCGGCGGCGTCCTTCAGCGCGCCAGGGTCCGCGCCGTCGCCCAGGCGCATCACGAACACGGTCTCCCCCGCCGCTTTCACCTCCGCGGTCTTCTCCTCCACAGCCTTCTTCGCCGCGGCTTTCACCGCGACGGCGGCTTCCTTCGCGGCGGCGATGAGCTTTTTCGTCGTCGCCGCCATCCGGTCGCGAATCTCCGCGCGTTGCACCGCGGGCATGACCGCGGTGTCGACGTCGTTCTTCAGCGCAGCCATCTCCTTGTCGAGCTCGGGGCCGGGCGGCATCGCGTCGCAGGCGTCCACGCGCGCGGCGATGCCGGCGGCGGTCGCGAGCGCGGCGACCGCGCCGCCGCGCGTCGCCGCGACGACGCGTCGAATACCCTTGGCGATGCCCGCCTCCTCGAGGAGGACGAATCCCTCCGCCTGCGACGTGTTCGCGAGGTGCGTGCCGCCGCAGAATTCGATGCTGTACTTGGTCCACTCCTCGCTCCCGGGGTTTGCGAGCAGCTCGTCGATCGTCGGGCCGACGGAGACGACGCGCACGGGGTCGGGGTACACCTCGCCGAACACCGCGCGTAAGCCGCTGATTGTCTTGGCGTCGGCGAGCGCGACTTCACGCGCGTCCACCGCGAGCGACGCGCCGACGCGCTCGCGCACGATCTCCTCCACGCGCTTGATCTCGTTGTTGGACATCGGCTTGTTGTGCGAGAAGTCGAAGCGGAGCTTCTCATCGTCCACGAGCGACCCTTTTTGGTCGACGCCGTCGCCGAGGACGCTTCGAAGCGCGAAATTCAGCACGTGCGTCATCGTGTGATTGGGCGCGATGTTCGCTCGGCGGTCGTAGTCCACGCGCGCGGCGCACGTATTGCCGACCGTGATCGCCTCGCCCTCGACGCGCTCGCCGGAGTGGAGGACAAATCCGGCGGCGACTTTCACTTCGTTAACGGCCAGAGACGCGCCGTTTTCGGTCGTGATCACGCCGACGTCGCACACCTGCCCGCCGCTCTCGGCGTAAAACGACGTGCGGTCGAGCACCAGGCCGATCGGGCCTTCGACGCCTTCGGTGCTCTCGACGAAACCGTTCAGGGTCAAGATCGCCTTCACGACCGCGCTCGGGTCCGCCTCGGGTCCGTCGTACTTTGGCGAGTCGTCCGTGAACGGGATCGCGTCGTGCGCGTGCGCGATCTGGTGCGTCGCGTGCACCTCTTTGAGGACGTCCTTCGCCTTGCCCCACTTTGAGCCGTTCTTTTGCAGCCACGACGTGGCCTCCGCTTCGAAGAGGAGCGACGGGCCGTCGGACTTCTTCCCCCCGGCTCGGGACTTCTCTTGCGCCTCCTTAAACGCGGCGTCGAACCCGGCGGTGTCCACGGTCATGCCGTTCTCCTCAGCCATGATCTCCGTGAGGTCAATCGGGAAACCGAACGACTCCCAGAGCAAAAACGCGGCGGCGCCGTCGACAACGGCGCCGCCGTCCTCCTTCGCCTTCGCCGCGATCTTCTTGAACTGATCGATGCCCTTCAGCAGCGTGCGACCGAACGACTCCTCCTCGTCCGCGATGATGTCCGTGACGCGCTTCTCGTGCTTGACAATCTCCGGGAACACGTGCCCGAAGAGCTCGACGACGACGGCGACGAGCTTTTGAAAAAAACCCTGCTCCGCTCCGAGCTTCTCGCGGCCGAATCGCACCGCGCGTCGCAACACGCGCCGCAACACGTAGTTGCGGCCATCCGACCCGGGTGCGGCGCCGTCCGCGATCGCGAACGTCAACGTCCGGATGTGATCCGCGACGACGCGGTACGCCATGTCTTTTTCCCCCTCGTCCTCCGCGCCGAGAAGTCCCGTATACGGAGGCGCGCCCGTCACCTCTCGGATGCGTTCGAAAATCGGCGTGAAGACGTCCGTGTCGTAGTTGCTCATCTTGTCTTGGAGGATCGAGGCGATGCGCTCGAAGCCCATGCCGGTGTCGACGTGCTTCGCCGGGAGCGGTTTGAGGACGCCGCCTTCTTCGCGGTTAAACTGGATGAATGGCGGGGTGGAGTTCAAAGGCGTCAGTTGGCGTTGAAAGGCATCGAGGGCGGGGATTGAAAGGGAGGGGTGGGCGGAGAGATGCGCCGGGCAAAGTCCTTAAGGAACGGCGTCCACATCGCCAACGCGGTCGTATGGGGACCAGTGTATAGAACGCACCTGGATGAAGACGATGTTCCAAATCTCGAGGCAGTTCGGATCGTCCGCGTTCACGAGGTCGGCGGCGTCGCGGCCGCCGATGCGGTCGTAGTGGATCTCGCTGCACGGACCGCACGGGCCGACGTCGCCCATCTCCCAGAAGTTATCCTCGCACCCGAACGGCAAGACTTTGTTCGGAGGGAGCACCTCGAGCCAGATGTCGCGGGCTTCGAGGTCGGGCGGCAGACCCTGCGATTCGTCGCCGCCAAAGTACGACGCGTAGAGACGCGATTCGTCCAGGCCGTAGTGCTCCTTACTCGTCAGGAGCTCCCACGCCCAGTGAATCGCCTCGCGCTTGAAGAAGTCCCCGAACGACCAGTTCCCGAGCATCTCGAAGTACGTGTGATGGTACGTGTCCTTGCCGACGTCGTCCAGATCGTTGTGTTTCCCGCCCGCGCGAATGCACTTCTGCGTGTCCGTCGCGCGCTTGAGCTTCGCGAGCGGGCCCTTCGGGTCCGCCTTGCCGAGGAAGATGCTCTTGAACTGGTTCATCCCCGCGTTCGCGAAGAGAAGCGTCGGGTCGTCGTGCGGGACCACGGGCGAGGACGGCACCACCGCGTGCTCCTTCGACTCGAAAAAGTCGAGGAACGTCTGACGGATCTTATTCGCGGGCCATCCGTTGTGCGGCGACTCGTCGAGGGACATCTTGCCGAGGTCCATGGCCTGTCGCGATCGCGCGGACGCGGGGGAGTGGGGGAGAGCGAGAGCGAAGGTCAGCGACGGCGAGCGAGCGAAGCCAGGGCGTCGGAGAAGGAAGCGCGACGGGGACGCGCGACGACGCGACGCGTCACCGATCGCGGCGGAGAGAAGATGCGAAAAAAAACGCGGCGAGGCGAGGCGACGCGCGACCGCCGCCGCGGTGTCGATCGATCGGTCGACCGCCGTCGCGGACGCGGTCGCGACGCGCGAGGGTTCGCGACGCGCGATGTCGACGCGACGCGCGCACCGTTGCGTGTGGATGGAGACTCGTGCGGCGTTCGACGCGGCGAGGAGCCTCTCGCGTGCGGGCGCGCGCGCGGCAGAGAGCCGCCGCGCGCGGTCTCAGAGCCCCTCGTTCCGCCTCGCGTGTCAGATGAGATCGCGATCGCGACTTCAGCGAGCCGTCATCAGTCGATTTGGGGTTTTTATGAGCCGAGGGAGACGCGAGCTCGCGTGACTACTGACGACGGACGGGCGACGACGAAGAAGAGAGAGCACGCGATCCCGCCAACGTTTCCTTCGTCGATGACGTTACGATACCGCCGCGCTATACAAACGACCGCGCCGTCCTCCTTCCGACCGCTCCTCCCTCCGCCCGCCGTCGCTCCCTCCGTCGCGGACCGACCAAAATCTGGAAGCGTCGTCACTTCGCGTCGTGGAAGCCCTCGGGGACGTTCACCAACCACCCCTCCGGCGCCTCCAACTTCCCCGCCTGAATACCGGTGAGCTCGTCGTACAGCGACTGCCCGACCTCGCCCACCTTCCCGCCCTTGAACACCTTCTTCTCGCCCCTGTGCGTCACGGATCCGACGGGCACGACGACGACGGCGGTGCCCGTGCAAAAGCACTCGTCCGCGTCGAGCACCTCCTCCACGCTGACGTTCCTCTCCTCGACGACGTATCCCTTCTTCTTCGCGAGCTCGATCACGGACTTGCGCGTGATCCCCGGGAGGATGCTGCCGCCGAGCGCCGGCGTCGCGATCGTCTTTCCCTTGACGGCGAAAAAGTTGCAGCTGCTCACTTCCTCGATGTACTTGTTGTTCACCGCGTCGAGGTAAATCACGTCGCTGAACCCCTCCTTCTTCGCCTTGAGCTGCACCTTCAACACGGGCGAGTAGTTCCCGACGCACTTCGTGCTCCCCGTGCCCCCCGGCGCGGCTCTGTGGTACGTCTCCTCGACGACCAGATCGATCGGCGTGAGCTGCCCACCTTTAAAATAAGAAGCCACGGGCGAGCAGTACACGAGAAAGTCGTACGACGGCGCCGGACCCAACCCGAGGATCGGTCCGGTGCCGATGAGCAGCGGCCGGAGGTAGAGCGACCCCTTGCCCTCCGGCGGGATGAAGTCGCGGTTCGCGCTGATCGTCTTCTTGACCGCGTCCACGAAGACGTCCTCCGGCACGGGCGGCATCGACATGCGCCCCGCGCCCTCCGCGAAGCGCTTCGCGTTTTGATCCGGTCGGAACACTGCGACGGCGCCGTCCACGGTCCTGTACGCCTTCATCCCCTCGAAGATGCCCTGGCCGTAGTTTAAGACCGCGGCCGCGGGGGAGAGGGAGAGGTCGCCGTACGGCTCGAGCTGACCCGTCGTCCACTCGCCGTCGACGTCGCACGTGGCGCGGCACATGAACGCCGTCTCCGTGAGGCCGAACCCGAGCGCGTCCCAGTCGATGTCCGCGGCGGACGCGGCGGACTTCTTCGCGGGCGTCGAGACGTTCGCGGCGAGACGCGCGCCTGTCGGTGTAGATGAAGGAGGCGGCGGCGGCGGAGGAGGAGGAGGGGTGCAGGACGCGTGAGATCGACGCGTCGGGGTGGGATAAGGATGGCGTCTCGCGACGCGGAGGAAAAAAAAGACGGCGGAGGGGACTGGCGGTCGGATCGTCTCACGCGGCGTCGCGAGCGACGCGCGCGGCGTCCGCGGAAGGGCCGCGATCGTCCGCGGCGGCGGCGGAGACGTGGACGCGCGTGAACGTCGCGGGGACGCACCTCGCGAGGACGCGACGTTCGGTCGCGCGCGCAGGGGCGTCGCGACGCGCCTCGCGGCGGCGGCGGAGGCGCCATCCTTTTGGGAGGAGGCGCGAATCGCGTGAAGCGACGCGCACGTCGCCGCGGGCGCGGCGCAGATCGCGGACATTACGTGCGGTGTGCGAGGTAGAGCTCGGCGGGTGAAGACCGCGCGGTGCGTGGACGGCGACGGCGGTCGTGCCGGTGCGTGCCTTCGTCTGCGGCGCGGGCGCGACGACCGGGCGGCGAGGAGGGTGTCCGATTGCGCCTCTACTACGAGTACGGTCAGCGCGTCCGAAATATCTACGGGTGAGATTTCATGCGAAGGTTCACCGGTCATTTGAAAGGCGTCGCGATCAAACGTTGAACCCGAGTTTAGGGTGAATTTTGTGTAGCATCGACTTTAGCTTTCATCAGGCTGCGTTCTGTTCGCTTTCCCGGTCAACACGCGCAGCTCGCCTTCGAATCCGCGCGCGCCTTCGCACACTTCGACCGCGCCGGCCGCCGTCACACGCGCACAGCCCGCGAAGATGAAGATCGAGGAGGTCCAGAGCACGACGAAGCGGCAGCGCGTGGCGACGCACACGCACATCAAGGTCAGCCTCCGCGCGCGCCGACGGACGGACGGACGATCGATCGGCGACGATCCAGCCGGCACTCCTCCTCAATTCTTCCTCCTTCCTTTCGCGCCGTCCGACGGTTGACCGTCCGCGATCGCGCGCCCCTCCCCCCCCGCCCCGCCCTCGCTGACGCGCGATCGATCCCCCAACATCCCGTCCATTTCGCACCATCCCCCCGACGCGCGCCGCAGGGTCTCGGCCTGAAAGAGGACGGCGTCGCGCTCGACCTCGCCGCGGGATGGGTCGGGCAGGAGTCCGCGCGCGAGGCTGCGGGCGTCGTCGTGGACATGATCAAACAAAAGAAGATGGCCGGCCGAGCGCTTCTCATGGCGGGCGCGCCGGGGACGGGGAAGACCGCGCTCGCGCTCGGGATCGCGCAGGAGCTGGGAACGAAGGTGCCGTTCTGTCCCATGGTCGGCAGCGAGGTGTACAGCTCCGAGGTGAAGAAGACGGAGATCTTGATGGAAAACTTTCGACGCGCGATCGGGCTTCGAATCAAAGAAAACAAAGAGGTGTACGAGGGCGAAGTCACGGAGCTGACGCCGGAGGAGACGGAGAGCACGGGGGGGGGCTACGGCAAGGTCATCTCCCACGTCGTCATCGGCCTCAAGACGGTCAAGGGCACGAAGCAGCTCAAGCTGGACCCTACCATCTACGACGCCATGCGAAAGGAGAGCGTCCAAGTAGGCGACGTCATCTACATCGAGGCCAACAGCGGCAGCGTGAAGCGCGTGGGGAGGTGCGACGCGTACGCCACGGAGTTTGACCTCGAGGCGGAACAGTACGTCCCGCTGCCCAAGGGGGACGTGCACAAGAAGAAGGAGATCGTTCAAGACGTCACGCTGCACGATCTAGATTCGGCCAACGCGAAGCCGCAGGGCGGCCAGGACATCATGTCCGTCATGGGTCAGATGATGAAGTCCAAGAAGACGGAGATCACGGAGAAGCTGCGGCAGGAGATCAACAAGGTCGTGAACCGGTACATCGACACCGGCGTCGCGGAGCTCGTCCCCGGGGTTCTCTTCATCGACGAGGTGCACATGCTCGACATCGAGTGCTTCACCTACCTGAATCGCGCGTTGGAGTCGTCGCTCGCGCCTATCGTCGTCTTCGCCACCAACCGCGGCATCTGCGAGATCAAAGGCACGGACGGCATGAGCGCGCCGCACGGCGTCCCGGTGGACCTCCTCGACCGTCTCGTGATCATTCGAACGCTGCCGTACACCCCGGAGGAGATGGTGAAAATCCTCGCGGTGAGAGCGACGGTGGAGGGCCTCGTCGTGGACGAGGAGAGCCTCGCGTACCTCGGCGACGTCGGCGAGCGGGCGTCGCTGCGGCACGCGGTGCAGCTGCTCACGCCCGCGTCCGTGCTCGCGAAGACGAACGGGCGGGAGGAGATCACGATCGGGGACTTGGAGGAGGTTGGCGAGCTGTTCTTGGACGCGAAGGCGAGCGCGAAGCTTCTCACGGAGCAGGCGGACAAGTATCTGTCGTGAGGAGGGAGGTCCTTCGGCGGGAGGGAAGAAGGAGAGGAGCTCCATCCAGAAGACGAGGCCGAGTGAGCACAGCGCGCGCGCTGTGTGATGATGATGATGATGATGATGATGACTAGAATACTCGTGTGTGTTCAAACTCTCATCAGTCTTGTCGCGTCTAAAGTTTTTTGTACGTCGTCACGACGGCAGGGTACCGCGCGCGCGCGCGGTGCGATCAGAGTCAGGGTCAACTCGCGAAATCAAAGTACATCCCCGCGGGGTCGCGGCGTCCGGCAGCGCGTCGATCGATCGATCGATCGATCTCTTCGCTTCGCTCAAGACGCCGCCTCCACGCCCGCGGCGACGGAGGGATCGTCCGTTATGTACACCTGATCCCCCCACCCGCCGACGCCGACGCCTCCGTCCCCCGGCGCCGGCTGACCCCCCGCGCCCGCGCCCGCGCCCGCGCCCGCGTCCCCGCCGCCGCCCGCGCCCGGTCCGCGCGTCGTCGTCGTCGCGCGCTGCTGCTGCTGCTCATCGCTCCCGCTACCGTTCGAGTTCAGAGACCCCTCCTCGGTGCCGCCCGCGCCGCCGCCCACGCTTCCGCCCATCATCGTCGCCCGCGCGCCGACGCCGCTGCCCACGCCGTGCGCCGCCGCGTGCCCGCCGCCGGGCCCGAGCCCTCTCTCGTCGAACGCGCCCTCGGACGCGTTCACGAACGTCGGGCATCCCGCGCCGATGAGCTTGATCTGGTCCTCCCACATCCGCTCGCACATCAGGTTCGCGCCGAGGTTTTGCATGAGAAGCATCACCGTCTCTCGGTCCACCGAGGACATCCGCGAGAGTTTCTCTTTGCACGAGGCTCGGACGTCCGGGTCGAAAATCTCCGCGAGGAACGTGTACACGACGAAGAAATCCGGGGTTTGCCCCTTCTTCATCGCGCCGTTTCCACCGCCGCCGTGCTGCCCTTTAAACGCGTTAGCGTTGCCCGCCGCGACGTGCGCGTGTTGCGGCGCGGCGCCGTCGCCGAGCCACCCCCCGCTCATCGGCCCCGGGCCGGGCTGCGCGTAGCCCCCCGGGCCCATGCCCCACCCTTGCCCCGGCCCGCCCGGACCTTGCATCCTACGCGCGGCGTGCTGGTACTGGTGGTACCCGCGCTCCGCGTCGGCCTGCGCGGCGGCGGCCGCGGCCGCTCGCGCTCGCGCGGCGGCGGCGGCGGCGGCTTCCTTCTTCGCCGCCGCAGCCGCGGCTCTCTTCCCTCCGCGCGATGGCGCGCCGCCCGCGGTGGATTTTTGCGGGTACGGCGTCGCGGACTTGCGTTTCGGTCGCGGCGGCGGGATGTGCTCGCCCGTGCCGTTCTTTTGGACCTGTGGGGGCCGGGGAGGGGAGAGAGAGAGAGAGACGTCGGCGGGTGTCGGGTGTCGAAAAAAAAACAGTCCAGCATCAGATGGTTCGAACAGCGACGAGGCGGGCGGTTTACGTTTCTTCCTCTCCGTCGACCGGAGGGGCGGCGGGTCCGACGCGGCGGGGGGATCTGTCGCGCGCGCACCTTTAGGAAATACTTCTGCGCGTGGCTCCTGATCTGAATCACCGTCTTCGTCCCGACGTACGTCTCGATCTTTTTCCAGTCCCGGTCGTACCTGCGACGAGGAAGGGAGAGCGCGGTCAGCGGCCGCGCGTCGACGGTGGAGAGACGAATTCGACGAACTGAATTCCACGGTTTCCGCTCGCGGGTCGGGGGGGTGGGGCGGGGCGAAGGCGCGACGCACATGTTGATAGCCTCGAGGAACATGTTGTGCTCCTTCTCCGTCCACGACTCCCGGCTCTTGGTTATCGTGTACGGCTTGCGCGCCTTGCTCGCGTCGGGTTTCATCGTCGAGGCGAGCGAGATCCCTCCCGGCGCCGTCTCCGTCGCGCGAGGCGAAAAACCGGTTCGACGCGAGCGCCCGGAAAACGTCCGCCGCGCCCGCGCGCGACGACGCCCGCGGGGTGTGGCGCCGCGCGAGAGGTCGCTCGACGACGCGCGATGAACTCGAGGTCCTTCGCGGTGCGATGCGGGCGGTCGTCCGTCGTTCAGACGCCGCGAGGAGTGGCCGCGTCGCGACGGGGAAACGAGCGAAAACACCTCGACGTCGCGTCGACGCGGAATAACGTTCTGTACTCGGGCGCCCGCGGACGCTCGTGATTGGTGGAAATTCTAGAGATATTCTCGATTCGCCCCTGATATTTTTCGCGGCCGCGCGTCGAGGAAAATGACTCGGAAACGACGAGTCAATTTGGTCGTCTCGTCGACGAAACACGCGGTTTGCCACGTGGACTGAACCGAGCCGGGGAAACCCGTGTCCTGAAACCAGTGTAAGTTGTTACTGCGAAGGTGTCCGGCGCGAAGCGCGTGCAGTGAGGAAAAACGAGGCGCTGTGAACAAAGTTGGCACGCTACCAAGTCGCCTCCCCCGCTTCTTCTCTCGACGTCGAGAGCGCTCGCGTCGCGCGCGTCGTCGTCGCGCGATGCATCGAACGGCTCGTCCACGCATCGCGCGCCGGCCGTTCACGACGACGCGTCGCTCGCCGCCGCGCCAGCCGCCGCCGCCGCCGCGTAGTAAAAATGAAAAATAGTCTCTCTTTAATCCTCGTCCGAGTCCTCGTCCGAGTCCGCGGCCGCGTACTGCGCCTGCGCGAACGACGTCGCCCTGCCGCGCCGGCTCGCGCGACCGCCCTCGATGATGTTCGACGTGTCGACCTCGTCCCCGGAGAGGTCCTCGACGACGTCGCTGTTCACGCTGTCCTCGTCGTCGCCGCCCTCGGCCTTCTTCTTCGGGTCGTTCCATACCAAGCGACGTCGGGGTGGAGTTGAAAGGCGTCAGAAGCGGAGTTGAAAGGCGTCGAGGGTGGGGATTGAAAGCGAGGGGTGGGCGGAGAGATGCGCCGGGAAAAGTCCTTAAGGATCGGCGTTCACCACGCCAACGCGGTCGTATGGGGACCAGTGTGTAGAACGCGCCTTCTTCTTCTTCTTCTTCTTCTCCACCTTGGCCTTCTTCGCGGCGGGCTCCTCCTCCTCCTCGTCGTCGCTCGTCTCCGCCTCGGAGTCGACGTCCTCTTCCTCGGAGTCGACGTCGTCGATGATGTCTTTCTCTGTTGGCGTTCACGGCGGGGGTGGGAGGGGAGAAGCGCGTCGGTCGGCGGAACGATTCGACGGACGACGACGACGACGACGTGTTTTTGGCGCGAGAGAGGAGGATCGATCGAATCGATTTGAAAAACGACGTCGGCGATCGGCGCGCGCGCGTCGCGGCGGCGGATCGAACGAGGAGGACGCGTCGCGGGGTGATCCGATCTGCGCGCGTACCGGTCATGGTCGCTGACGCGTGCGGTGGTGTCTGCGTGCCCCGTGCGGCGCGAAGTGACGACGAGACGACGCCTCCTCGATCGAGAAAACGTCGTGGCTGCCGAGAACGCGGCGCGGTCAGGTCGAAGAAACAGAAGTGCAGTGCCAGCCGCAATTCCTCGCTCGTCCGTCCACTCCCTCGCCGCGCACCGCTCGCACGGCCGTCGCGATGGGTCGCCCGGCCCCGCCCGTCTCGCTCATCGCGTCCATCCCCCCCATATGGATCACGATGGGGAAGATCTTCCTCACGCTGTTCGCCGTGCTCTTCGCGCTGTCCACGACGCTCACGCGCGCGGTGCGCATTAGCAAAGGCCGGGGCGAGGGCACGCTGCGGTTCGTGGAAGCGAAAGCGCGGTTCTTAGCGGACGCGAAAGAGAATCCGTCGAAGCACCACGCGGAGATATTCATCATCAAGTACAGCGCGGTGTGGATACTCTCCGTGGGCGTCGTCATCGCGTCGCGCGCGTACGAGTGGTGGGGGCGATGGGGGTACATCGTGTACTGCGGCGCCTGCGCGGCGCCGTACGTGGTAACGCCCCTTCTTCGGCCGTTAAAAGGCGACCGAACCCCCGCCGGGGCGTCCTCGATCGCGACCTGGTACATCCTCAAGGCGAACGCGTGGATCGCGGTGTTCTCGTTCATCGGGAACTACTGGTACACGCACTACTTTTACGGCGTCCTGAAGGCGAATTACACCTTCGACGCGCACCGACTCAACGACGTCCCGATAAGCATGTACCTCATGACGCACGCGTACTTCATGTTCTACCACGCGCTCACGAACTGCGCGCTTCGGTTCGTGAAGAGCAAGTACGAGGACGACGCCGCGCGGTGGGTGTTCACGTGCGCGCTCGTCGCCGTCATGGCGTACACGACCGCGTTCATGGAGTCGCTCACGATTTGCGGGTTTCCGTATTACACGTTCGCGGATCGCGATAAAGCGTACACGCTCGGGTCTGCGTTTTACGGTATTTATTTCCTCGTCTCGTTCCCGATGTTTTTACGCGTCGACGAGGACGTCGTCGGCGGGGGGAAGCGCGGCGGCGGGAAGGGGCGCACGACGCACTGGACGACCTTTTGGGAGGCGATGGGAAGCGGCATGGCGGTGCTGTGTCTCCTCGACTTCGTCCGCGTCCACCTCGGTCTGGACTTTTGCATGTACGCGAAGGGGCACTGACGGACGAGGGAGGGAGGCGCGAAATTAATAATACGGCACGTCGTGAGCGAGAGAGAGACGTCGACGCGACGCGCGGCGCGGGCGTGTGGTTGACGCTAAGCGTGCGTAATTGAATTATTACTTAGTGTGCCCGCGACTGGAGTCGTCGCCGTCGCTTTCTTCTATTTCTCCTCCCTCCTTCAGCGCGCGCTCCTCGCGCTCCTCCCCCCCGTGGACATGCGCTCGCTGAGCCGGCTCTTCGACCGCGTCGCCGGCGGTCGCCCCGCCACTTTCATCGCGAACGGCTCCAAGTGCGCGATCAAAGCCCCGACCGATCGAATCGAGAGCTCGAGCGCGTTCATGGCGTTCGCCTCCTCCCTTGCCTTGTCCGGCCGCTGCTGCTCGATGTACGTTAACCGTCGGTGCCGGTGCGTTCCCAAGGTGTTACTCATGATCTCCGAGATGCTGCGGATGCGGCACAGCGTCTTCCCCGCGCACGCGACGACGAGAGCCCTCGAGGAGTCGCGCGTGAGGTTGCACACCGTTCGCGTCGCCGCCGCGACGAGCGAAGGCCGGTCGCGGCACATCTGCATGTGTTCCGTGATGACCGTGATCGAATCTCGAGCCTCGAAAACCGCCCGCGCTGGGCCGTTTTCATCCGCGCTGAGGTTCTCGAGGAGATCGTACGCGCTCGAGAGCACGGACTCGTGGTTCGCGCCGCGATCGCACTGTCGAATCGTGCGGAACAACGCCTGAAGCGCTCTCGGCGACGACGCGACGTCGCGGCACACGGACGACCACCGCGTCGCGCGCGCGAGATCCGACAGCGCCTCCTTGACCTCTCTGAGCTTCTTCGGGGCGTGCAGCGTCGCGACCGCGGCGACTGTCTTCAAGCCGATGCGCAGGTGCGGATGTATCTTCGCGCGCGCGCGCGAGGCGATCACGCGCGACCGCAGCTCGGCCATCGCCGGCTGCGCGGCGTCCCGCGCGATTCTCGTCAGGAACCCGCGCGCGCGGCGAGTGATCACTTCCGCGGCGACGTTTCGCTTCACGAACCGTCGCACGAGCCACCCCCTCGTCGCGGCCTGAACGATCACCGCGGCGAGATCTTCGAGCTCGGCGAGCTGCGCGGCGTGGTACGCGCGTCGAGCCGCGGCGCCGCGCGCGTACTTTTGACACGTCACCGCGGCGGCGCGCGTCGCGAGAAACCGTCTTCGCTCCGCCGCCGCCCGCGCCCGGCGCTGGCACACCGCGGCGTAATACCGCAGAAACGCGTAGTCCATGTAGTGCATCCACGCGCGGAACTTCGTCTGGATCGTGATCGCGGCCGCGCGGTGTTCCGCCTCCTCCGCGGCGCGAAGGAAGGCGATCGCGTCGCGCGCGCGTTTCCCCCGCCACGCGGCTTGCACCGCCGTCGCCGCCGCCGTCGCCGCGCGCTCGTGTCGCAGTTTTCGCGCGAGATGACGCGCGATGACGCCGCGCCGGTAAGCCTGGAACGTCACCACGGCGCATAACACGTCGAGGTAGTCCTCCCTGGCGATCCACCCGCGGACGTGCCTCTGAATACACCGCGCGGCGTCCTCGGCTTTGTTCGCCGCCGCCGACGCTTTGAACGCTCTCCTCGCGAGAAACGTTCGCGTCCAAGACTGAATCACCGTCGCGCTGTACACCGCCTCCGCGTAGTCCAACCGCGCGATGAGCCTTCGGACGTGCTTCTGTATCACCACCGCGGCGTGATGCTCCCGCCGGCGCATCGCGTCGAGGAGCGACGCGTACGCGACGCGGTCGCGGCAACCGCGCCACGACGCTTGAATCGTAGCGGCGGCGTACCACGCGTCGGCGTAATCCGCGCGCGCTTGCCACCCGCGGAAGTGCGCTTGGATCGTCGTTGCGGCGTCTACCGCGCGCGTTCGCGCGTCTCGAGCGATCTTGCCGCGGCGGAAGCGCTGCGTCGTGATCGCCGCGCGTTTCAGAGCGAGGTACGCGCGGCGCTGGCGCCCGCCGCGGCAGTACGCTTGGCACATGATCGTCACGCACTTCACGTCGAGCCAGTTCTCGAACGCCCAGTACCCGCGGAAATGTTTTTGGATGCGAATCGCCGCGTCATGACGTTTCAGGTCCTCCGCGTCTTGAATCGCCTTCCTGCGTCGGTTCGCCTCGCACTTCGCGAGGAACATCCGCGCGTTCTTCTGAAGCGAAATCGTCGCCGCGAGTCGCGACTTGTACTTGCCCCAGACGCGGCGCCAAAACGTCCCTCGCGTCCACGCCTGGATCGTAACCGCCGCTCTGCGTGCGTTAATAAACGCCCGACGACCGCTCCACGCCCGCACGTTCGCCTGAATGACCGTCGCCGCCGCGGACTCCCACTTCCACTCGAGGAAAAACGACCTCCGCTGCGAACGTTTCCAGTGCGCTTGAATCGTCACCGTCGCGCGCTTCACCGCGGCGAATCGCCGCCGCGCCACCGCGCCCCTGCGCGCCGTCTGCGCCGCGATCGTCGCCCACAGGACGTCGTCGTTCCGCAACCGAAGCAGCCACCCCCGCGCGATCTTCTGAATCATCACCGCGGCTTGAATCTTATGCCGTTTCCACAGCCGCGCGTCTCGCCCGCGCCACGCCGCTTGCGTCGCGACGACGGCTCGCGACCGCGCCTTCGCTTCCTTCCTCCCGGCGAACCCGCGCCACCGCTTCGCGACGACCATCTGCGCGGCGACCCAGCGGTGCAACGTCCCCGGCGCCCAGTGCGTCCACCGCCACGCGCGCTGCACCTTCCTCGCGGCCGCGCCCTCGGTCCTGTGCCCGAGCAAACGCGCGCAGAGGAAGAGGAGGTAGCCGGCGACGACTTTGCCGTCGGGGCCGCCGCCGCCGCCGCGCGCGACATCCGCGGGGCCGAACGTCGGCTCCGGGACGTCCCCGAGCGCGGCGCACAGCCCCCTGACGATGTCGAAGTTATGCTCGCACGCCGCGGTCGCGACGATCGCGTCTCGGGTCACCCCTCGCGCGGGGTTATCGGGGCGCGCGCTCGCCCACGCCGTCGGCGCGGCGCTCGGGTCGAATCCCGCCGGCGGGTTCTTGACCAGACCCAGCGGCAAAAGCTCCGGGGCGTACGCGTGCACGAGCGCGCACAGCGCGCGGCCGTCCGCGAACGACGTCGTCGCGTCCGTTATCGCGACGCCGTAGTTGGCGCACACCGCCCTCGCCCAGCGAAGGAGCATCGTCTCGTGCCCGGCGGAGAGCGACGCGGTCTCGACGCCGACGCGCGCGTCTGCGAGTTCCTCTTCAAACACCGCCCGCGTTCGCCGTTCTTCCTCCTCCGGGGAGACGTCTTCTTCGTTCGCGGCGTCATCGTAGCGGGACGACGCCGCGGGCGCGAGGGTGTCTCTGTGGAACCCGCGGTGTTCTTTCCCCGCCATGATCTGCGCGCGGCGTCTCTCTTTCCACTCTGCGATTTCATTCTCGAGGACGCTCCCCGGAAGCATCCCCGGGGCTTGGAAATGCATCATTAGCCCGTACAGCAACCCGAGCGTGTTCGCGAGGTGCCCGTCGACGATATCCTCCGGATTCGTGTCGAGCGCGACCCCGCACGACGCCGCGGTGTCCAGCGCGGCGCGGACGTTGTGCGCCTTCGCCGCGCGCGACTCCGCGGGAAATTTCACCCGTCGCATCACGCCGTCGTCCCCGCGTCGCTCGCTCATATTCTCCACGAGCCGGCACAACCGAACGCCGTCGCGCAAATCCACCGCGAGGCGCGTGGTCTTGAAGTCGTACTCGCGTATCGGCTCCTGGGCGTGGTGTAAGACGTACCCGAGGTGTTTCAAGTGCCGCAGCACGTCGCCTTCGCCGTGGCAGCTCGCCTGCAGCGCCGCGCGCGCGACTGCGGCGGACGACTTTATCGGCGCGCGCGATCGGAACAACAGAGGCGTGCTCGGGTCGAGACCCGCCTGCGCGCGGTCGAGCAGGAACGTCAAAAGGAGCGTCCGCTTCAACACCGTGGACGCGAGGATCTCGTGGTAGCCCTCCGCGAACGGCGGCGCGCCGACGCCGCCGACGCCGAACTCCATCTCGAGCTCGCGGTCTCGAAGCAACGCGTCGACGAGCGCGGCGCGCTCCGTTCTCCGCCGCCCGAACGCGTCGACGCGCTCGTCCTCGCGCTCGCCGTGCCCGAGATCGAGATCTCCGGGGTTGCCCAGGATCGTGTCCACGACCGCGCGCAGCCAAAACAGCGAGTAACACCCGAGCGCGTCTTTAAACTCGCGCCTCAGTCGGACGTCCTCCATGAACGACCCGCCATCCTTCCCCGCGCCGTTGGCGAGCGCGACGGCTTCCTCTCGCGCGCTCCCGACCGTCCCGCGCAAACGGAGCTTTCCGTCGTCCACGTGCGCTTCCGCGCGGAGGATCACGTCCTGGACTTCCGCGTCTTCGGAGTAGAGCCGCCACAGCCGCGCGCGCGCGGCGGCGTCGAGTCTTCGCGCCTTGGCCGCGCGCGAGGAGCCCCCTTCCTCCCGAGCCGCCTCGTCGTCGTCGTCGTCCCCCGCGGCGGGCGCGATGGCGCGGTTGAGCCAGTCCGTGAACGCGCGCTCTTGCTGTCGCACCCAGAACTGGCTGTGAAACGCCTCGAAGTTTGGCCGCGGAACGCGCGCGTCGGCGGCCGCGTCGGCGGCGGCGTCGGTTTTCAGCCTCCGCGCGCGCGACGACGACGACGGTTTCGGAGATTTCCCCGCGCGGTGCCGCGGCGGTTTCCTCAGCGACAGCGCCTTGCTCACCGCGGGGACGCCGAACGGCTTCACTCTCTTCCTCGCGGTAGCGTTCACGCCACCCGCGTCGTCGCCGTCGCCGTCGCCGTCGCCGTCGCCGTCCCACGCCGAAGCGAACGCGACGTTCCCGATCCAAGTGCACGACGCGTCGCCGACGCTGTCGCGCTCGGCCCGCGCGCGTTTCCCCCCAGACGCGCGTTTCCCCGCGGACGACGTCGAGACGTCGCTTCCGCGCCGCGACCGCGCTCTTCCCCCGACCCGAACGAGGCTGGCGCTGTTCCCATTCAGCGTCCCTAGGACGCCGCCGCCGCCGCCGCTCGCGCTCGACCGCCGCGGGTTGTACGTATACGAGTACTTCCCGGCCGTCGTCGTCGTCTCGCGCTCTCCTCCTCCTCCTCCTCCTCTCGCGACGGCGCCGCCGCGCAGTCGAATCTTCGCCGCCGCCGCGGTCCCTCCCGCGCCGCCGTCGAAGACGACCTTCACGATGCCGCAGTACGCGCTGGCGGTCGCCCTCGGCGGGCACCACGACACGCGCACGAGCTCGCTCCCGCCGGCGGGCACGGAGACGCGGTCGGGGTCGATCAAGAATCCTTCGTCTCGCGGGATCCCGACGAACGACGCGTCCGCGCGCGACGGCGTGTCGTTCGATATCCTCAGCGGCAGCGTCTTGACCCTGCCGACCGCGGCGTCGTCGAACCGCAGCAACGGGACGTCGTCCGGGCGTCCCAGGCGCAGAAGCGTTGGCGCGACGTCGCGTCCGAGCGCCGGTCGCGTCGCGCGCGACGTCGAGACGAACGCGGACGACGACGACGACGACGACGACGCGGACGACGCCTTCGACGGCGGGCGGTAGACGCCCGCGCGCGCCGCGTTCTCCTTGTCGTCCATGCCGTACGACGTGCTCGGGATCATCGCGCGCGGTGCGCGTCGCCGCCGCGGTCCGCCCTCCGTCGACGCGTCGCTCGTCGCGCGACCGGCGGCTGAATCTTCAGCTGTCGCGGTCTCTGTCGTATTTCGCGAACGCCGACCGACGACGCGCGTTCGCGTCCCGACGCGCGTCTCCCCGCGCGCGCCGGCGTTCGCTATCCTCCCCGACCGCTTCGCGAGCGTCGATGCGGTCGATGCGTCGACCGCGCGGCGTGCGAGGACCGCGCGAGACTTCGCGTCGCGCCCCGCGCCGTGCCCGTCTTTGTGTCGCGAGATTGGGGGGAACGTCACGGGACGGACCGGCACGCAGAGAAGCACCGGTCGGTCGGCAACACGTCCGCTCTCCACGAGAAAACGACGACCGCCTCCGACCGAGCGGCAGACCGCGGCGCGCGCTCGCTCGCGCGCGCGATGGAGGAGGACAAGAGCGCCGACGCGGCGGCCCCGGCGGCGATGCCGAAGGCGTCCACGCAACCCAGAGGCGGTCCGCGGGTGCGATATCCCGCGCATCGCGTCCGCGTCGCCGTCCATCGCGCGGCGTCGCCCCTCGCCCCATCCGTCCGTCGTCGCGTCGTCGAACGCGCGAACCAGCCGCACGTTACCCCTGCCCCTCTCCTCATGAGAGGCGTCGCAGTAAAACATCACGCGGAGAGTACCATGGGGGATATATCTTTCTTGCCCGGCTTCGCTCTCACCGCCGGGCTCGACAAAGCACCTCCGACATACGTTCCGATCCGACGCGTCGTCCGAGAAGGAATCGATCGACCTCTCGTCGCGCTGCGTGCTTGTTGTTCTTCTTCTTCTTCTTCTCACATTCGCTCGCGCGCGCCGTCCGTTCGTCCCTTCCTCCGTCCATCGCAGGGCTCGCGCCCGACCGCGCGAGGGAAGCGCCGCTCGCGCCGCGGCGAGGACAAGATGGCGTTCCTGACGCGAAAGGTCGACAGGTGGATCGACGATCACCCGAAGCTCTACGCGCTCGGCACTTTGGCGACGTTGGCGCTCGTCGCGCGCGTCTTTTGGGCGGTCGCCGGGGACGCGGTCGCCGCGCGGTACGCCGCGTGGCTCGGCCCCGCGGTCGACCCGTGGCTGCGTCGGCGGGTGTGGCCGCACTTTAAAGCGCTCGGGATGCTCGCGAGGGAGGAGGCGCCGTGGATGGAGAAGGCGGCGAAGGCGTTCACGCCCAAGGAGCTGTGACGACGCGCGGACGCGAGAGTCTTGTAGACGACGGACAGACAGATCTCGCCAGACGCGTCGACCTCGATTCGATCTCGATTCGATTCGATTCCGTGCGCGATGGATATTCATTCTACTCGCGGCGGGCGTCGTTCTTCCTCGTCGTACCCTCCTTAAAACCCTCCCTGCGAGTCCGGCGCGGGCGCGTTCGCCATCACCTTCGGCGCCTCCCCCGCCCCCCCCGCGTTCCCGACGCCGGCGCCCTTCATCGCGGCGGACACCGCCTGCCCCGGCTCGTCGTACGCTTGGAAGTCCACGCCCACGGCGCCGTCGTTGTACGTGTTCGCCGCGACAACGCCCGCGCCGACGGCGAAGACGACGACGAAGAAGAGCCCCCAGTTCTTGACGACGTCGCCGAGTTTTTCGAAGACGTCGCCGTCCCACGGGTCCTTCTCCAGCATCACCTCCGGAAGCCTCGCGAGCTGCTCCTCGCTCAGCGGCGTCGGCGCGTCCGGGTCCGGGGCTGGGATCTTGACCTTCTTCGCGCGCGCGATCGCGGAGACGCCGCGCGGTCGGGGCCGGGGCATGGCGGCGGCGGCGCGGGAGGGGCGGCGCGAGAGCGACGCGCGCGGCGCCGTCGCCGCCGCCGTCGCGAGCGTCGACGTCGTCGTCATCTTATTACACTATTCGGAAGAGCGTCGCGTGTTTTTATCGCGGCGTCGCGACGACCGAGAAGATCGGTCGACCTCGCGCCGTCGTCGCTCGAGCGTCCCCCTCTCGAGCGTCCGCGCGCGACGGACTCGCGCGATGCCGCGTGGACGAGGCTCGCCGCGCGCGCGCCAAAAAAATTGAGAGAGCCTCCGCGCGGACGCGCGCGCGTCGCGTCGTCGAGTTCGCCGAAAAGGAGGAATCGAACCTCTGGGACGCTAATCCCCTACAGGTTTGAAGCCTGCACCCAAGGCCACTCAAGGTCATTCCGGCGATCTCATTGGGCGCTCGTGAGGTTTATATCCTGCCTTTTGCGGTGAAACTTCGACTTATGGGTGTAAAGTCTCGATCGCCCGGGTGAAAATACACGTCGTGTACCCCCGAAAAAAATTAGGTCTCGCTCGCGTCCGCGGAGCGTCGCTGCGAGCGAGCTGTGTGCGCGCGCGATCGTCGCAATTGAAAGCAAAAGCGGCGGCGCGGGAAGGGACGCCGGACGCGCATCACGCACGATGCTGCGCGTCGCAGAGATGTTCCGCACCGCGCGGATAGCATCGCGCGCGTGGAACGCGCCGTGCGCGCGCGGGATGTGCGCTGGTCCGTCCGTCGGCGAGCGCGACGGTCGCGACGGCGATGACGCGTCGCCGTCCAGTCGCGACGAAGAACCCAGCGAGACGCGGCGCGATCCGCCCGCGGGTGCGCCTCGCGTCCTCCTCGATTTCCTCGTCCGCGACCGCGATGCCCTCCCTCGTTCGCCGTTCTCATCGTCCCCTCCCTTCGCGTCGCCCCCGCGCGATCCAGGCGCGAGCGAGACCGAGGCGTCCGCGTCGACGGACGACGGCGCGAAGCTCGGTCCGGACGGCAAGCCGTGGGTGCCCCCCGAGGAGATCGCGTCCGTCGCGTTCGGTTCGCCCGTGCGTTACCCGCTCACGCGCGGGGATAAGTCGCGAGGGTACCCGAAGATGAACGTCGCGGAGATGTGCGCGGAGATCCGGGGGCGGATATCGGCGAAGCAGATGCCCGGCGAGCGGCACCTGCAGCAGCTCGTGGACAAGGTGACGACCAAGGAAGAAGCCTCCGCGGCGGCGGAGACGATAGCGCAGTTTCATCACGCGCGCGTGCGGGATCCAAAGTTTGGCGCGAAGAGCCGGCTGTCCGGACAGTCCATGAACATGTTCGTGAGCGCGTGCGAGCGCTCGGGGAACGTGACCGCCGCGGTGGAGGCGTTAGAGATGCACAACGCGCTCGGGTTTAGGCTCACGAAAACCGTCTGCGTCAAGGTTTTGCGCTTCGTCGAATCCGCCGAGGGGGAGCTCGCGCTGACCATGCGCGTGTATCGCACGATGCGAGAGGGTAAGATCGGCCTCGGCACGGACGGCGTGATCGTGAACTTGATCGTGCGCGCCGCGGTCAGGGCGAAAGCGTTCGAGGTGGCGAGGGACTGGCTGAAAAAGTTTGCCGACGCCGCCGTCCCCGTTCACTTGAAAAACTACGTCGCGGTGATGCAGCCGGCGATAGATCTCGGGCTGGCGACGTTCGTGATCGACATGCACGACACCATGACGTGCAAGCCGCCGAACAACGCGTTCTCGCTCTTGTCCAAGGCGATGGCGCATCTGTATCTGGACGAGCCCGACGCCGCGGCGAGAGCGTTCGAAGCCGCCGTCGAGGGCGCGATCGCGATGGAGCGGAGGGAGACGGAACGCGCGGGCGGAGGCGGCGGCGGCGACGACGCGACCGACGACGTCGACCCGCACAGAGCCGGGCACGTCCCCGTCAGAACCAGCTTCGCGAGGATTCTCGAGGCGTGGCCCAGGGCGCTGTACGGAGGCGCGGACGTCCCCGAGGACGCGCCGAGCTCGAGCGAGCTGAGACGACGCGTCGAGGCCATGCTGCGGGGCGCCGCGGGGGGCGACGACCGCGACGGCTTCTTCGCGGACGTCGACGCGATGTTCGAGGGCGTGTCGCACGGGGGGCGCGAAGACGGGGAGGAGGAGACGGAGGAGGAGGGCGGGGGCGAAGGGGGTGGGGGAGGAGGCGAAGACGGCGCGTCGGAAGACGCGCCAAAAGCGAGTCCTTGACGACGCACGCGCGGCGTTAGCGTTATTCATTCATCATTCCGCGTTGCCTCAGCTCCTCCGAACATGTTCGCGGTGCTGTTCACCGCGTTCGCGTCCCTCCCCATCTTCTCCAGCTTCTCGCTCGTGGTGAAACCGTTCAGACCCGCGATCGCGGCGCCGATGATGTCGCTCGTGCACGCCTCCTCCACCTTGCACGTCGGCGGCGTCGGGACGTCTTGCGAGTTTCGCAGGATGAAGTTTTCGGACTGCGCGCGCGCGTACTCGCGTCGATCGCCGTCGCAGTCCATCATCCCGCCCTCGCACTTCATGCGCATCGCGTCGTCGCGGGAGTCCATGTACTGCTTCACCGACGGGTCCGCGATGACGAGGTCGATCGCGGACGCGGTTTGGGGCCCCAGGGTCAGGGTCAGCGCGGCGAGGGACGCGGCGACGCGGCCTCGCCATGGCGGACGCGCGTCGGATTTTGACGCCTCGGACGCCTGGTGGGACGCTTCGGACCGCGCGACGGCGACGGCGCGCGCGGTGGCGCGGGAACGTCTGCGCGCGACGCGATTCGAGGGAGGCGCGCGCGATGCGCTGAGTGTCGTCGCGCGGACGTGATGAACGAGCGTCGGCATCGCGCGTGGGGACGTGCGCCGCGCGATGGGATACGCGCGCGCCGAGCGTATCTTTTCGAGCTGTCGCTGTCGTCGAACGTCCTCCGTCCGAGGAGAAAACGCTTCAGATTCATTCGCCCTCGTCACTCTCGGACGCACCATGGACGGCCACGGCGCCGTCGCCGCCGCGAGCGCGGAAGGCCGCGGAGGCCGCGGCGCGACGCACTTCCGATGCCAAGGCTGCATGGCGACGCTCGACGTCTCCGGCGCGTCCGACGTCGAGAACGACGACCCGGGCGCGTCGACGGGGGATCTGACGACGACGACGACGACGACGAAGGGCGAGGGCGCCGCGTCCGACGCCGCGTCCACTCGGCGCGTGGACGAGTCGTTCGTCGTCCTCGCAGAGGACCGCGACCGCGCGCGCGGCGCCGCCGCCGCGGACGCGATGACGTCGTCGTCGTCGTCGTCGTCGTCGTCGTCGCACCCCGCGGCCGCCCCGCCGGCGTCGATGGCGGAGTCCTTCGTCGTCCTCGCCGAGCACGCGCGTCGCTCGACCGGGGACGCGGACCGCGCCGGCCTCAACGCGCGGTTCGCCGCCATGTCGAAGATCTCCGACATGGCGTCCGACCCATCGCGCGCGCGCGTCCCGATCTGCGTCGAGTGCGCGGCGAGGACGCGCGAGGAGATGGACGCGCGCGCGCGAGCGCTGGAGGAAGAGTGCGACGCGTACGAGCGATGTTTAAAAGAACTCGACGCCGCCGACGCCGCCGCGACGTGGCGGCCCGACGACGTCGCCGCCGCAAACGGCGTCGGCAACGCGTCCGCGACGTCCGCGACGACGACGACGGCGGCGTCCGAGGAGGACGTGGAGAAGGAAGCCGCGCGGCTCGAGGCGGAGGCGCGCGACGCGATCGCGGCGGCGGCGGCGGCGCGAGACGAGCTCGCGCGCCTCCGCGCGACGCGAGACGCCTTGACGCGCGAACACGCGGCGTTGGACGACGAAGAGCGCGCGTACTGGCACGAGCACAACGCGTTCAAGCGCGAGCTCGCCGCGCACGTGAACGCGAGAGACGCGCTGACGGTGAACATCGAGCAGACGACGCGACAGCTGGCGCGGTTGCGTCGCGTCAACGTGTTAAACGACGCGTTTCGGGTCTGGCACGACGGTCCTTTCGGCACCGTGAACGGGTTCAGACTCGGTAAGCTGCCGAGCATACCCGTGGAGTGGGACGAGATAAACGCGGGGTTCGGGATGGCGTGCTCGCTTCTGCACACGATCGCGCGGCTGCGAAGGGTGAAGTTCACGGCGTACACGTTGCGACCCGTCGGCTCGTTTTCGAAAGTCGAAGACGCGAAGGGGCACGCGTACGAGCTGTACGGTCCGGTGAACATTCTCTCCTCGCACCGGTACGACAAGGCCATGGTCGGGTTCATAACGTGCCTGAAAGAGTTCGCGGCGCACTGCGCGGAGTGCGACGTGAGGAACGGCGTGACGCCGCCGTTCGAGCTGCCCTACACCATAGGCGCGTCGTATTCCTCCTCACGCCGGTCCCCGTGCGACCGCGTTCGCGCGACGCACGCACGCCGATCCTTGAGGACTTACTTTTCCACCCGGGCGGCGCATCTCTCCGCCCAGGGTCCCTCGCTTTCAATCCCCGCCCTCGACACACCTCGACGCCTTTCAACTCCTCCACCTGACGCCTTTCAACTCCACCCCGCGCGCCGCAGACGGAGACAAGGTGCACGGGATGAAGATCGGGTTCCCGTTCAACAGGTACGAGCGGTGGACGATGGCGCTGAAGCTGATGCTGACGGACCTCAAGACGTGCCTCGCGTGGGTCGTGAATTCGGAGGACGGCGGCGGCGGCGGCGGCGGCGGGCGGCGCGAGAGGGGCGGGGAGGAGGGGGGTAGAGCGTAGCGAGCGACGGACGGCGATTGTGAAACGGGTACTGTAGTTACGTGAGGTTATGGGTCCACAGACACTTTCGGGTAAAAAAATTCAAACGCCACGACGGCACGACAGAACGCATCGCGCGTCGCGAGGAGGAGGCGCAGAGCGACACGCGCGCGCGCGGAGGAGGACGCCGGTCATGTTAGTCGATAGGGATAAGTTCCGGTTCGCGTACGAGGAACTCAAGGCGGATGGACGCGCGTGCCCCGTGCACGTCTACGTCTCCACCGCGGACGTCGACTCGTGCTGCGCGTTCAGAATCTTGAAGACGATGATGGCGTCCGACGGGATTCCGTTCGCGGCGTACCCGGTGAGCGGGTACCAGGAGCTTCAGAACCTCGGGGAGAAGCTCCCGAAGGACGGGCAGAACCGAAGCATCGTGCTCATCAACTGCGGCGGGACGGAGAACGTCCGCGAGCTCCTCGGTGCGTCCTCGTCCTCGCGCGGCGGTCGCCCTCCCCTCGACGGATCTCGCGAACGAACGAACGCGCGTCTCGATTCAAAAAACCAAACCGCTTTCTCGCCGCCGCTGACGCGCCGTTCTCTCACTCGCGCTTCTCGACTTCCCGTCCGTCCATCAGGCCTCCCCGAGGGCACGCGCGTGTTCGTGTTCGACTCGCACCGCCCGCTGGACCTCGAAAACACGCGCGGGGACAACAGGGACGTCCTCGTGCTGCGAGACGAACGCGAGGGCGAGGAGACCTTCCCGGAGCCAGACTCGGATTACGGCGACAGCTCGGACGGCTCCGACAGCGATGAGAGCGACTCCGAGGACGACGATTCCGACTCCGAGGACGACGACGAGGAGGAGGATGCGGACGAAGAGAACGAGTCCGGGGACGAGAACGCGGGCGCGGGGAGGGAGAACGAGCGCGCCGGAGCCGCCGCCGCGGCGGGGAAGGAAGACGAACGTCGCGAGGGAAAAAAGTCATCAAAGTCGGCGAAACGCAAGAGGAGAGAGGACGCGCGCGCGGCTCGACGCGCCGGGCGCGCGTCCCCGCGAACGCGCCGCCTTCGACGACAACAGAAGCAGCTCGAGAGGGTCGCGTACTACTCCCGCGGGTCGTTTTACGGCCGCGCCGCGGGGCTCTTGATGTACGACATCGCGCACGACACGCACAAGGACGCGTTGGATAAGCACTTCCCGCTGTGGCTCGCGATCGTATCGCTCACGGATCAGTACGTGCATCAACGGCTATCGCACGAGAGTTACACCGCCGGCGTCATGGAGCTCGCGACGCAGGTGAGCAACCTCCCGAACGCGGACGCGCCGACGAGCCGCGTCCTCGATGAGGGCGTCGTCGTCCGCGCGTTTGAAGACCGCCGCGTGCAGTACAGCGAGGAGTTCAGGCGCGTTCTATACACTGGTTCCCATACGACCGCGTTGGCGTGGTGAACGCCGATCCTTAAGGACTCTGTCCCGCGCGTCTCTCCGCCCACCCCCCGCTTTCAATCCCCGCCATCGACGCCTTTCAACTATTACTGACGCCTTTCAACTCCACCCCGACGTTCGTTCGTATGGAACGCCCCTCAGATTCACGATGCTGCGGCACTGGTCGCTGTACGAGGCGATGATGCACTCGTCGTACGTCTCCACGCGCATGCAGCTGTGGCGGGAGATTGGCCGCAAGGGTCTGGACTCTCTGTTCGTCCACGCCGGGCTGCCGTTGGACGTGTGCAAGCAGCAGTACAAACACATGGCGCCGCAGCACGTTAAACGTCTCAACGAAAAGCTCGAAGAACACGCGAGGGATCACGGGCTGACGGACTTGAAGTACTGGTCGTTCTCGTTCTCGCACGGGTTCAAGGTGAACATCACCGCGAGCGACGTCGTGTTCGCGGTGACGTCTCTTCTCGAAGGTCTGCCGAGCGCCACCGGCGCGGACGACGACGCGGAGGGCGACGACGGCGTCGGCGGCGGCGGCGGCGGCGCCGCGTTTTGGCGCGCCACGCGCGCGCTCGGGATGTCGCAGTGGGACGAGATGTCCGCGGGGTTGAACCGCGCGATGCAGACGCAGCGAGCGCTGATGCGACAGGGCGGCCTCGCGATGGCGAACAAGGCGGCGATTCGAACCGTGGGCGGGATCCGGTACTTCTCGCTGCTCGACCACGGATCCCCCGCGGACGTCGTGTTTTTCAGACACCCGCTGTCGCTCCTGCGACTGGCGCTGTACCTCCAGGACGCGCTGCGGCTCGTGAAGAAGATCGAGCGGCCGCTCGTGCTGTCTGGTCCGTCCCCGGACGGAGACAAAGGCCTCGCGCTCGTCGTCGGCGTGACGGGGAAGCCGACGACGGACGACGTCGGCGGAGGGAATCACTTCGCGCACTCTTTCCGGAGGGCGGCGGAGCACGTGCGCGCGCGGTTCAAGCACGATTCGTTCGAGGCGAGCGTGCTTCAGGTGGCGGAGAAGGACCTCGGGGAGTTCATGGAGGCGTTGTCGGACATCGACGCGGAGAGGGTCGCGCGGGAGCGGATGCAAGCGACGCAGTGATGATTGATGACGAGCGAGCGCGTAGCGCATCCGTCGCGTGCAGTGTTGTATGACGACGAGACCAATCAAGTTCTGTTCGTACGCGCGAACGCCTCCTGACTGCGTGTCGTGCGAATTCGAGCGGACTTTCGTACTACGCCGGTTTCCGACCCTAACCCTTGACTGGACACGCTTTATCCATCCGTATCGCCATCGTTCGTCCGCGCGCGCTGTCGCGTCCACGGCGATGAGTCACGTCTCCCGATGCGCGGCGGGACCGTCCACCGCGTGCGCGTCCTCGCGATGCGCGTCGAGAAACGAGACGAACGACGCGCGCGTCGCGGCGCCGCGCGCCGCGACCGCGCGCGGGGCGGCGTCGAAATCGTCGCCGTCGTCCGCGCGTCTCGATCCCCGCCCGCGATTGCGGGACGACGGCCCGCCGCGTCGTCGTCGCGGACGCGCGCTCGTCGCGCGATCCGCGGCGTCGTCTGACGCTCCAAAACAAGCGGCGAACGACACGTACGAGCGCTTCATGAAGGGCATCTCCGACGACGAGCGCCTGAGCGTGAAGGAGAGCTGGGACAAGATCGTCCGGTGGGCGACGCGAAGACGCGCGTACCTGTCCACGAAAGAGGACGTCCTCGCGAGCACGAAAAAGGTGGCCATCATGGGCGGCGGCTCGTTCGGGACCGCGATGGGGACGCTCCTCGCGCGGAACAAGCGAGACCTGGACGTCGTCATCCTCGTGCGGTCGGACGCGGACGCCAGATCCATCAACGAGACGCATCGAAACGCGAAGTACCTCCCGCAGTACGAGCTTCCTCCGTCCGTGCGCGCGACGACGGACCCCGCGGAGGCGCTGTCCGGGTGCGACTTCATCGTCCACGCGGTCCCGGTGCAGTCATCGAAAGCCTTCTTGAGAGGCGTCAAGGACCACGTCGACCCGAAGACGCCGCTGCTGTGCCTCGCGAAGGGATTAGGCGCGTCCTATCATCTCACACTGGTCCCCGTACGACCGCGTTCGCGCGGTGAACGCCGTTTCTTAAGAACTTTCGTTCCCAGCGCGCGTGTCTCTCCGCCCACCCCTCGCCGCTTTCGATCACGAAACCCCTCGACGCCTCCCATAAACTCAATCCTCCGCCCGACGCCTTTGAACGCCGCTCCCCGCAGAGACGGGCACGTGCGAGATGATGACGGAGGTGATCCCCGCAGGGCTCGGCCGCGACCAGCCGCTCGCGGTGCTGTCCGGCCCCACGTTCGCGGTCGAGCTCATGCAGGGCCTGCCCACCGCGATCGTCGCGGCGTCGACGGATAAGAACCTCGCCGGGCGCGTCCAGCGGCTGTTCGCGTCGACGCACTTGCGGGTGAACACGTCCAACGACGTCGTCGGCGTGGAGCTCTCTGGCGCGCTGAAGAACGTGCTCGCGATCGCGGCGGGGATGATCGAGGGGTTGGAGCTCGGGAACAACGCGCTCGCGGCGGTCGTCGCGCAAGGGTGCGCGGAGATCCGGTGGCTCGCGACGAAGATGGGCGCGAAGCCGGAGACGCTGAGCGGGTTATCCGGCACCGGGGACATCATGCTGACGTGCTTCGTCCCGCTCAGGCGCGTTCTTATTATTTCCACGCCGGTCCCCGTACGACCGCGTTCGCGTTGTGAACGCCGATCCTTAAGGAGTTGAGTTTTCCACCCGGTGGCGTATCTCTCCGTCCGCCCACACCACGGTTTCAATCCAGACACACCGGCCTCGACGTCTTTCGACTCCTCCACCTGACGCCTCACTTTCAACTCCGCCCCGATATCGTCGCTTCGCGCGTCGGAACGACCCGCAGTCGCAACCGAACCGTCGGCGTACGGTTGGGGAAGGGCGAGACCTTGGAGGAGATCTTAGGGAGCATGACGCAGGTCGCGGAGGGCGTCGCGACCGCTCCGGCGGTGATGAAGCTCGCGAGGAAGTATAAGGTGTCCTTGCCGGTGCTCACCGCGGTGGCGAGGATACTCGAGGACGGGTTGGACCCACGAGTCGCGGTGGAGGAGGTGATGAACTTGCCGCAGGTGCCCGAGGCGTGATCGATCGATCGGATCGGATCGGATCGGATCGTCCGCGGAGCGGCGATCGCGGCGAGAGCTGAGGAGAAGAGTTAGGCGTTCGCGTTCGTTTTGGCGTTTGATGCGATGCGTAGGTCGTCTCGAAAGCGCGGCGTGCGGCTCGTCCGTCAGAACTGACGCGACGCTTTTTTTTATCCCTTTGACCCGAGCATTTTCGTGTAGTAAACTACACACCGCCGATAAAATAATCCCGTATGAGCATTTAGTCAGAATTGGCCGGAAATATGTGTAGTTAACTACACACCGGGTCTAAAGGGATACTCTGAAGTCCGCGGGCCCGCACCGTGCGCTTTTTGCGTCAGCATCGAGTCGACGCGAAACAGACCGTCGTTAGACCGTCGATTTTAAAACGCGGTTGAAAAGAAGCCCGCCGGAATACCTCCTTCTTGAAAGTTAACCTCGTCGACGCGCGCCCATTCGGTCGCGCGCGCGCACGCACGCACGATCCCGATCGCTCCGTCCCCGCGCGCACGCGTCCCGTTCGCTCGTTGAAAGGGCATCCACCCCGCCTCGTTCGGATCGCGCGTAGGACGCCGACAGCCTTCGCGCTCTCACGCGCTCGCGAGGTTATCCGATCCTTCGCGCCTCGCTCAAACGTTCGATGCGTCGCGCGCACGTCGCCCCGGCGGGCGCGTCGATCGCGTCGCTCGGCGCGATCGCGGCGAGGGGCCGTCCCTCGACGAACTCCTCCCACCGCGCGCGCGTTGCCGCGCTCCCGCGCCAGTTCGGCGCGCTCGCGGGCGCGATGCGCGCGTCGAAGAAGGGAAACTCCACGAATAAGAACAGCCCGCTGTCGCGCGAATCTCATCGAACCTCGAAACGATCCGGGTGCGCGGTCGCCGCCGCGGCGTACACCGAAGACGGCATGGGCTGCGCGGGCGTGGACGACAAGCTCTACGAGCACGAGGGGCACCTGAAGTACCGCTGGCAAAAGTTCGTGGAGACGAAGGAGGCGATCGTGAGCGCGGAGGGCTCCCTCGAGGACTTCTCCAAGGGCCACAAAAAGTTTGGCTTCAACCGCAACTCGAACGGCGAGATCGTCTACCGCGAGTGGGCCCCCGCGGCCGCGGAGGCGTGGCTCATCGGCGACTTCAACGGCTGGAGCGGCGACGCGACCCCGCTGACGAAGGACGACTTCGGCGTGTGGACCACGACGCTCCCTCCCGACGGCATCCAACACGGCTCGCGCGTGAAGATCCGCATGCGCACCGGCGACGGAGGCTTCACCGACCGCATCCCGGCGTGGATCAAGTACAGCACGGCCGAGGCGGGCGTCATGGGCGCCAACTACGACGGCATCTTCTGGGACCCGCCGCCGGGGCAGGAGTACGTGCGGAAGAACCCGCGCCCGCCGCGGCCGGCGGCGAGCCGCATCTACGAGGCGCACGTGGGCATGTCAGGCGCGTCCCATACACTGGTTCCCATACGACCGCGTCGGCGTGGTGAACGCCGATCCTTAAGGACTTTCCCCGGCGTGTCTCTCCGCCCAGGGTCCCTCGCTTTCAATCCCCACCCTCGGCGCCTTTCAACTCCAACTGACGCCTTTCAACTCCAACTGACGCCTTTCAACTCCAACTGACGCCTTTCAACTCCACCCCGACTTCGGTTTGTATGGAACGACCCTCAGGGCAAGAGGCCAAGGTGAACACGTACCGGGATTTCGCGGACGAGATCCTCCCGCGGATCGCGGACGACGGGTACAACACCGTGCAGCTCATGGCGATCATGGAGCACGCGTACTACGGCTCGTTCGGGTACCACGTCACGAGCCCCTTCGCGGTGTCGTCGCGGTGCGGCACGCCCGAGGATCTCAAGTATCTCGTCGACAAGGCGCACGGGTTCGGGATTCGCGTGCTGCTCGACGTGATTCACTGCCACGCGTCGTGTAACACCGAGGACGGCATCGCGGGGTTCGACATCGGGCAGCAGACCGCGGACTCGTACTTCCACACCGGCGACGAGGGATACCACTGGCTGTGGGATTCGCGGCTGTACAATTACGGCAACTGGGAAGTCCAGCGGTACCTCCTGTCGAACCTTCGATACTGGGTCGACGAGTACGGCTTCGACGGCTTCAGGTTCGACGGCGTGACGTCCATGCTGTACAACCACCACGGCCTCCAGATGGACTTCACCGGGGACTACAACGAGTATTTCGGCCTCGACACCAACGTCTCCGCCGTCGTCTATCTGATGCTCGCGAACGACATGCTCCACGGCGTGTACCCCGGGATCGAAGTCATCGCGGAGGACGTCTCCGGGATGCCGACGCTGTGCCGCCCGGTGACCGAGGGCGGGATCGGGTTCGACGCGCGCCTCGGGATGGCGATCCCGGATCTGTGGGTCCGGCTCCTGAAGGCGTCCAGGGAGGGGCGCCTGCGCGACGAAGACTGGAGCATGCACGAGATCATCGCTTCGCTGTGCAACCGCCGGTACACGGAAAAGGTCATCGGGTACGCGGAGTCGCACGACCAGTCGATCGTGGGCGATAAGACGAACGCGTTCTGGCTCATGGACAAGGAGATGTACGAGGGGATGAGCACGTTCGACGAAGCCTCGGACGAGGTGTCGCGAGGGATGGCGCTTCACAAGATGATCCGCCTGCTCACCATCGCCATCGGCGGCGAGGGCTATCTCAACTTTATGGGGAACGAGTTCGGGCACCCCGAGTGGGTCGACTTCCCGCGAGAGGGGAACGACTGGTCGCACGAGCACTGCCGCCGACGCTGGGACCTCGCGGACACGGAGTACCTGCGATACAGCGAGCTCGGGCAGTTTGACAAGGCGATGATGGCGCTCGATCAGCAGTACAAATTCTTGGGCGACGCGCACCAGTTCGTCTCGAGCGCGGATGAAGAGCGGAAAGTGATCGTCGCCGAGCGCGGGCCTCTCCTCTTCGTCTTCAACTTCCACCCCACGGAGAGCTACGAAGGCCTCGAAGTCGGCGTCGGCATGGGCGGGAAGTACCGGATCGTCCTCGACACGGACGCGTGGTCCTTCGGAGGCCAAGGACGCGTCGGGCACGACTTTGACCACTTCTCCAACCCGGGCGGCCCCGTCACGTTCGTCGGGCCGTACGAGCAAGAGCCCAGGCCGGCGTCTCTCAAAGTTCTCTCCCCGTGCCGCTGCGCGCAGGTGTACTTTAAAATCGACGAGGACGGCGCCGCCGCCAACTACGACACCGCCGCGAGCGTGCACGATTTCGGCAGAGGCGTGCACTTGACGTCGGACGCGCCGAGAGCCGCGCCCGTGGAGGAACGGTACGGCGACGAGCGCCTGTACCAGGATACGGTGAGCAGCGAGTACGACTCGGACTGGATGAAGGCGGAGCAAGCGCGGCAGTCGCAGTCGCGATCCGCCGCGGCGCCGTCGGGCGGCGGCGGCGGCGGCGGCGGCGGCGGCGGCGGAGGGAGCAGCGAGTACGACTCGGATTGGATGAAGGCGCAGATGGCGGCGGCGGCGGCGAACGGCGGGAGCGAGCTCGTGCGGCCGACGCCGCCGACGCCGCCGCCGGCGATGGGCGGCGGCGGCGGCGGCGGCGGACGGGGCGGCGCGAGCCGGCCGGAGCGCGTCACGCGAGGGAAGGATGGCGTCATCTACGACCCGGACCAGTTCGACCCGGACAACAACTGATCGGACCGCTTTCAACGCGGCGAGAAGACGAGAGGGAAGCGCGAGAGCGGAGCGAGAGCGAGCGAGAGAGAGAGAGAGAGAGAGGAGGAGTGCATTTGGTTGAACTTTAATACACGTCAGAGCGCTCGAGAAGCGCGAGAGCGGAGCGAGAGAGAGAGGAGGCTCGCGCGTCAATAGTCACGACCAGTCTCGACCGACCCCGAGCGCCTCCGCGATGGCGGCGTCGTTCCCCCCGCCGCCGATGCTCTGAAACATCTTCAACAGCCCGGCGCGTTCCTCGAGCGTCGACGTCAGCGCCAACCCGTCCGCGATCATCTCAAACTCCGCGCTGTTGCTCCCCGGCGGAAACGCGTCCAGCACCCCGATGATACCGTCCAACGTCATCATCGCGCCGCCGTCGTCCCCCTGCCTCCTCTGCGCGCCGGCTTGGAGGAGGTCGCGTCGCGTCCGCGCGGCGACCCCCGCTGCGACGGTCCTCCCCGCTTTCCCCGGCGGCACCCCCACGTCCTCCGCGATGCCCGCGAGGAACTGCGCGGGCACGCCGACGACGCCGGTGGTACTCCGCTGCGACGCCGCGTCCAGCGCGAACTCCACCGCGGCTTTGAAGATCCCAGATCGCGCGCTCTCGGGTCGAACGCGGTCGCTCACGGACGCGTTGGCGGCTTGGCACGCGTCTCTCAACGCGACGAGATCCGCGGGGTCGTACTCCACGCCGCTCACGCGCTTGGCGCTCAGCGCCGCGAGGACCGACCGCGCGTAGATTAACCGCTCCTCTCTCGCGCTCTCCGGGCAGTACCCCGGCGGAGGACGCGACCACCAGCTCGGTTCCGTCGCGTCCGCGGACGCCGCGCGCTCCGCGGCTTCCTTCGCCTCTCTTCGCCGGCGTTCCTTCGCGGCGGCTTCGCTGAGCCCGGAGCCCGCGCCGAGACCCTCCAGCGACCCGCTGAGCGCGTTCCCGCGGGTCCCGCGCGCGAACGCGTCCTCGACCCAGATTTCTCTCCCGCCCAACGTCCGGTCCTTCACCCATCGCCCCGGTCCGCTCCCGCGCGGCGGTTTCCGTCGCGAGCCGCCGCCGCCGAACGACGGCAACGACAGCCCGCCGCCGCCGCGAGGGGCGAGGCCGAAGACTCTGAGGGTCGTTCCATACAAGCGAACGTCGGGGTGGAGTTGAAAGGCGTCAGGTGGCGTTCAAAGGCATCGAGGGCGGGGATTGAAAGCGAGGGGTGGGCGGAGAGATGCGCCGGGCAAAGTCCTTAAGGATCGGCGTCCACATCGCCAACGCGGTCGTATGGGGACCGGTGTATAGAACGCACCTGATGACGGCGTACGCGACGGCGAACAGCCCGGCCCATCCCACGAGCCCGCTCACCCACGGCGGCGGCCCCGAGTCGTAGTACGCCGCTGCTGGCCCGCCGCGCGCGGTCCTGAACGACGCCTGGTCGCCCGACGCGTACGTCGCGGCGCGGCTGCGGTCGGGTCTGAGCGTCTTGTCGACGCGCTTCTTGATCGCCTTCTTCGCCTTTCGATGCGCGCGCTTGACGCGCTGGCCGAGCGACTCCACCGCCTTCTGCGGGGATTTGAGGTCGACGACGAGCTTGCCGTCGTCGAAGCTGACGGGCTTGCGGTCGCCGCCGCCATTCCCGCCGCCGGCGCTATGCGCGTGATGCGAGGCGTCGCCGCCGCGGGAGGATTCGCGCTCGTATCGCTCCTCCTTCTCGCGGAGCTTGCTTCGGCCGTGTCGGCCGCCCTCGGAGCCGGAGCCCGCCCACGCGGGGGGCGCGCCGTGGACGCAGCACGTCGTCGCCGCGGCGACGATGGACAGCGTCGCGAGCGACGCGGTTCGGAGACGCCGCCGCGCGGACGAGGACGACGACGACGACGCGTCGAAATCGTCGTCGTCGGAAGAGGGCGACGACGGCGCGACGAAGATGACGTCCTCCGGCGCGACGCGCGCGAAGACCGCGGGGGCGGCGACGATGCGCCGGACGCGGACGCGGAGACCGCGCGCGGCGGTACGGGCGCGCGCGCGCGTCCCGACCGCGGGGAGCGCGGAGACGGCGGCGACCGCTACCATGAGGCCTCGCCCGCGCACGGCGCTCGATGCACAATGCCAGCCGCGACGAAGAAGAATCCCGGCACGCGAGCGCCGACGCGACGAGAAGCGAGACGAGCGCGAGCAGTTTGAGCTGATCGAAGCCGCCGTCGCGCGATCGATCGATGAACCCGAGCATCCGCCTTTGAAAACGCGGGACATGGTTCAGACATCTACGTTTTCACCCCGATTAACCTTCAACGTCCGATCAACTCTCCGCCATCCGCAGTCAGCGCGAATAATCGAGCCGTTCACCGACGAAAAGCGAGCGTCATCAATCCAACGGGTCAACAACGCCGCGCGCGCTCGACCCCCCGCGCACGGCACGATGCTCCCCGGAGGAGGCTTCAATCAAGGCGGCGGCGCGCCCACGCCCAGCCGCCCGTCGTTCCCGCACGAGCGCAGACGCGCGGCGGCGGCGGCGGCGCAGCAGCCGCAGAATGCGGACGACGCTCCCGCGACGACGACGACGACGACGACGACGACGACGACGTCCGAAGCCCCCGCGGCGCCCGCGCCCGCAGCGACGACCAGCGGCGGCGCCGGGTCCATGCTCGCGGCGCTCGCGGCGTCGAGCCCGGAGAAATCGCCGCCGATTCCCGCGAACGCGGCGGCGGCGCCGCCCCCGCCGGCGCATCCGGCGCGACCGCCGCTCGGAGACGCCACGAACGACCCGGCCGCGCAATCACGCGGTCAGGAGCTGGTCGCGGCGCAAAAGGCGCGCGCGCCGCCGCCGCCGCCGCCGCCGCCCGAGCCCGAGCCGCCGATCGCGTCGACGTACGACCCGTCGTTCGTCGACAACCAGAGCGCCGGCTACGCGTTCGACCCCGTCACCGGGATGCTCCGAGATCCGGGCGCGCCGTCCGAGAACGCGATGACGCGCACGCGCGTCGTCGAATCCGGCGGCGTCGGCGGCGGGTTCCGCCGCGTTCAAGAGGACAGCGGCGGCGGCGCGAGCGATCGAAGGGCGTTAGGCAGAGCGTTCGCGATGCGCGCGGCCGCGGAGGACGCGAGCCAGGGGTCGTTGCGCGCGGTCGCGGTGGCGACGCAATCGACGGTGACGTGTCTCGGCTTTTTCGCGCAAGGGATACTCGCGGGCGTCGCGGCGACGAACGTCTTCATGACGTACTTTCTCGACGCCGCGAACCTCCCGGGCGGGAGCTCGAACTCCGGGTTCTTGAAGTACTACTCCCCGATCGCGGTGATCGCGCAGCGGATGTTCGTGACGCTGAGCGTGATATCGTTGCTCGCGTCGGTGGACAAATACGCGAAGGATTCGCTCGGCGGATTTCTGCTGCAAGGTTTCGCCGTGCGCCGATTCGACGCGCTCGCGATTCTGTGCTTCTTTCTGTGCTTCCTCTTCAGCGTGATCAACGTCCCGTTCGAGGACCGACTGTACTACGCGTACGTGCGCGTGCCGTCGTGGTGGGAGTACGAGACGCTCGCCGGGGATTTCAACTCGGACGTGAACACGTTTCACGGGTTGAACTTTTCGCGGTGTTTCTTCGCGCTGCTCGGCTTCTTGTGCGTCTGCGCGACGACCACGCCCGCGGTGTTGGACGTCATCGAGCGCGCGGAGGAACTCACGAAGGTGCACGCGGGCGAGCGGAGCTTCGGGGCGAAGGCTGTTTACGAGAACGACGAAGGAGAGATGGAGCCGCCGCGCGGGTTTGGAAACACAAACGCGGGCGGCGGCGGCGGCGGCGGATCGAGGACGCCGGACCGGAGGCGGTCGCCGGGCGGCAGCCCGACGCGAGGCTCCCCGGGGGGATTCCAGTGGCGCGATAACGCGGTCGCGGAGCGGGACGGGGTCGGGCGGAGTAGGTACGGGCAAGGGAGGCGAGGGTACTGAGCAGTTGTAACGTTATTACGTATGTTAACCAACCGTCGACCTCAACTTTGGGGCATCTGCCTAAAATCATGATGGCCGGCGGGGCTGTCGCCGCCCTGGTCGTGATCGGCATCGTCGTGTGGGTGTGTACGAAGAAGGCGAAGGAGAAGCCGAGCGCGGTCTCCCCATCTCCCGAGTCGACGGGGACCCGCGGCCACGGCGGTGTGCCCCTCGAAGAGCAACAGAGTGCGTTGAGGGAGGCGGAGAAGAAGCCCGACGCTGAATTGATGACGAGGAAGCCGAGTAGGATTCAATCGATCAAGGATTCAATTCGAAAGAAGCTCAACTTCAAGAAGGCGAAGAATAACAGGAAGAGACTACTACTAGCCTAATTTAATTTAGGGCTATGGAAGCGGTAGGCGAGGATCTATAAGTCCTATAGCACATCGCTCCGACGCGCGACCTCCGTTCTACGCTAATAAAACTAGACTACCTCCGCGCTAATTATTAATACCGCCGACCGAAGACGCGTTCCCACATCCGCCGCACCGCGCCTCCGCCGCCGGCGCTTCGCGCCTCGCCGCGCTCCCTGTCGAGGAGCCTAAACGCGGTGCAAAACAGCGCGACCGCGGGCGGAAGCGCCACCGCGTCCCTTCGTCGCCGCGCCGCCGCGTCCGGGTCCGCCCCCGCCGCTTTCGCGAACGCTCGGAAATCCCGCCCCGCCGCGCGAAACGCGTCATCATCGCGCGCATCCTCGCCTTCCCCCAACAGTCCTTCCTCTTCCTTGCGTCCTCCTCTCAGCTCGAAGTACCACCCCCCGATGTCGTGGTCCCGCGACCTCGGCGCGAACAGCCACGCGTCCGACGGCGGGAGCCACGCCCTGGTCGCCTTCGCGACGACGACGCCGGCGGCGGCGTCGATCCACGCGAGGCGCGTCACCCCCGGCGTCGCGTGCGCGACGATCCTGTGCCGCGTCGTCCCTCCCGCGTCGGTCACGACGCCGTCGAGCGCGGAGACGACGCACACGAGGCCGTCGGAGTTTGAAATGGAGTTTGAACGGTACGCGTCGCCGGCTCCACCCGACGAAGTCGACGCGGCTCGGAGGACGGCTTCGTCCGCGGTCGCGTCCGGGGCTCGACGGACGACGACGTCGCCGAGGGCGTCGCGTCTCGTCGCGATCGCGACGACCCTGCCGCCGACGACGAGCTCCAGCTTCGCGTCGTCGCGGCCGCGGCGATGGCGCGCGTCGGGGGGGTCGCCGCCGTCGCACAGCTGTGCGTCGTCCTCCTCGGTCGCCTCGTTCGCCTCGTTCGCCGCGCCAGCTGTACCGCCGCCGACCGCTCCCGCGAGCGCCCGCATCGCCCCCTCCGCGCCGATCTCCTCGCCGATCTCCTCCCGCGCGCGCGCCTCCCTGATCACCGCGAGCACGGTCCGCCCGGACACGACGTGCGCGAGGTCGACCACGCCCTCTCGGTCCGCGACGACCTTCGCGGTGGCGCTTTCTTCCGTCTCGAACCGGCGCGGGAACTCCTCGCCGAGGCGAACGGCGTCGACGTCCACCTCTGGCCCCTCCGCGACGAACTCGAGCGCGCGGCGGAGCTCCGCCGCGAGCGCGCGCTTCGGCACGAGCGCGTCGACGGCGCCGTTGTAGTCGCGCCACACGTCCGAGTACTTCTCGAACGCGTCCGCGGCATCGCGCGCGCGCCCACGCGACGACGACGACGACGACGACTGATCGCGATCGTCGTCCGTCGTCCGCCTCGCGCGGTCGAGCCGCTCGGCGTCGTACAGCGCCCTGCGCTTCTCGCACGAGAGGATCTCGTACGCGGCGAGGACTCTGACGAACGCCTCCGCGGCGACCGCGTCGTCCGCGCGCGTCGCGTCCGGGTGCGTGCGCTTGGCGACCTCTCGGAACGCGCGTTTGATGTCTCGCCTCGACGCGGCGCCCGCCGGATCCAGGCCGAGGAGGGCGTACAGGCACGACGGCGGCGCGGGCGCGCGCGGCGCGTCGGTCGCGAGGTATCGCGCTTGGAGGGAGAGGAGGAGGAGAGGAGACGGCGGGAGCGCGCGCGACGCGCGCGCGATCCCGCGCCTCAGCATGTTGTGTCCCTAGTCCGCGGTCGCGTCGTTTTCGCTGGTTAAAGCGTGCCATCGTGGACTCTCCTCTCGAGCGCGCGATAGAAGTATTGTACGAGCTAGCGCTATCACCACGGGCACGGCTTCAAACCCTCGCCGTAGTTCCCGTGAACGAAACTCCCCGTGGTCTCCATCGTGAGCGCGTCCAACGCCATGAGCACCCCTCTCCCGCCGCCCTCCACGGGCTTGAACCACTTCATCATGTTCGCCGGCGGCGTGCCGCCGCCGAAGTTCGTCTTCAACATCCCGGGGTGCACTGCAAAGTGGAGGGATATGATTGGTCAGTTCAAGATGACGTGTCACATCGTGTGGTCGAGAGAGAGAGAGAGAGAGAGAGAGAGAGAGAGAGAGAGAGAGAGAGAGAGAGCGATTCGCCCGGGCGCGCACCCAAGCCCACGGCGACGCCCGCCTCTCTCAATTCGCTCGCCATCGTCGCGGCCGCCATGTTCACCGCGGCTTTCGCGCATCTGTACGCCATCGCGCCGCCGCTGCCGTTGTCGCTGATGCTCCCCATCAAACTCGTCACGATCAGTACCTTCCCTTTGCTCTCCTTCAGTTTCGGCGTCAGCGCCTTCGTCACGCGGATCGGCCCGAGCGTGTTCACCTCGAACGCGCGCTGCATCACGCGAAAGTCCAGCGTCGCGAACTTCTGGTCCTCGAACTGCTCGTCCCAGCTCCGCCCCGGGTTGCTTCCGAGGCCGCCGGCGTTGTTGATCACCGCGTCCACGCGGACGCCGTCGAGCGCGCGCGCGAGCCGGTCCCCGGCGTCGTCCGCGGTCACGTCCACGTCGTGGATGATCTGCGGGCGTCGCGAGATGCAAAAAAAGTTCATCGGTCAGTTGAAAGGGCACGCGATCAAATGTTGAAACCGAGGGACGGGTGAAAAACGTTCGCACCTTCTTCACGCCGACCGCCTCCAGCTCGGCCGTGGGCGCGCGGCACGACGCGTACACGACGTCCCCGCGCGCCGTGAGCTGCTTGCAGAGCTCCAAGCCGAGGCCGGCGTTCGCGCCGGTGACGACGACGTTGAGCGGCATCGCGGGAAGGGGGGGGGGGGCGATGGGAGGGGAGACGGCGCGTGGATTACTCTGACGGCGGATCGAGTCTGATCACACAGCTGTCGCTCGAAGGTGTCGCTCGTCAGCAGTGCACGAACGCCACGACACGTCACTCCGACGCGCGCGGGACGCCACCGTCATGGCGTCCTCCTCTCTCGTCGCGCCGCTCGCGGCGGCGCGCTCTTCTCCACGGAAGACGCGCTCCCTCGCGTCCTCGTCGCGCACGCGCGTCCTCGTCGCGCCCGTCCGCGCGGCCGCCGCGCCAGCTGGCGCGGCGGCCGAGACGTGCGACCTCGCGGAGGGCGCCGCGCTCGTTGACGGGAAGTCCATCCGCGCGTCCGCGTTCCGCGAGCTCGCGGTGATGAACCCCGCGGGCGAGACCGTGCGACTGGGCGACGCGCTCGGCGACGAGCGCTCCGTCCTCGTCCTCCTGCGTCACCTCGGATGACCGTACTGCTGGACCTACGCCAACGCGTGGGCCGACGCAACGCCGAGGCTGAGAGAGAAGGGCGTGAAGATCGCGATGGTGAGCATAGGCGACGGCGAGAAACTCACCAAGTTCCTCGACCTAAACCCGAACGTTCCGAAGGACATCGCGTTCGTGGACGACAGCGACACTTTCGACGTGTACGAGGCGGCGAACTTTGGCGTCTTCACGGACACGAAGCTCGCGAAGGGGACCAAGGTGGACATCAAGGCGCCCGACTTCAGGTGCGTTCGTTCGTTCTATGCAAACGTGTTTCACCCACCGCTCGGTTTCAACACTTGATCGCGTCTCCTTTCAACTGACCGATGGAACGACCACCCTCACAGCGCGAAGCAGTGGTGGGGTTACTTCACCAACGTCGCGAAGCTCGCGCCCGTGAAGAAGGGCGAGAAGCTCACGGGCGTCCCCGAGGGCGTCCTCCGCCTCGGCGGCACGTTCGTCATCGACGGCGAGGACGTCGTGTACGCGCACAGGGAGAACCTGCCGGGGATGTCGCCCAAGATCGAAGACGTCGCGACCGCGGGGAAACTCTGGTGATGATCCCGATTCGCGATGGACGACGACTGGTTATTTATGGATCTGGTTATTTATGGACCATTGGATCCATAAATAACCCCGCCGACGGGGGCCGACGCCGAGCCCCGCGCGGCGAGTCGAAGCGCACGTCGCGAGTGACGCGCGCGCGAGAACAGCCTCCACGCGAGGTCACGCGCGCGCTGATGCGCCGACGACCGATCGACTACGCCGCGCGCGCGGGCTCGACGTCCGGCCGCGCGAGAAGAAGCTAGTCTATTAAGTAAGATACCCGTAGCTCGCGCGAAGAACGCAACGCGCGACCGACTCTAGAATTCTCTACGTACGATAAAACCGACCGCGCCGAAGGAGCGCTCTTCTACCGCGGCGCGTTCGTCTCCTCCCTCGTCGCGGATCGCCCCGCCTTCTCCTCGAACGCCCTCAGCGACGCGCGCAACGACGCCGCGTCCCTCTCCGTCTCCACCGCCGCCCTCTCCAACACCCCCAACGCGGAAGCGCCCTCCGCGGCGACGACGGCGGCCACCGCCGCGCCGCCCGCGGCGTTCATCGTCGCCAACGCGTCGCGCAACGACGCGCTAGACGTCACCCTCGGCACGCCGCCGTCGCACGCGTCTCGCGCGCGACCGCCGCCGTCTCCCCGCTCGAGCGCCGCGACGAGCGACGACGCCGTCGCGAGCCCGACGAACGCGCCGTCCGTCGGGTCGACGACGACGGCGCAGCGACCGCCGCGCCGCCCGCCTTCTCCCGAGGGATCGCGCGCGCCGCCCGCCGCGGCGGCGAGCGCGGCGTCGAGGACGCTCGCGTCGGACGACACCCTGGGGGCGTCGCGGCGCATCGCGTCCGCGACGAGAACGGAGGACAATATTTCCGCGGCGGCGTCGCCGTCGGACCACGACCGCGCCTCTCCATCTCCTTCTCCTTCGCCCGCGTCCGCGTCCGCGTCCGCGCCGCCCGCGTCGAACGCCTCCAGCGCCAAGTACAAGCCCTCCCTCCCAGCCGTCGTCGGCGGCGGACGGTCGTCCATCGTCGCGTCCAGGGGCCCGCCGTCGTCCTCGTCCAGCGTGCACGTGTCCCTGGCCACGCAGTCGTCGTCGTCGTCGACGCCCGGGAGGGTCCCTCGTCGCGCGACCCTCCCGACCGGGTCATTTTGAACCTTCCCGCGCTCGGACCGCATCACGTCCATCTTTCGCTCCGCCGCGCCGGAGACGGCGGCGGCGACGCCCACCGTCCCCAACAGCGGCACGATGATCCTCGAGTCGTGCGTGAGCTCGAACAGCAACAAGATGGCGGTCAGCGGCACCTTGCAGACGCCCGCGAGGACGCCAGCCATGCCCACGAGCGCGTACGCCTGCGGCGGCGCCACCGGCGCGCCCGCGAGCGCGAACGGGACGAGCGCGGTGCCGTACGCCGACCCCAACGCGGCGCCCATGAACAGACTCGGCGCGTACACGCCGCCGACCAACCCGGACTGCGATGATGGATGCGGACATAATGCGCGTCGGTCAGTTAAAAGGGTGCGCGATCAAATGTTGAAAGCGAGCGGTGGGTGAAAAACAAAACGAAGCGCGCGAAAAGAACAGCACGCGCCTGCCGACACCACGTCGTCGTCAGCAGCTTCACGATCACGAGCTGAAGCAAGACCGCCGCGGGGTACGCCTGACGCAGCGCGCTGCCGTCCGCGCCGAGGATCGAGTTCACGTTGTCGAAGCCCTGGTACGTCACCTCCGGGAACGCGAGCGCGACGAAGCCGAAGAGCAAGCCGCCGAGAGGCGCGTGAAATTCTTTCGGGACGCGCCACGCGCCGCCCCCGTTCCCGTTCCCTCCTTCGCCGTTCCCTCCTTCGCCGCCGCGCTCGAGCGCGTCGAACGCGCTCCCGAGGACGTTCGAGGAGACGCGGAACGCGACCGCGGTCGCGCCGCACAGCGCGCCGAGCGGGAGGTACAGCGGCAGCTCCGCGACGTTCGCGATCTCAAACGCGGGGACGATGAACGCGGGCTGTTCCCCGAGGAGCTGATTCGACACCACCGCGGCGAGGACGCTCGCGAGGATGACAGACTCCGTGGTCAGAGGCCCGAACCCGGTGCTCCCGCCGCTGCTCCCGCCGCCGCCTCTCGCTGCCGCGGGCTGCAGGATGCTCTCGAACGCGAAGAACAGACCCGCGATGGGCGCGCCGAAGCCGGCGCTGATGCCCGCGGCGCTGCCGGCGGCGACGAGCCCGAGGCGTCGCTCCGCCGCCGACGTGGACGAAGCCGCCGCTGACGTGGACGCCGCCGCTGACGAAGCGGACGATGCCGACGCGGAAGCGCCTCCTTCGCGCGGAGTCTTCGCGGTAGGGTCCACGCGATCCGCGACGCCGGCGACGCCGCCGGCGACGGACGCGCCGATCTCCACGCTCGGCCCCTCCGGCCCGAGGCTCGCGCCCGAACCCAACGTGATCACCGCCGCCGCCGCCTTCGCCGTCGGCTTCAGCGCCGCCTTCGCCCACCGCGGCAGCGCGTCGTTCCACCGCGCGCGCGCGGCGGTGGGGGCTCCTTTGTTGTCGCCTTCGTCGTCGCGATCGCCGTTACCGAACGGATTCCTCGGCGGTGTCTCGCCGACGAAGCCGTCGGCGAGAAATCGCAACCCGGTGACGAGCCACCCCGCGGCGAACGGCACGGCCACCGCGCTGACGGCTTGCTGCCACGTGTCCGGCATCCCCCGCGCGCCCTCGACCGCGAACCGCTCCGGGGAGTTTTCTAAGTTTAAGAACACGAGGTCGTGGACGTTGTGCTCCGCGATGTTGAACACGCCGACGCCGAGGCCGGTGGCGAGGCCGATGACGCACGCGAGGAGGAGCTTGTTCTCGGTGTCGCCTCCGCCGCGGTCGCCGTCGTCGCGAGAATCGTCGGAGGAGGAGGAGGTCGAGGAGGACGGCGACGTCGCGCGGAGATCGCCGGTGGAGGGCGACGACGCCGCGGCGACGACGGCGGAACCGCGGCCGCGGCCTCCTCCCGGCGCTCGCGGTGCGCGCTGTACGACCGCGTCGCCGCGGCATCTCATGATGCCCCCGGCGCCCGTCGCGACGACGACGACGACGACGACGCGCGCGGGCGACGCCGCCGCCGCCCGCGGCGACGACGACGACGCCGCGCGCCGCGCGCCCGTCGCCCTCGGCGCGCGCCGCCGCCTCCCCGCGCGCGGCGGCGACGCCGCGAGCGCGGGCGCGGCTGCCCTCATGCGAACGAGGAGCGCGTCGCGCACTGGTCGTGGTGCAGCAGTCCGCCACGTGCGGAGATCGATCCAAACGCGCGCCAAACCGCGTGAGGCCATTCGAACAGAGCTCGATTTCGATTTTCCGGTGAAATTGGAAATTGAAACCGCGAAAAGCGATGCTCGAACCCGATTTTTCGGGTCAACTCGAAAAAAAAAAATCGAGTCACGAGCTGGAGACCGGTTTCCCACGAGATATTTTGCCTGTAGGTTAAAATCTTTAGGGTCGGCACGTGATTGGCCGAGAGCAAATGCCAAGTGGACTAGTACGCGAAATCGTACTAACCGTCGTATGCCTTTTCACCCTCGCGGCTCAACGACGCACGTGAGCTTCACGTTGCCCACCGGTTCGCTGACAGTCCATATATCTCGAGTGCTGGGATTCGACGCGACGTCACAACGCGGACGCACCGCCTCGCCATCGTGACGCGGCGCGTTCTCCCGAGACACGTTTCGTGAACATCATGGCGTTCCTCGCGTCGCCGAGCGCGTCGCTCACGCGCAGCGCGAGCGCGCCGTGCCTGGCGTCGCGCGCGCAGCATTCGCTGACGGGCGCGAAAATTCTTCCCGCGCACCGCGCGATCTCCCGCCCGCTCCGCGCGACGACGCGCTTCGTCGTCGCGGGCGACGACAAGAAGGACGAGGAGAAGAAAATCAGCAAGGACAAGGTGCTCGTCAACTTCGAGATCGAGAAGAAGACCGCGTTCGGGAGCGTCGTCAAGGTGGTCGGCGGGTCGGATAAGCTCGGTCGGTGGAACGCGAACGACGGCGTCGCGCTGAGATGGTCCGAGGGCGACGTCTGGAAGGGCAGCGTCGAGGTGCCCGCGGGGGGGGAGATGGAGTACAAGCTCGTGACGTGCACGCGCAGGCACGGGAACCAGTGGGAGGGCGGCATCAACCGCGTCCTGCAGCTGTACGACGGCGGATCCGAGCTCCTCGCGAAGGGCCGATTCGACGCGGGCGTGGAGCTGTCGCATAAAAAGCCAAAGAAGGAGCTCGTCGCCGTCGCGTTCAACTTCCACGGGAAGACGGAGTTCGGGCACGAGATCTGCGTCATGGGCGGCGCGAAAGAGCTCGGCGGGTGGGACCCGCTCAAGGCGAAGCCCCTGAAGTGGGGTCCCGGGGACGTCTGGAAGGGCGAGGTGGACGTCGCGCCCGGCGGCGAGATTCGGTACAAGCTCATCACCCGCCGCGCGTCGCGACCGACGCAGTGGAAGACGGAGTTCAGGCGGGACTTCAAGCGGATCCTGCAGCCGTACGCGGGCGGGAAGACGGTGTGCGTCACCGGCGACTTCAAGGGCAGGAGCTACGTTCACCTCAAGGGCGAGTCCCCCGTGCTGGCGAAGAAGGCTGAGAAGAAGGAAGAGAAGAAGGAAGAGAAGAAGAAGGACGAGGTCAAGGCTGAGAAGAAGGACGAGGTCAAGGCTGAGAAGAAGGAAGAAAAGAAGGAAGAGAAGAAGGAGGAAAAGAAGGAGGAAAAGAAGAAGGACGAGGTCAAGGCTGAGAAGAAGGAAGAGAAGAAGGAGGAAAAGAAGAAGGAGCCCGACAACGCGGTCTCTCGCTTCGCCGACCTCAAGTCCGGGAAGGAAGAGAAGAAGGACGACGACAAGAAGAAGGACGAGGTCAAGGCTGAGAAGAAGGAAGAGAAGAAGGAAGAAAAAAAGAAGGACGACAAGCCCGCGGGGGATAAGTTCTCGCAGATGATCAAGGCGTCCAGCGAAAAGAAGGAAGAGAAGAAGGACGAGAAGAAGAAGGACGAGAAGAAGGACGAGGTCAAGGCTGAGAAGAAGGAAGAAAAGAAGGAGGAAAAGAAGGAAGAGAAGAAGAAGGACGAGTACGCGGACGACGCGAAGATCCTCGCCGAGGCTGCGGCGAAGGCGGAGAAGGCTGCCAAGGCGGCGACGGCGGCGGTGAAAGCCGCGCTGGACGCGCCGATCCAAGCCGAGTCCGACGTCGAGGAGATGCTCAAGTCGTTCAGGGACTCGTTCGCCAAGTCGAGGAAGGAGAACGTCGGCGCGGGCGCGCCGCCGCCGCCGCCTCCCTCGCCGCCCAAGGCCAAGCCGTCGGCATCTCCGAGCTCGAGCTCCTCCGACTCGGGAAGCGGCGGCGGGAAGTGGTCCGACCTCAAGAAGGGCGCGGAAAAGAAGTCCTCCGACGCGGACGCCGGGCCGTCCAAGAACAACGTGGTGACGCCGCCTAAGCCGTCGTCCACGCCCGCGCGGCCGAAGATGGAGGATCAGTCCTTCGCGGCGCGGTACCACACCCCGCCCGCGGCCGCGCCGAAGAAGCCGGAGGCGCCGAAGCCGCCGGCGCCGCCGTCGTCGCCGCCGCCGGCGAAGAAGGGACCGTCGCGATTCGCGGATCTGAAGTCGGGCGCGGACGGGAAGGAGATGAACGCGGTCGAGCGCATGAAGGCGCAGAAGGCGACCGCGGTCGCGGATGCGCCGAAGAAGGAGGAGAAAGCCGCGAGCGGCGGCGGCGGGGATAAGTTCTCGCAGATGATCGCCTCGCGCAGCCGGTGAGCGATCGGTCGATCGATCGGTCGATCGACGACGAACTCGTCGCGCGACGAGACAGTAAAATTTTGCATTCAGTTGTGTACCAGCAAGACGTATTGGCGATTGGTGATGTGTTTTCTGCATTCATTCAATTTCATTTTTTTGTACAGGCGCCGCTATGGCGCGACAAGACTAGCAGCAGCGATCCAATTTAATAATGAATCGAGCGGTTCATTTCCTACCCCCCCTCGAACGACGCGTCTCCGCGTCGGCCCGTATGCACATTTACTCCGCGGGCGGCTCCTCCTCCGCCGCGGGCTCCGGCTCCGGCTCCGGCTCCGGCTCCGGCTCCGGCTCCGGCTCCGGCTCGGGCGGCGGCGGCGGCGGCGGCGCGGCAGCCGCCTTCGCGGCGGCTTCGCCCGCGGCGCCCGCGGCTTTCATCGCCGCGGCGACGTCCTCCTTCACGCTCCCGAGCTGATCGTCCAGCTTCCCGTCCACGTACTCCACCTGCTTCTTCACCTCCGCCACCTCGCCCTTAAACGCGGCCACCTCTTCCTTGAGCGCGAAGCTCTCCTCCGCTTTGGTTCTCTCCGCCGTCTCGTGCCCTAAATCGAATCGCACCTCCGCGACGGCGTCGGCGTTGAGCTTCAGCCCCTCTTTTAGGGTGTCCTCGAACGCCGCGATCGCGGCGGCTCTCGACTCCGACTCCGCCTCCGCCGCGCGGTCGATCTCGGTGTGCACCTCCGCTCTGATCGACTCCCCTTCCGCGACGAGGTCCGCGGCGAGGTGGTGCTCGATCGCGCGGTCGCCCTCCTCGCGCTTCGACGCCTCCGACGCGATCGCCTCCGTCGTCGCCGCCACCTCCGTTCGCAACGCCGCGACGTCCGCCGTCGCCGCCGCCCGCGCGTCCCTCGCCCTGCCCGTCTCCACCGACAGCGTGCTGTTCACCTCGTCCAGCTCCGCGAAGATCTCCGTGCGGAGCACCTCGACGTCCGCCTTGGCGTCCGACGCCGTCGACTGCACCGCGTCCTTCAGCTCTTTCACCGTCTCGTCGACGCGGTACCGCGCGTCGCTCGCGGCGGTCTTCTCCTCCTCGATCGCGCTCGTGAGCTCCGCGCGAAGCGCCTCCTCCGCGGTCACCGCCGTGATCTGCGCCTCGCCCTGCATCTCTCTGAGGTCCCTCACCTCCGCGCGCGTGGACTCCATCGTCGCGACAACCTCTTCGCACTTTTCCAGCACCGGCTTGGTCTGGACCTCGACGAGCCCCGTCACCGTCGTCGTCGCCTCCCTCAGCTTCTCCGCCGCCTCCGCGGCTCTCGCGTCCGCGTCCTCCTGCAGCGTCTGCAGCGCGTCCTCCAGCCGCATCGTCGCGTCGTCCAGCTCCGCGCGCATCATCTCTTCCTCGAGTTTCTGCGCCGCGATGTTTCCCGCCGCCGTCTCTTCCAACGCGCGGACATCCGCCTCCAGCCGCGCGCGCGCCACGTCCAGCGCCTCCCCGAGGTCGCGATGCAGCGCGTTCGCCTGGTACGTCCGCTCCGTGACCTCCGCGCGCAGGCCCTCTCGGAGCTCGCGCACCGCCGCGGACGCGGTGTCCTCCAGGTTGGCGACGTCGTCCTCGTACGCGTGGCGCACGTCGTCGTCGCCGCGGCGGCGCGCGTTGGCCTCTTCGGCGACGGCGACGAGCACGTGCGTCTTGAGCGCGATGAGCGACGCCTCGCGCGCGTTGCTCTCGCCCGCGACGATCTGCTTGAAGTCGTCCACGCGCGCGACGGTGAACTCCTCCGCCTCGATGCGATCGCACTCCGCCTGGAGCTGCGTCGCGACGATGTTGCGCTCCAGGTGCCTCTGGAGCTCGAGGATATTTTTGCCCAGCGACGCGTCAGACGCTCTGAGTTTCGCGATGGACGCGTCCACGTCAGCCTTGGACGCGAGGTTCGCCTCCTCGATCGACAGCTTGAGCTGCGACAGCGCGCGGACGTTCCGCGACGTCGCGCGGTCCATCTCGTCCAGGCGGTCCGGGTCGATCTCGCTCGAGATGACCTCCATGTCGAGCAAGCCTTTGACGGCGCCGGCGACGGCTTCGTCGGCGAGCTCCTCCACGACGTCGTCCATATCGTCCAAGCGCTCGTCCGCGCCGTCCGCGCGCTTCTCGAGCGTGCGTACTTTCGGCTCCAACGTCGCGAGCTGCGACTGCATCTCCGTGCGCGCCGCCTCGTTCGTGACGAGCTCGTCGAAGACGTCGACGACGTCCGCCTCTGTGGGTCGTTCCATACGAAGCGACGTCGGGGTGGAGTTGAAAGGCGTCAGAAGCGGAGTTGAAAGGCGTCGAGGGCGGGTATTGAAAGCGAGGGCTCGGCGGAGAGATGCGACGGGAAAAGTCCTCAAGAAACGGCGTTCACCACGCCGACGCGGTCGTACGGGGACCAGTGTGAGATAGAACGCGCCTGTCTTCTCCGCGCGGTCGCGAAGTTTGTCCTTTTCGACGACGAGCGCCGCCGTCGCCGCGTCCGCGTCGTCGAGCCGCTCGTCGTGTACGTCCACGCGCGTTTCCAGGTGCTTCAAGTCCGACTCCAGCGCGTCGAGGCCGTAGTCCACCTTCTCCGCGTTCGCCATCGCCGCGACCGTCGTCGCCTCGACGTCGTCGTGGACGTCGGTGAAAGCCTGCGGGCGTCGCGAGAAAAAGTTCATCGGTCAGTTGAAAGGGCACGCGATCAAATGTTGAAACCGAGGGACGGGTGAAAAACGTTCGCACCTGGACGACCATCTTGCGGAACTCGTCGATCTCCATCTCGAGGTGGGTCTGTCGTTGGTACAGCTTGCGAAGCGCCATCACCTCGAGCTCGAGGCGCTGTTCCATCGCGTGAATGAGCGCGCCGTGGTGCGCCTTGACGGACGCGGTCGCGCGCGCGGCCTCGACGCGCCCCGCCGCGAGCTGGAGGTCCTGCTCCTTCTTGTCCGCCTTGAGCTCGTTGAAGAGACGCATCCGCGACGAAATCTCAGCTTTGAGCACGCGATCGTGATTGATCACCTCCGCGCGCAGTTGATCCCGCACCTCCACGTTCGCGGCGTGGAGCTTCAGGACGCTCTGTGAGATTTGTCCGCGGAGCTTCCCCTCGCGCGCCTCTCTCGTCTGCTTCTCCTCGCGCAGCAGCGCGGTGACGTCGTGGTTCACCTTGTCGACGGATTTGTTGAGCATCATGTCCGCGTGGCTCCGGAGCTCGTTCTCTTCGCGGATCGCGCTCTCTAAGATCATCTGGTGCTCCAGAATTTTCTGTCGCTCCGCGCGGGACTCTTTCCCCAGCTCGTTGATCATCTCGTCCGCGACGACGCGAATCTCTTTGCTTCGCATCTCCGCGCCCTCGGACTCGTCCACGATGCGTCTGTTCACCTCCGCCATCCTCTCGTTCAGCTCGTGGTCGAACCGCCGCAACAGCGACTGCTCGCGCGCGTCCCCGAGCTCCTGAAGGCGCTGCATTGTGTGCTCCAGTCGGCTTTCGTTCTCCGCGCGCTGCTGGCGTTCCATCGCGAGCTGCTCGGAGAGGTTCCGGACGAGATCCTCCGTAGAATTTAATTTCGCGCGCACGTCGCCGAATTGCGCCACCGTGGTGTCCGACGCCGTCTTCCCCTCCAGCCGCGCGATGTTCGCCTCGATGATCTGTCTCTTGCCGAGGTCTTCGCCGCGACTATCCGCGACGTCGCGCGAGAGCCGCGCCATCTCCGCGGAGAGCGCGTCCAGACGCCGCGCGTCGCTGTTTTGCTCGACGCCGATGCGTTGTTGAATCTGATCGAACGAATCTCGCGCGTTGATCATCGCCACTTGCGCGGCGGCTTCAACGCGCATGGACTGCTCGCGGTTCTCTTTCAGGTCCGCCTCCGCGGCGGATAACCGGCCGCGCATCTCCGCCATGCTGCCCTCCGCGTGCGCGAGGACGTCTTGCATCCTCGCGACGCGCGCTTCCAGGGCTTCGACCTCGCCTCGCCCGCCGCCTTCGCTCTCCAGTCGATGCGCCTCGGACACCGCCAACTTTCTCTCGAGCGTTCGCAGCCTCTGCGCGTGCGCCGCCGCCGCGCTCTCCGCGACGATGAGCCGCTCCTCCATCTCGCGAAACTCCGGGGAGTCGGCCACGGAGAACCCGCCGCCGCCGCGCCTGACGACCGCCTTCGCAGCGCTGCCTGAGTCGCTCCCTCGCGACGGCGGCGTCGGCGGTCGAAACGGCCGTCCCGGCGGTCGCGGCGCGCCGCGTCCGCCGCCCATCTCGTCGTCCGGCGGCGGCGTCGGCGGCGCTTTCGCCCCCCCCAAGTTTCGGTTGAACCCGCCGTACTGCGGCGGGCCCGGCGGGGGCACGTTCCCGAACCGTTCCCGAACCGGCGGCGGCGGGTTCCGCGGCGGGGGGTTGACCTCGCCCGTGAGCAGGAGGCTCGGGGGCTGACCGCCCGGGCGCGGCGGCGGCGGCGGCGCGGGGACCGCCGCGCGGTTCTGGTCGTTGACGTTGACGTTGTTGTTAACCGGGACACCGCCGGGGATGGGGCCTGGCGAGGAGGGAAGGCGCGGGAGGGAGGCGACGGAGGCGTCAGGAGGACGAGTCTCTCGACGAATACTAATCGAGATTCGTTCGTCGTCGTCGTCGTTTCGAGACGCGAGCGCGGGCCGGGGCGCGGGATGCACGCCGCGGACGCGCCGCTCGCGCGCGCCGCCGCCGCGCCCGTCGCGCGGAATCGTCTGTTCAGATCACCTCGAGCGCGACGCGCGCGCGTCCGGCGAGAGAGACGCGAGGAGACGTCGCGCGCGCGTCGCCGCGGCGTCTCCGCGAAGCGCGACGAGACGCGGTTGTTGCTGGGGGGACGTACGAGGCGCTGGAAAGTGCAGGTGGTTCCCCGGAAGGTTCCCAATCTGCGATGGGCCCGGGGCGAAGTGCCGCTTCCCGCCCTGCGCCATCGCGGCGTTCATCGCCGCGCGCTGCTGATACATCGCCGCGATCTGCGGGTCGCCCTGGAACGCCCTGAAGACGTTGTCTCGGCCGCCCAGCGCGGTCATCCCCGGCTCTCGGAGGGGGAAAAGCGAGATTCGTCCGCCGTCGGTCCGCGGACGCGCGCGACGACGCGCGGGACGGACGCGACGGGGGGGGTCGCCGCTCGCGAGCGGGGGTTCGTCTGATCACGCGACGATACGCGGAATGCGCGGGGCGGGCGCGCGCGTGCGTGCTCGCGCGTGCGTCGTCGACTGCGATTGCGCGCGCGCGCGCTCAACGACCACCTTTCGGAGAAAAGAAGAAACGCCCGGTCAAACCTCGATTTGGGCTCACGACGAAATCTACGCCATCGAACCGGATGATGACTGGCTCGACTGGCGCGAGCGACGAGCGACGAGACGGAAGTCAACGCGGCGCGGCGTTATTACATCCCCGGGGGAAAGCTAACCGTGGCCTGCTCCACGACGACTGCGCCGCTCGCGGCGTCCGTCCACTGCATCCTCAACCGCATCGCGAGCGGTTTCACCCCGTGCTGCGCGTTTTTCACCCGCAGCCGCTGCGTCGTCGGCGCGCCGCCCGACCCCGCCCCGGGGACGTCCGCGCCCGACGCCGGCTCCAGCGACAGCGACATCGTCTTCGGCACCGCCGCCTGCAGCGTGAACGACCGCAGCGGCGACGCGCCGGAGTTGGCGTACGTCGCGAGGACGCACGTCTCGGACGGGTCCATCGGGTCGGGTTTCGTGCACGCGAAGACGACGCGGAGGCCTCCGTCTTTTTCATACGCGGTGAACGACCCCGGCGGCGGCGGCGGCGCGGGCGCGGGCGCGGGCGCCGAGAAGCCGCCGATGTCCAGCGCCGCCATCGGATCTATCGGCGGCGGCGGCGGCGGCGCCGGAGGCGCGGCGCCCATGCCCATCATGAAGTCCACCGGCGCTGCGGCGGGAGCCGCGGGCGCGGCCATGCCCAACAGATCCATCACGGGATCCGCCGCGGGCGCGGGCGCCGTCGCGGGCGCGGTCGCTCCGACGCCTCCGAATAAGTCCGCGAGCGGGTCCGCGGGCGCGCTACCCGCGGCCGAGAACCCTCCAACCCCTCCTCCCCCCCCACCGCCGCCGCCGCCGCCGCCCATGTCGCCGCCTAAGAGATCGTCTAGAAGGTTCGCCCCCGACGTCGCCGCCGCCGCGGACCCGGAGCCTCGGACCGCGCCGGCGTCGTCGTCGAGGCTCATGAGATCGCCGAGCAAATCCGCGCCCGACGCCGCGGCGGGAGCCTTCCCGCCGCCGCCGCCCTTCCCGCCTCCGCCCTCGATACCTATTCCGCTGTACGCGCTCGACGACTTCACCTCGAACGCGGGCATGCGCTCGAGCAGCGGCCCCGTGAGCGACGGCCCCCTCTCAAAAATTTTAATAAACTCGCACGACCGCTGCTGCAGCTCCAAGTTGAGCGAATCCGTCGCGTGCGACACCGCGCGCTTCACGTCGCTCGCCTCGCTCGGGAACCTCACGGACAGCTTCGCGAGCGCGGTCACGACGACTTGCTTCACCGCGTGCGGGACCGCGGCGTCTAAGACGATGCTCTCGAGCAGAGAGACGAGATCTTTCGGAGACGCGACGAACCCCTCCTCGTCCTCCAGTCTGTTGCTCCTCGAGACGACGGCGTCTCCGTATTCGCCGACGACCCACGCCGCGACCGCGGCGAGCTTCCACCCGCTCTCGCCTCGCATCTCGAAACTCGCCTTATACAGCGCCCGCCCCGCGTAGCCCTGCAGCTCCGGGGTCGCGCTGACGAGGTGCGCGAACGCGCGGCACTCTTCGTCCGCGACGTGCGCGCCCCCCTTGGACATGAGCTCCACTAGGGTGTCGACGTGCCAACGCTTGGACGGCGCGAACCGCGCGACGAGCTCCGCGATTCGGCGACACAGATCCGCCTTAAACTCCAAGTCCGCGACGGTGAGGTAATCCAGGAGCTCCTTCGCGAGCGTCACGATGTTGTTCTCGTTGACTAGGTTGTACACGAGCTGCAACGCGCTTCGGCGAATCGTGACGTCCGAGTCCTTGACGCACTCGACGATGGTGTGCCGATGCCGCTGCACCGCCTGGGTGTCCACGGCGACAACCTTCGCGAGCGTGTTGAGGGCGACGTACCGTATGTTGTTATCCTTGTTCGCGAGGAATCGCCCGAGGATGTTGATCGCGAGGACGCGCAGGCCGCCGACGGACTCGACGCCCATGATGCTCTCGACGGCTTCGTACAAAATCGCGTTTCCCGCGTTTTTGGAGCCGTCGGTGTTCGACGCGACGTTCGCGAGAATGTCCGACATCGCGTCCGAGGCTTCCGCGTCGCCCGCGCCGAGGACGCGGAACAGCCGCAGCATCTTCACCTGCAAGAACGGGTCCGCGTGCCCGCCGACGTCGTGCTCGGCGCTGTAGCCGCTGTGAATGAGCGACTTGAGGATCCGAACCAAAATCGGCACGTGCTTCCGAAACGTCGTCGCGTGATTGGCGTCGACGTAGCACAGCTGCAGCGCGAGCGTCACCGCGCACAGGAGCACGCCGTGATGCCGGTCCGCGAGAAGCGCGGACGCGTTCTCCAAGAAACCCTCCGCGAGCTCGGGAACTTTCTTCACGACCCTGATGGCGCAGAGCGCGGCTTTTTTGCGAATGTACGAGTTCTTAGACGCCAACAGCGCCGCCACCTCCGGGGCGACGTCGCGCGCCATCTCCGCGGTGCATATGTTCCCCAGCGCGCACAGCCCGAGACCGACGATGAAGTGGTTCTTGTGGCCCAGGTCGTTCTTGATCGAGTTCGTGACTAACATCGTCACCTCTTGTCGCTCGTCGAGGAGGATCATGAGTCCCAGGTATCCGATGCGTTTCTCCGGGAATCCGACCGCGGCGATGAGCTTGACGCACTCCATCTGCCCGAAGTGCGTGGGGTACCCGAGCATGTGCATGAACATCAGCTTCGCGACGTTCCTATGGCGGTACGCCGCGTCCTGTGCGCGCGTCGCGAGGGTGGAGGGTTGGAGGGTTTTTTCGCGGTGAGCGACGGACGAGATCTAGGGGCGCGTGCGGACGCGAACGCGAACGCGCGCGGACGTGTCGCCGGATCGCGGCGCGGACCTGGTCTTTCAGCGAGTTCCGGATCGCCGCGGACTGCTTCGCGATGAGCGCGCGCTCCTCCGCGGTCGTCTTGCACTGCCGCACCGCGCGGATGAGCTCTCTGCGGGAGGATGGCACGAGAGGGGGGGGGGTCGCGTCAGCGGCGCGCGCGGTGGACGCGATGGCGACGGCGTCGACGCGATCGAGGAGGTCACGGCGGCGTACCGTAGTCTCATGGACATCGTGAACGACTACGAGCGCCCCCGTCGGGCCTCGCGCGGCGCGTTCGTGCCCGGATCAATGCCGCGCGGCGAGGACACACGCCGCCGGATTTTATTTCTCGTCGCACGCAACGAACGACTCTTCCAGTCCTCGCTTCACGGCAGCTCAAATTTCACCTTCGCCGCGCGCGGCGGCGCGCGCGCGATATCATCGACGCGTCGTGGCTCTCTCTCTCTCTTTCTTTCTCTCTTCCTTACGCTTAACTTACCTCGCTACGGATCTACGACCCCTCCCTATCCTTAAAAGTCCACGTCTTTCCCGCCCCCCTTACTCTCCCTCTCCCCCGAGCCCGACCCCGAGCCCGAGCCCGACTCCGTCCGCTCGATGAGCACCTCCAGACTCGGGCAGTTCACCTGCGTCGGCAGCGGCTCCACGACGCTCACGATCGCCGTCTCCACCCTCCGCACGAGGTCGTCGATCTTACTCTGCATCGCGCGTTTCTCCATCGGCACCGCCTCCCACTTCATCTTCGCGTCCGCGAGCTCCGCGCTGGCTTGCCGATACGCGATGCGTCGCTCTTCGATGCGATTCTGCCGCAGCCACTGCTGCGCGGCTTGTCCGACGGCGACGGTGATCGCGACCCACTGCGGCTGGCCGATAGTCGCGAGCACGGATCCAGTTGCGCTCAGGATGTACATCACCATCTGCATCAGCAGGCTCCACTTGAAGAGCAAGTTGTGCATCAATCGAAACTCTTTCAGCTTGAGAGAGAGACGGAATCTCACGTACTCGCGCGTCGACGTGCTCCACGCGGACTCTTCAAACTCTTTGAGCTCCTCCTTCGCGGCCGCGTTCTCTTCCCGGTGCGTTCGCTTCTTCGGCGGCGGGAAAAACAGCCCGAAGACGCCCTTGGCCTCGTCCGCTTTCTCTTGAGCAACCTTACCTCTGGCCATGAGCTGTTTCGCGCGCGTAGAGGACGGAGTCTTCGGCGCTCGACGCAACGCCGCCGCCGCCGACGCCGCGACGACGCGACGGCCGCGTGCGTCGACGTAATCCGCCATCTCGTCGCCGTCGGGGACGCGGAATTTCGGCGTCGCGAACTCGGTCCCGCCGAACCCGAAGTCGTACCCCGGGATCGCGACTCTCCCTCCCGGGGTCTCGAACGACCGCGGGGACAAGAGGTCGTAGTTCACCGGTGGGATAGCGTACTCGCCCCCCGCGGCGCCGATCTGCCGGCCGTCGAACCGCGGCAGACCGGGGACGTTGGAAGGGTCCACGCCCGCGCGACGGAGGTAATACTCCATCGCGTGCCGCTCCTCGTCGGTCATCCCCGCGGTCGCGGCGTCGGTTATCTCGCCGGTGATCTCGCCGCTGGAGGGCAACCGCGCGCGCGTGTCCGGAACGGCGACGCCGGCGCCGCCCTCGGTGCGGATCCCGACGCCCGGGACGTCGACGCGTCGTCCTTCGACGTCCAACACCGTCTGCGCGTCTCTCGAGAACCGCTGTCCGGGAATGCTCACGACGTCGCCGCCGTACTCGCCGCCTCGGAAGTCGCGTAACCCGCTCGCGCGTATCGCATCCGCTTGCGCTTGCTCCAAGTCGCGAACCATCGGTCCCGTCATGCTCTCGAGCATCGAGAGCGGAGACAGCATGTTCGGGTTCAAGTCGTCGTCGCTGTCGTCCGCCAGGCTCGGCTCCGGGACGATCGGCTTCGTTTGCTTCTGCGCGCGCGACTTGGAAGGGACGCGGCGGCGGTGCTTCAGCGACTGCTTCGTCGCGTTCCCGAGGAGGGCATCTTTCTCTTGCTTCTTCTGCTGCTTCTTCGTCGTGGGGCCCAGCCCGCCAATCTTGGCGAGCTCGAGCAACACCGCCCCGGACTCGCTGAAGTCTTTGTTGATGCTCTCCAGGAACTCCGCGAGCTTCGCTTGTCTCAGGGTGATGATGTCGCCGCTCTCTTGCCCGGCGTCCTCGTCGTCCATCTCGGAGTCGCTGTCGCTCAAGCCGCCGGTTTGAAACTTTTTCTTCCGCGTCGACATCGCCTTCGTGGGATCCTTCGCCTTCATCGCCAAGGCGAGCCGCTGCATCTTCGCGCGCTTGTCTCGCTCTTGATCGATGAAGTTATCGCTGAACTGCAGCGCTCGTAAGCGATAGATGTACAGGAGCGACTCGACTTTCGCTTTCGCGCGCTCCGCGATCACGAGCATCGAGTTGAGGTTCACGAAGTTCTCCACGGAGTTTAAGATGACGAGAATCGCCGGCGCGATGACGGCGATCCACCGAAACGTGTCGCCGCTGTAGTTTTGGTTGCTCTCGCTGCCGAACACCTCCAAGTTCGACACGAATACAGACGCGAGCGTCGCGGCGAGGCCGACGTATATCGCCAGCGTCGCGATCGGCTTCTTATACTTCGCGTACACCTTGATCGTCAGCCCGTAACTCGACAGACGCTTCAACGCCGTCTCGATGAGCTGGTCGCCGTTGAGTTCGATCCTAAACAGACGCTCGAACGCGTTCGAGTTCGCGTCGATGGAGTGTAGCATCATCGTCCCTTTCTTCAAGACTTCGCGGACTTGATGCGCGGACTCCATGTCGACTCTGTACCCCGCGCACGACTGCAGCGCCTCGTGCACTTTGTTCGCTTCGAATCCCTCCACGAGCCGTCGCGGCCACATCTTCATCCAGATGTCGGATAAGCCGCCGCTGCCGTGAAGGACCATCATCGGGACGTCCCACAGCGCGGCTTGATTCATTTGTTGTAACACCCCGACGCTGCCGCTGCACGCGACCGCGAGCGAGTGCCGGTGTAACACCCTCGCGAGCGCGATCATGAGGTTCGCCTTCGCGTGAGGGATGTTCGTGCCGTTCGGAACGACGACCCACCCCATGGCGGGATACAGATGCCGCAACCCGCGGCCGCCGCGCATCGCTTCCTCTCGAAGCTTCCGCAGCGTCGCCTCCATCGTCGAGCGCTCGCAGACGATGATCACGCGCGGTCGAAGCGGGCGCATGCGCCTCAGCGCTTGCCCGAGCATTATGACCGGCTCGTCTCTCAGCGTCTGAAAGTTCATGATCTTTTCGTCGAAAAACGCGGCGCGCTTGCGCTCGTACTCCTCCTCCAGCGTCTCCGCGACCCCCGGGGCTGGCTGCGGCCCGATCGGTTCTGTGATCAGCGCCTTCTTGAAATCGCAGACGCAGATCCCGTCCTCGTCCTCGATGACTTGCGCGAAGACTTGAATCGCGTCTTGAACTTGCGAGCGGAGGCGTTTCTTCCGTGGCGCCAACTCGCTGTCGACGTCGCCTCGCACGATTTTCCGGAGCCGCGCCTCGAGCTCGGGGATCTGGTCCGGGTGCGCGTCCGACCTCGACGCGGCCGTCGCGATCGCGGCCTCGCAGTCGAACGTCGCTTTCATCGTCCATCGCACCTGCGTCCGCGTGGACGGCATCGGGATCGAGGACGACGACGATCCTCCGCCGCCGCCGATCGCGGCGGCTTCCTCCGCCGCCTCCTTCGCCGCCGCCGCCTGCGCGGCTCTCAATCCCTCCCGGAGTTCCCTGCCGCCGCCGGCTTCTTCCTTGATCGAGCTCGAGAACGCGTCCGCGGCTCTGATTATGTTCTTCACCTTCGTGACCTTAATCTCCACGTTCCTCTTCACGTACATCTCCGCGTCTTCCGACGTGGAAAACTCTCGCCGCAGGTCGCCCTCCGAGTCCGCCACCTCCCACATCGGCGTCGTCACGCCCACGAGCGAACCGCCGAATAATCCAACCACGGGCGCGGACTTCGTCGCCTTCCTGTGCGCGTCCCTGTACTTCTCGTGCTCCGCGATCATCTTGATGAACTGCACCCCGGGGGCCTCGCGCTCCGGGAGGTCGAGCTCCGTGCGCATCGCCGTCTCGAACTCCGCGACGGTGCCGCCGAACGGCTCGAGGATCTTCAGGTCGCTGTTCGGCTTCCAGTCGTACCGCGTCCACTCGCCGTTCACGAGCCGGCCGTCCGTGAGGTCCCATATCCGCGACCGGAGCGGGACCGCGAGCTCGGTGAGCGTCATCGGACCGCCGTTGACGTCGTGCGAGGGCGTCTTCGGCGGCCCGCTCGGGGCGGGCGTCGCCGGGGATGTTTGTTGTTTCCTCTTCGCGGCCGTCGCCGCGTTTGAGGAAGATTTCAGCGCGGGAGGAGGCGCGGGCGTCCTCGCGACCTCGTCCGTCGGCGCCGCGGTCGCGAGCGGCGTCTTCCACGACGCCGTCTTCGGCGCCGCCGCTTTCGGCGGCGGATCCGGCGGCGGCTCGGCGCTCATCGTATCGCGCCCGCGCCCTCGGTCAATGGACTACTGCGATTCGTTTCGTCAACGCCGAGGGGGACGACGCCGCGACCGTTTTTAGTGCGCGCGCGCGCGCCCGAACCGTCTCGGAGGCGCCGACCGCGACGCGCGCGGCCTCGCGGGGGAAGCGCCGCGCCCGCGCCGCGACGTCCCCAGAGCGCGCCTCGAGGCCACGATGGCGTCGAGGCGCGTCTTTCATCCCGTCGATCGCATCCTCCTCCCCCTCCTCCTCCTCCTCGTCGTCCTCGCCGCCGCCGCGCCCGAGCGCGCGCTCGCGCAAGATCCCGGGGGCGCGGGCGCCGGCTCGTCAGCACAGCTGTGCGCGCTCGACCAGCGCGTCGCGGACGGAATCTGCGTGCCGTGCCCGCCGGGCGCGACGAACGACGCCGGCGACGACCCCGCGCTCGGCGCGGACACGACGTGCGCGTGCGCGATCGACGAGAAGGTCGTCTCGAACGCGTGCGCGCCATGCGACCACGGCAGCGTCAGCGCGGGCGGCGACCGCGTCCCGGGGCCGAACACGACGTGCGCGGCGTGCGACGAAAACTTTCGCGTCGGCGACGAGATCCCCGCGTCGTGCGTCGCGTGCGCGCCGGGGACGACGAACGTCGCGGGGGATCTCGTGGCGAACGGCGCGACCGCGTGCGACGCGATCGAGTGCGGGGTGAACGAGCGCGTCGTCTCGCACGCGTGCGCGCCGTGTCCCCCGGGCACGGTCAACGCCGCGGGCGGCGACGACGCGTCGGCGAACGAAGACACGGATTGCGATCCCGTCGTCTGCGGCGTCGACGAGCGCGTGCGCGCGCACGCGTGCGTCGCGTGCGCGGACGGCACGACGAACGCGGCGGGGGACGACGCGTCCGGGAGCGACACCGCGTGCGACGTCGCGCCGGCGTTCGGCGACGACGCGCACGGCGCGGCGACGCCGTACGCGTCGTTCGTAGGCGCGTTCTGTACACTGGTTCCCATACGACCGCGTCGGCGTGGTGAACGCCGATCCTTAAGGACTTTCGCCGTCGTCTCTCTCCGCCCACCCCTCGCTTTCAATCCCCGCCCTCGACGCCTTTCAACGCCAACTGACGCCTTTGAACTCCACCCCGACGTTCGCTCGTATGGAACGGCCCTTAGACGACGGCGGGTTCTCGTTGACGGTCGCGACGGACGACGTCTCGGTCGTTCGCTACGCCGTCGTGGAGGCGGCGGCGTCGGCGTCCGTCGATCGCGCGGCGGTGCTCGACGGCGCGGTCGCGAACGCGATCAGAACCGGCGCGGTCAGGCTCGACCCAAACGTCCGGGGTCGACTCGGCGACGCGAGGATCAAAATCGCGGGGTTGAACCCGTCGACGGCGTACGACGTCCACGTCGTCGCGTCGTCGCCGTCGACGCTGGCGCACACGGAGCTGAAGACGCTGACGGTGGTCACGCACGCGGGATACGTCGACGACGAGGCGATCTTCGGGGAGATGTGCGGCAGGGAGGATTCGGACGACGTCACGCGGGACTTGGCGTGGGAATACGCGGCGTGGAAAATGAGCGACGCGTATCTCTCGACGTCCGCGGCGGAGAGAGACGAGAGAGAGGCGTACCATAATCGCGCGTACGCGTGGTGTTTGAAGCGCGGTCGCACGAACCGCGAGGCGGTGGAGCTGGGGCGGGACGCGCGCGGGGACCCGAAGGACGTCTTCTACACCGCCGGAGGCTCGGAGCGGATCGGTCGCGTCGAGGGCAATCGAAACGTGCTCCGGCGGTTGGGCCTGGACAGACACGCGATGTGGTGAGCGTCGAGGGGTCGTCGGTGCCTTCATAGCTACTACGTAGGATATCATAGAATAATAGCATAAACGATTTAGTTAGCGCGTTTATTACTGTAGCATCATATCGTCGCAGGTCGTGGCATTATAAACCGCTCGCTACACCGCGCGAAGATAGATCATCGATCGATCGCGCGGCGTCACCGCGCCTTGCTCGACAGCGTCTCCGCGCGAACGTCGTCCCCTTCCTCCACCTCGTACTCCGCGCCCACTAGACACTCCCTCAGCGAACTCCCCGCGCCGATCACCGCCCTCGGCCCGACGACGCAGCCGTTCAGAGACACCCCGTCCTCGACGCTCGCGCGCGGCATCACGACCGAGTTCACGAGCTTCACGCCGGTGCCCACGGACGCGCCGCGCGCGACGACCGAACGCTTGACGCTGCACTTCTCGCCCAGAACGACGTCGCGCGCGACGACGCACCCCGGGCCGATCGTCGTCTTCCCGCCGACGGCGACGCCCGCGTCGACGAAGTTTTCGTACTTGGACGGCGCGCGGCCGTTCAGGTGCGCGGCGTCGCACGCCGCCGGCGACGCCACCTCGCGGCTGACCTCCAAGTACGCCGGGACGACGGTGTCCACGCGCGCGCAGTAGGCGTCCTCGGACGCGACGAACACGCGGCACGGTCGTCGAACCGCCGTCGCGGCGTCGGGGGCGCCGGGGCCCGCGCCCGCCGCCGCGGGGCCGTACACAGCCTTCATCAGCGCCGCGTCGTCGTCGTCGTCCACGCCCGCGCCCGCGCCGGCGGCGGCGGTGTCGTGGTCCTCCGCGCTCGCCGGCTTAGGGTCGTTCCATACAAAGCGATGGCGGGGTGGAGTTGAAAGGCGTCATGTGGAGTTGAAAGGCGTCGAGGGCGGGGATTGAACGCGAGGGATGGGCGGAGAGATGCGGCGGGCAAAGTCCTTAAGGAATGGCGTTCACCACGCCAACGCGGTCGTATGGGGACCAGTGTGTAGAACGCACCTTAAACTGCCGGCGCGCGAGCGCGGGGACGACGTCCAACTGCAGCGACGTCATCCACGGCTCTTCCCTCAGCAATCTCGATACCCACGCGACATCGAACGCGTACAGCTGCGCGTCGAGCAAATCCGTGTGGATCATCATCCGCTGGACCCTTCGCAGCATCGGCCGGCGGAGTTTCAGCACCTTGTCGACGTCCTCCTCGTCGCCCGCGAAGAGGAGCTGGCCCTCCGCGGCGGACGACGCGGAGGCGGCGGGCGCGTCGTAGGCGACGGCGATGTAATGCGCATTTTTCGGCGGGCGGCCCGCCTTCGCGTCGACCGCCGCCCACGGTCGTCGGCGCGCGACGAGGCACGTCGCGACCGCGCTGTGCTTCGCGTGCGTCGCGAGGACGTCCTGAGGTGGCGACGGACGGACGGACGGAGAGGGTCATCAGCGAGGACGCGCGAACGAGACGAATGAAGGATGACAAAAAACAAAACGACGCGAGCGAAGGCGAGGGAGCGACGCGACGGCTGGCGCGAACTCGCCTCTAAGCGCACGTCCGTGACGAGGTCGCCGCTGATCACGGTCACCGTCGGCGTCGTCAGCTTCGGCAGCGCCGCCCTGAGCGCGTCCGCGGTGTCCGCGTCCTCGTCCGCGGCGACGACGGAGACGACGAGCGAGGACGTCTCGCCCGTCCCGATCTCGTCGGCGATCCACTGCGCGAACGCCGCGGCGTTCGCCTCCCCCGCGGCGACGAGGATCACGTCTCTCACGCCGCCCTTCTCGAGCGTCTGGAGCGCGTACCACACCATCGGCTTGAACCCGAGCTCGAGCATGCATCGCGGGCCGTCCTGTGGTGGCGTCGGGCGGGGAGGGGAGGGGGGGGAGGCGGGGTCAGGGCGAGATTCGTTCTTTCGCGTCGAGCAGAGGGACGGCGAGGCCGGCGCGTCGCGCGAGGGAGGGAGGGACGGGGCGCGATCGATCGAGCGCGCGAGGGACGCGCCTCGGTGACGAGGTTCCCGAAGCGCTTCTCCCCGCCGCACGCGACGACGACGCCCTGCATCGTCATGACCGCCGCCGCACGTGCGCCGCGACGCGTCGAGTGGATGGATCTTCATCAAGTCCTCAAGTCTCGTGGTCGTCTCGCGGCGGCTCGCGCGGATCCATCCGATCATAAATCGGGCACCCGGCACGATGACGACAGCACCGCGCCGACGCCTCGCCAGCCTCCTCCTCCTCCTCTTCCTCTCCTCCTCCTCCCTCGCCGCCGCGGACGACGACGATGAGCGCGGCGAGCCGTTCAACGGCGCGGTGCACGGCGACGACGGCGCCGACGACCTCGACGAGGGGCGGTTCGAGCCCGCGCACGGATCCCCGACGGACTGGCGCGATCTCGAGCTCGCGCCCAAGTTCACGTCCGTGGCGTCGTGGCAGCGGCCGCAGTTCCGCGTCGACGAGGGAGGTGATTACGTGCGCATGCGCGGGTGGATCGCGTCCACGTCGCGCGCGGGCGCGGGAGAGCCGGTGTTCGCGCTCCCCGAGGACGCGGCGCCGGGACGGACCGAGAGATGGAGGGTCACGATGAAGGGCGCGGACCGCGCGCTGAGCGTCGGGGAGGACGGCGTCGCGGTGCTGGACGAGGAGATGCGGCGGGAGAATTGGATCACGCTGGCGGGGTTCGCGTTCAACGCGCGGAGCGCGGCGGGGTACGGGGGGGGCGACGGCGGCGGCGGCGGCGGCGGCGGCGGCGGCGTCGGCGGCGGCGTCGACGGCGAAGCCGCGGCGGGAGCGAGGGACGAGTTATGACGCGTCGCGCGAACGGTTGGTTTTAACTGTGCGTTATTCCTCACAACATCGACGCCTCCGTCTCGACCTCGCGCACCCCCGGCGGCAGCGTCCCCCGCCTCGCGCCGCCGATGATCTCCCCCGCGACGGCGCCGACGTCGACGCTCCGCCGCCCGCGCGGCTTCCCCGCGCTCCAGTCGCCGTAGTCGAGCGCGAGCTGCCCTAAGAACCACGGCATGACCGCGCCCAGGCACCAGGATAACAGCCCGTTGAGGCGATCGCCGCCCGCGGCCGCGAACGGGCCCTCCGTGAACGTCCCGGCGACGTCGATCTGGCACTTGATCGCCTCCGCGCCGCCGCCGCCGCCGCCGCCGCCGCCGCTCGAGCTCGGGGACGGCACCGCGGATATCCGATTCCGCATCTTCAAGTCTCGCAGGGAAGCGTTCATGCTCGCGATGATCGCGTTCGGCGGCGTGCCTCTCCTCGCCGCCTTCGCGTCGTTCATCACCGCGCCCTCTAAGATCTGATCGCACCCGTTCGTCGTGGGGACGATGCGCAGCACGCCCACGGGCTCCACCTCTAAGAATAAGATCTTCTGAACGCCCGCGCGCACCGTGAACGCGCCGTCGCCCGTCGGTCGAACGTTGTCCGCGTCCAGGACGTTGTACTCCTCCGCGGGGAGGCGGACGTAGTCGAGGAGGGAGCGGCCTTGTGGGGTGGCGGCGGTGAGCGCGGGGTCGATGTCCGCGGTGAACGCGCGCGAGACGTCGAGGCGGCTGCCGATGCCGCCGACGGACGACGACGGCGGTCTCGGCGCGACGTCCGCGTAGGTGAGGGCCGCGTCGTCGTCGTCGTCGTCGTCCGCGGCGGCGGCTTTCGCGGTGGCACGGGAGGCGCGGAGCGCGCGGAGGGCGCGGCGGCGGGAGGGAGGCGCGCGCCGCCGCGCGGCGGCGGCGAGGTTGGACGCGCAGCGCGCGCTCATCGGTATGACCCGCGCGCGCGTCGTCGCGAACACAGCTGGACGACATCAGGAAGGATTAAGTTTCGTCGGACGAGTCGCCAGTCGCGATGGCGCCGCCGGCGGACGGCGCGAACGCGTCGTTCGACGGCCCTTCGTATCACATCCCGCAGCGAACGTTAGACCTGAGATGCGACAGCGCGTACTTCCGCGTCCGGATGTGCGTCGCCGTCCTCCCCGCGCGTCGTTCGATCGACCGACCGTCCGTCCGTCCGCGGCCGTCGCGAATCCGAGAGAACGCCCGCGCGAATCTGAGCTCGCCGTCGTCGTCCCTCCTCCACCTCTCCCCCTCTCTCCTACTCGAATCGCAGGGAGCTATCCGGCGAGAGCGCCGCGGAGACGTCGTCGAGGCAGACGTTCCAGACCGCGGTGACGCACGCGCTCGTCCGCGCGCACGGCGTCGTCGGCGGGGCGATACCCATCGAGCATCTCGGCTTCTTCGCGCCCGCGGCGGCGGCGACCGCGACCGCGACGACGACGTCGGGCGGGGAGGGAATCATCAAGTGCCACGTGGACGACGTGGACGTCCTCCGGAGCTCGCTGTCGCTGCTCACGGAGACGCACGAAGGGAGGGGGTGCAGGTTGATCGTCGTCGACGTCGCGGAGACGCTCACGCGGATAGCGAAGCCGACGACGAGTAGGACGGCGTTCGACGCGGGGTGACGACGGCGGCGGGGGCGAGGAGGAGCGTAGCGAAGTAGGTGAACGTGCGTAGTATTTCATTCGTTCGTTCGTTCGTTCGTTCGTTCGTTCGTTCGTCGTCTCGTCCGTGTTCACGCCTCGTCGGTCAGCGCGACCCCGAGTCGTCGAAGTGCGTCACATCCGGACGCACGGCCTAACTTCGCGGCGGCGCGGTACCACCTGATCGCCGTCTGCGTGTTTTTTTCCACGCCGCAGCCCTTTTCGTAGAGCCATCCGCGATAGAACATGCCTTTCCCGTCACCCATTTCTGCCGCTCTTTGCCATAGTTCTACGACTTCTTCACGGCTTCTTCCTAGTTCATTATTGTACCTCACGTAGAGATGACCGAGTTTGATCATGGCTCCGGCGTGACCCTTCTCCACCGCTTTGCGGTAAAACTCGCACGCCTCTTTTAAGTTGTCTGGCTCACGCTCGCGTGACTTTATGTCTCCCATCATGCACAAGGCGTCCGCATTTCCCTGTTCGGCAGCCCTTTCGTACCAGTAGCGCCAGTACTTGAACGCCTCTCTGTACCCTCTGTACGTCGACTTCTCTATGTGCGGCTGAAGGAGCTCAGACACCCCGCAGTCCGGCAAAGACGCGTCCGCCTTCTCCGCGTCCTTGAACACCTTGCTCACGGCGGCGAGCGCGACGCGATCTTTCGGGAGGGGGAGGTGGGAGAAGATCGCGCACGCGATGTTACCGTCGATCTTCGTCGGGTGCAGCTCTAGCACGGTCTCCAGCCGCGTCTTCGTCGCTTCCAGCTCCGCGGCGAGCTTCGCTCGTTTCGCCTCGGAGCCCGAGAACTCCCTCCTCGTCCTCGAGAGCTCCGCGTCTTTCTCCGCGAGCGCCTCGCGAGACGCCTTCAGCGCGATCGCGAGCTCGTCGGCGACGGAAACCGAGACCATCCGGCGTGGGAGGACGAAACGCGGCGCGCGGCGTGGGAGGCGCGCGCGGGGAAGAAGTGGCCAGTGGCGCGCGTCTTCGCTGGTGTCGTCCTCGGACGGTTCAAACGCCAGTCAAACGCGCGAGCTGATTTTGATCGCCGCGCACCGATCAAAGCGATTTTTTCACCGACGTCGGTTTCAATCCACCCTGCACTCCGCATCGACCGCTCGCAGCCAATCACGTGCGTTCTGAGTGGCAGCGGGTGAGGTCGAGCGACGGAGCGAAGAAGCGCTCTCCGCGCGCGACGACGCGCATTCATACCGCACCCTAGACATCAAAATGGCTGCCCTCACCGTGTCCACCGCGGCGCTCGCGCCCGTCGTCGCTCGCGCCAGCGTCTCCCGCCGGTGCGTTCCTCGCCGCGCGCCTCGCGCGCGTCGTTTTCCGGCACCGCGCGCGAGCGACGGGAAACAAATCGCTCGCAGAGTCTCTCCCCGCTCTCGGGACGGATCGCGGGCGAGACGCGCGGACGGACCGGCGCCGATCGCGCCGGCGCCGACCGTCGCCCGTCGCCCTCCTCGATGCGATCGACGCCGCGCGCACTCGCGCGAATCGATCGCATCGAGCGCGACGACGTCCGCGCCGCCGGACGCGTCGCGTCCGCGCGCGCGCGCGTCGCCTCGCGTTTCGCGGCGTTCCAGGGTCTAAATGGATAAACCACGCCCGCGACGTCGCGCCGCGGTCGATCCGCGCGCGCTCGCTCGCTCCGATCGAACGCTGACGCGTCATTCCCCGCGCCGTCCTCCTCCTCGCAGCTCCGCCAAGGCGGTCCGCGCGACCGGCCTCAACAAGTCCGCGTCCCCCGCGTTCAGGTGCGCCGCGATCGTAGCTCGCTCGTCGCCCTCGCTCGTCGCCCCCCTCGAGCGCACAGCTGGCATCATCGATCGTTTGCAGCGCCGGCGGGCAACCGCGCGCGACCTCGGCCTGACGACTTACCTCCCTCCCTCTCCCTCGGATCCCTCTCATCCTACGTAACAGCTCCGCGTCCGCGACCGCCCCGCGCGTCGTCGCGAAGCGCGGCGAGGCGCAGGCGACGAACGCGCTCCCGCTCGCGGAGATCGCCGCCGTCGGTCCGGAGATCGCGGAGGTTGCCACGACGTGCTTCGCCATCACGCTCGTCGGGCTCGCGATCGGGTTCGTCCTCCTCCGCGTGGAAGCCGCGGTCGCGGGCGAGGAGTAAATCGATCGTCGGCACGGTCTTCGGTCTTCGCATGAGAGAGGGATGCGAAACTATGTGGTGGTGGGTTTGGTCGAGGCGCGGTCGAGACGCGGGGGAGAGGCGCGGCCGCGGGTGATCCGATTCGACGAGAGTCCGCAAATATTTGTTCGTCAGCCGGCGTCGTCGGAATGAAATCGATTCGTATTCTTCAACGAACTCGAACGCGCCCGTCTTCTAGTAGCTCTCGCGCGGAGACGAAGATAGACTATCACAATAAACCCCTAGACCCGCCGAACGACGCGAAGTAGTCCGCGACGCTCGCGAACGGCGCGTACGTCGCGACGTCCAACGCGAAGAGACACATCCACGCCGCCGACGGCCGCAACAAAAACCATCTCCGGTACCCGTCGTCGTCGATCACCTTCCTCGCCCTCAAACTCGCGCCGAGCGTGCTCCAGTTCAACAGCCACACGAGACCGACGAGCGAGTGGCACCACACGGTCACGAGCCCGGGCCGCGAGGACGCGAGCGCGGCGAGGCCGTCGCCGCCGGACGCGATCACGCTCGCCGCCGGGAACACCTGCGCGGGTGGGTCGGCGCGGAGTCGTGAGGCGTCGGAAGCGGAGTCGAAAGGCGTCATAGGGTCGAGCGTTGAAACCGAGGGGTGATGGGCGGAGAGAAACGAACGCACGCCGGGAGAGAAAGTCCTTAAGGAATGAAGTTCACAACGCGTCCGCGGTCGTATGGGGACCAGTGTGAGATAGAACGCGCCTGCGCGCCGAAGAGCCACGCGCCGACGAGAATCAGCGCCGCGCTTCGCTTGTCGTCCTTCGTGCCGAACAACACGTACGCCGACGTCAGCGTCTGCCACGCGAACGGCGCCAGCGCGAGCTGCCACGCGTGCGCGTCGACGAACGACAGCCACTCGCCGCCCGGGCCGATCCGAATCGCTTGCCACGTCAGCACCAGCTGGAAGAGCGCCGACCGCGCGGAGAGCTCGACTTTCCGCCAGCCGCGCGCGCGGCCGAGCGGGAGCCCGGTCGCGGCGCAGACGCCCGCGATCGCGAGCGACGCGATCGCGAGACCCCACCACTCCGGGGCGCCGCCCGTGGCGTGCAGCGCGTCGTAGACCGCGGCGGACGCGAGTTCGTGCGAGGACGAGAGGGACGAGAGCGCGTCGAGATCGCGCTTCGCCCACGCGGCGACGAGTCCGAATCCGAGCGCGGTGAACGCCGCGCCGGAGACGCCGTGCGCGTGGTACGCGTCCGCTTTGGTCCACATCCGACGCCACGCCTCCGTTGGGGTCATCGCGCGCTCGACGTACGTCACCGAGGGAGGAGGCGGGCGGGTCGAGGCGGCGTCGTCCGAGGACGCGGAGGACGCGACGACGCGCCATCCATCCACGTGGGGACGACGACGACGGTCGCGGTCTCGCCGAGGACGAAGCCGGTGGGCCTCGCGCGCGGGGGGACGCGCGTTGGGGCGCGCGGACGACGCGCGCGCGGGACGCGCCGCGCGCGGAGGCGCGCGACGCGACGGCGCGGAGACGGACGCCGCGACGGGTCCGAGCGCGAGCGACATCGTGCGCGACGGCGCGCTCGGATATGGCTGACGCGGAGGAGGAGATCAGGAAACGACATTCGCGCGTTCGCTGGAAGAGACGACTCACGACGACGACGCGACGCGCGAGGAGAAAATAAAATCTCCGCATTGCCTCGCGCGCGCCGCCCACCCACCGTCGCGATGGCGGCGTCCGCGACGCACTCGCCGTTCGTGCCCACCCCGCTGGCGCCGCCGGATGATCCGATGACGACGGAGCGCCTCCACCTCCTCAGGGAGCGCCTCGGGCAGGTCTCCGCGTTCACGGTGCGTCGAGTGAAATTATTCCCCCCCCCCCCAAATGCCATTTCGCCGCGCCTCCTTCCGCGCGCGACCTGACGTCGTCGTCCCCTCCCTCGTCGCGACAGGAGCACGTGAAGGAGTCGATCTCGCCCGAGAGGCTCGCGCGCGCGGCCGCGACCGGCGGCTCGCTGCCCCCGAGCGCGGCGTCGTCGCCGACGTGGCGCGAGTTCGGAGGAGGAGGAGGAGGAGGAGGAGATCCGTCTCTCGGCGGCTCGCGTTGGGGCGACTCCCCGGCGTACTCGCGACGGCCGGAGGAGCGCCTGAACCAGCCGTCGTTCGCGGGGATGACGACGAGCGCCGCGCACGAATCCCCCGCGACGTTCGCGCGCGACGGCGCCGCGAGCCACGGCGGCGACGCGAGGCGATCGCTCGCGGACGAGCTCCGAGGATTGCGCGGAGGGGGGAAGTCGGACGCGACGCCGGGACTCGCGAGGCCGGCGTCCGCGCCCGACGTCGGGGACCCGGCGCGGTACCCGTCCGCGAGGGACGCGATCGACGCGGCGATCGCGCACGCGAGAGCCGCGCGCGCGGAGTTCGGGACGGGGACGGGGACGGGGACGGGGTTCGGGTTCGGCGGCGGCGGCGGGAGTTTCCCGTCGACGCCCGCGACGGGAATGCCTCCGCTCGCGCCGGCGCCGCCGTCGTCGTCGCGGTTCTACGTCCCGACGTCGATCGCGTCCGACCCAGAGCTGATGCGGCTGCAAGCGGAGCAAGAGTCGCGGATGCGCGAGGCGCAGGTGATGTCCACGGTGACGTCGGTGCAAGAGCGATGCGCGTTGAAGCGAGAGCTCGAAGACGCCGACGAGCGCAACGTCGCGTTAACGAGAGAGCTCGAACGACTGAAGCGCCACTGCGACGCGCTCGAGAGCGCGCGGAAGAGCGAGGAGCGCCGCCGCCACGAGATCGCGGAGCACCTGCGGCGGGTCACGTCGGACGCGATGCGGCTCGCGGAGGAGATGCGAGCGCGGAGCCGGTCGACCGGCGACGGCGACGGCGACGACGTCGACGACGCGGCGGCGGCGGCGGCGACGGTGCTCGAGGGCGTGGCCGCGGCGCTGAGCACGACCGGCGGCGACTCCGGCGGGTCCACGGCCGCGATGCGCCGCGCGGCGGTCGAGGCGCGGATGTACTCGCCGAGCCCGCTGAAGCGAAAGATGCAGAGGGAGGTGAGGGTGTCGGACGCCATCGCCGACGCGGCGGCGGCGGTGCGGACGCGCGGCGGGGAGTTGAGGTGCGTTCTATACACTGGTCCCCATACGATCGCGTTGGCGAGGTGGACGCCGATCCTTAAGGACTTTTCCCGGCGTGTCTCTCCGCCCACCCCTCGCTTTCAATACCCGCCCTCGGCGCCTTTCAACTCCACCTGACGCCTTTGAACTCCACCCCGACAATCGCTTGTATGGAACGACCCTGACAGAGGCGCGGTGGATGCCATCTTAGCTCGCGCGAAGTGCGGCGAGGGGGACGCCGCGCGGTTGCGGGAGAGGCTGCGGGAGGTGACGAAGGCGGCGGACACGCTCGCGGTCGCGGCGATGTTCGGGGAGGAGGAGAGAGCGCGAAGAGCGTAGAGCGCCGACGGATGTCGAACAGATTCGCGTCCGCGTTTGATTCCGCCAGTCCGGCTCGCGCGTCGTCCGCGTCATCCGCGTCCGCTCGCTTTCCCACCATCGCCGCGGACGTCGTCACTTCGTCGCGCGCGCTCGCGAAGCCTCGCGCGGCGCGGCGCCGGTCCCGACTCGGCTCGCGACCGATCGAGCGCGGCGCGTCGTCGTCCGAGGCGCGCGCTCGTCGTCGTCGTCGTCGTCGTCCGTCGAGCGACGCGACGCGACGCGCCGGGGGAGAGGACGCCGGGGGAGATCGAGATCTCAGGTGCGTTCTATACACTGGTCCCCATACGACCGCGTTCGCGTGGTGAACGCCGATCCTTCAGGACTTTTCCCGGCGTGTCTCTGCGCCCAGCCCTCGCTTTCAATCCCCGACCGCGACGCCTTTCAACTCCACCTGACGCCTTTGAACTCCACCCCGACATTCGCTTGTATAGAACGCCCCTCATCAAATCTCGCGCGATGGACGACGCGGAGACGACGCCTTCTCTCCCCGCGGAGGAGGCGCCTCCTCCCGCTCCCGCTCCCGCTCCCGAGCGCGAGCACGAGCGCGCGTGGTGCCACGACTGCCGCGCGCGCTTCGACGCGACGCCGGAGTTCTTGGACCAGCGCGACCCGTCCTGCCCCGCGTGCGGCGGGCCGTTCGTCGAGGTGTTGGACCCGGACGACGACGACGACGACGGCGACGACGACGCGCCCTCGACCACGACGACGACCTCGACGACGACGACGACGAGCGGCGCGGGCGCGGCCGTGCACATCACCCTCGACGAGAACGCCAACTCGGAGGACATCATGCGCGCGACGCGGCAGATCATCGAGCACCTCAGCGCGAGCCCGACGCTCACCGTGGGCAACGGCGGCGGGAACGGCGGGAACGGCGGTAACGGCGGGAACGGCGGGAACGGCGGCGTCGCCGCGACGATGAGCATCCAGGTCGACGGCGTCCCGATGACGGACGCGACCGGCGGCTTCGGCGGCTTCGGCGGCTTCGGCGGATCGTTCCGAGGCGCGGGCGGGGGCCTCGCCGGGCTCGCGGGCGCGTTCTCCGGGTTCGACGCCGCGGGATTCCCAGACGTGAACCTGGCCGAGTTGGACACGCGGTCGTTCCACGCGCCGACGTGTCCGACGTTCGTCGCGAACTTGCCCTCGGAGGTGATGGACGGGGTGGTAGATAAAGACAACGACGACGCGAAATGTCCGGTGTGCCTCGTGGACATCGAGATCGGGACGACGTGTAAGCGGCTGCCGTGCGGGCACCGGTTCCACGACCGATGCATACGCACGTGGCTCGCGAGCAAGCGGTCGTGCCCGGTGTGTCGCGCGGAGCTGCCCGCGGCGCCGAGCGGGGACGGGACCGGCGGCGGCGCGAGGGCCGCGTCCGGGTACGGGTTCGACGGCTCCGCGATATAGGTACAGCAGTAGTCCATTTAGCCGCGCGATAGAAAGAAGAAGGAAGACGAGAATAGAGGAGAGTTTTTTTCGTGCGCCGCGCCTCGTCGTTCGTTCGTTTTACAACGTCAGTCGACCAGACCAAACTCCCCGCCGACGTCCTCGTCCTCCTCCGCCGACCGACGCGCGTCGCACCCCCCACCTAAGGTTAGCTACAACCCAGAAACGCATCGCGAAGAGCCGTTTACTTCTTCGCCGCCTGGAGCTTGAGCACCTTCTTCACGATCTTTTGCTCCTCCACGAGAAACGCGCGCACGACGCGTTCGCGCACCGCGCCGCCGGAGAGGACGCCGCCGTACGCCCGGCTCACGGACTTCTTGTTCTTCGCCATGTGCTTGTTGCTGTACTTCTGCTTCGCGACGCGAGGAATCTGGCGCGCGATGGAGTGGGGAGAGCGTGGGGCGCGGTGGGAGGTCAGAATAGAATGATGACGCGTGAGGTGGCTGGCTCGCGCGAGAGACGGATGGACGGACGCCGCGGGCGGTCGGAGCGCGCGCGCGTCGCGTCGCGGGCGTCGCGCGCGCGAAAGCGCTACGCCGGACGCGTGGTCGAGCGCGGCGCGCGATGCGGGGGCGAACGCGACGTCGATCCCCGCGACCGCGCGCGTTCGCCGGCGCGCGCGATCGTCGCTGGACCCTAGCCGGAACCCTAAAAACACGCGCGATGCCGGGCGCGCGGACGCACCCCGTGAATGCGGCCGTGGTCGCCGGACGGAGTCTGAGGACCCTTCGTCTTCTTCTTCACGTACTGGATCCCGAGCTGACCGCCGGGGAGGCGGAGCTTGCGAATCTTGTTCGACTTGGTCGCATAGCAATGCCTGCGAGCGCGGAGGAAGGAGGGCGCGGGGGCGTCAGCGAGAAGTAGACGCGAGCGAAGATGGCTGCTGCCGAGGAGGAAACATCCGGACGACGCGGCGACGGAAACGCCGCGCCGCGACGCGCGCGCTGCGACGCGGAGAGGAACGACGCGGGGATGGGCGCGACGCTCACCTGCGCTTGTAGGTGATACGCTGCACCATCGTGCTAGATGTGCGCGACTAAGAGGGCGGGCGCTCGCGACCGTCGCGCTCGAAGAGCGATTTTCCCGTCGCGGTCGACGCGAAAAAAACTACTCGTACTCGACCGCGCGTACTCCGTAGTATGCGTTTTCGGTCACATGCAAAAAAGTTGAGACTAATTGCCCACACATCGAGCGAACGCCCGAGCACCGCGAAATTGGAAAAGCTGTTCGGGCGCGAGCTTCCGGGAGTCCCAAGTCGATCCTAAAACAGTCTAAAATAAAGCTCTCCGTTCTCGTGCACCCTCCTCTCGCGCCTGGAAACGCGCGCAGGCCTGCCCCGTGGTCTCTAGAGTCGCCGACGCGCCCGAGCGCATGCACAGGCGGCGGCGGCGGGCGGCGAGACCAGGGGGG